AGTGACAAGAGCACCGCCCACTCTCGCCACGGCTCGCCGGCGCGCGAATGAGACGAGAGAAGAGCTACTAAAATAACGGACGCGAGCGCCTCGCTCGGACCCTCACCGGCAGGCTCGAGACCCACGCCGCACCGCGCCGCCGAGGACAAGGCTGAGGCGTAGATCAGCACAGAAGCGACGACAGAAAACACAGTCGATAAGCACGGGCGACGAACACTGAATGAGGAAAAAGCACGGACACGACAAAGAGACTAGCGAGAGCGAGAGAGTTAACAAAACGCGATCTCATAACCGAATAGTGGTGACAAGATGGATATGTCTGCGCTTGTATGTATGCATATATGTGTGTATGTAGGTGTGTGTATATGTGTATATTTGTGTGTGCTTGCATATATATGTGTGTGTCTATGTATGTGTGCGATCCCTGAGTTCGGAGTACTCCCAATTCGAAAGGAATATATATATATATATATATATATATATATATATATATATATATGTGCGTGTGTGTGTATATGGGGAGAAGGTCTTTGCAAACCCGTGAGCCAATGCTGTGACGCTGCAGCAACAAAGGCTAATGCGATCCTTCTCTCTCTCTGCTTCCCAGCAGGATGTTCCAGGCCTTGTACAACTGCTTCTGGTGGGAGCGGCTCTGGCTGCCGGCCAACCTGACCTGGAGCGACCTCCGGGACCATCATGGCCAGGTCTTCGCCAAGGCCTCCGACCTCTACTTCACCCTCCCCTTGGCCTTCCTCTTCCTCGGCGTCCGGCGCCTCTTCGAGACGTGAGTCAAGCAACGTTGGACTAGATGCCCTCTGGGGTCCCTTCCAACTCTCAAACCCTATCATAGCTATGGTTGGGTGGACTAGATGCCCTCTGGGGGTCCCTTCCAAATCTCGAACCCTATCATAGCTATGGTTGGGTGGACTAGATGCCCTCTTGGAGTCCCTTCCAACTCTTGAACCCTATCATATCTATACCTGGATGCAGTAGATGTCCTCTGGGGTTCCCTTCCAACTCCAGGATTCTATCATATCTCTGGATGGATGGACTAGATGCCCTCTGGGGGTCCCTTCCAACTCTAGGGTTCTATGAAGGACATATTATAGAATATTGTCTATCGATCATATCTCTGGATGGATGGACTAGATGCCCTCTGGGGTTCCCTTCCAACTCCAGGACTATCTTATCTATGGCTGGTTGGTCTAGATGCCCTCTGGGGGTCCCTTCCAACTCTAGGGTTGTATTCAACAATTTTCGATGTATTATCGAATATTGTCTCTGTATCATATCTATGGCTGGATAGATTAGATATCCTCTGGGTGTCCCTTCCAACTATAGGATTCTATCATATCTCTGCCTGGATGGACTAAATGCCCTCTGGGGGTCCCTTCCAACTCTAGGGTTCTATGAAGGATATATTATCAAATATTATCTCTCTGTTGTATCTATGGCTGGATGGACTAGATGCCCTTTGAGGTTCCCCTCCAACTCTAGGGTTCAGTGAAGGATGTATTATCGAATATTGTTTCTCTATCAGATCTCTGCCTGGATGGACTAGATGCCCTCTGGGGTTCCCTTTCAAAACTAGATGGATAGTGTGGCTTGACCTCTTTCAGCAGAAATCTAATGGGAGCTAAACCTCCTCCTAGTAATAATAACAATAATAATATAATTCTAATTGCATTAATTTATTATTATTATATTATTATTATTATTATTATTATTATTATTATTATTATTATTATTGCACATATGGCTTATTTAATCCATGCTCTCTCACACCGAGGTGAACTAACACTGAGGCCTTTTCTCACTAAGTCCTTATCTCACACTGAGGGCTACCTCAGACTGGGGCCTCTCTCACAATGAGACGAACTAACACTGAGTCCTTCTCTCACTAAGTCCTTCTCTCACACTGAGAGCTACCTCAGACTGAGGCTTCTCTCACACTGAGGCGAACTAACACTGAGGCCTTTTCTCACTAAGTCCTTATCTCACACTGAGGGCTACCTCAGACTGGGGCCTCTCTCACAATGAGACGAACTAACACTGAGTCCTTCTCTCACTAAGTCCTTCTCTCACACTGAGGGCTACCTCAGGCTGAGGCCTCTCTCACAATGAGGTGAACTAACACTGAGGCCTTCTCTCACTAAGTCCTTCTCTCACACTGAGGGCTACCTCAGGCTGAGGCCTCTCTCACAACGACGTGAACTAACACTGAGGCCTTCTCTCACTAAGTCCTTCTCTCACACTGACGGCTACCTCAGACTGAGGCCTCTCTCACAATGAGGTGAACTAACACTGAGGCCTTCTCTCACTAAGTCCTTCTCTCACACTGAGGGCTACCTCAGGCTGAGCCCTCTCTCACAATGAGGCAAACTAACACTGAGGCCTTCTCTCACTAAGTCCTTCTCTCACACTGAGGGCTACCTCAGACTGAGGCCTCTCTCATAATGAGGTGAACTAACACTGAGGCCTTCTCTCACACTGAGGACTACCTCAGACTGAGGCCTCTCTCACAATGAGGTGAACTAACACTGAGGCCTTCTCTCACTAAGTCCTTCTCTCACACTGAGGGCTACCTCAGGCTGAGCCCTCTCTCACAATGAGGCAAACTAACACTGAGGCCTTCTCTCACTAAGTCCTTCTCTCACACTGAGGGCTACCTCAGACTGAGGCCTCTCTCATAATGAGGTGAACTAACACTGAGGCCTTCTCTCACTAAGTCCTTCTCTCACTCTGAGGCCTACCTCACAATGAGGCGAACTAACACCGAGGCCTTCTCTCAGTAAGTCCTTCTCTCACACTGAGGGCTACCTTAGACTGAGGCCTCTCTCACAATGAGGCGAACTAACACTGAGGCCTTCTCTCACTAAGTCCTTCTCTCACACTGAGACCTTTTCTCACTAAGTACATCTCTCAGTCTGAGGGCTACCTTAGACTGAGGCCTTTCTGGGAGTTGTAGTTCACCCACAACTAGAGATGGAATATAATATAATGGAAAAATATAATATAATAATACAAAATACAAAATAAAATGTATTAATATATGTAATACATGGAAAGCCTTCTATGGAGGCCGATCTTTCCTCTCCACCTTAGACCCAAACCCTGCAGTTCACGGAAGGTCATTTTAGGGAAGATTAATTAATCAAAGGGAAGAGTAATTAGCGGAGAATTCCCAACCCGGCCAAAGGAAATTCCTGTTTGTTTTCTGGCTGATGAACAGCAAGGAATTCATTAATTTTTAATAGGATCGGTTTGGAAGAAAGTGCCAATGATTCACCCGAAAGACATTCTTCCTTCCTTGATGAGATAACAGAAGAAAAGGGTCAACGTCCAACTGCAAAACAGGGGCAAAAGGACTTGTTTCCCCCCCTTGCAATTTGCATCTGAAATAATAGATTTGTCAAATCTTAATGGTGCATCTACATTGCAGGCTTAATGCAGTTTGAGCCCATTTTCACTGGCATGGCTCAATGCTGTGGAAACCTGGGCGAGCAATATTGCAAATTATTATTATTATTATTATTATTATTATTATTATTATTATTATTGTAAATAACAATAAATATAATAAGTATTTTTTAAAATATAATATAATAATCAACGTTATATTATAATATTAATAATCAATAATTTTATTATTTATTTATTTATTTAGACGTTTTCTATACCGGCCTTCTCACCTCGACGAGGGACTCGGGTCGGTTTACAGGATATATAAAATACAATCATATAAAGAACACCAAGTGCAAAGTCATTACATATTAAAATAGTGCAATACAGTACAATAAAACATCATCATTACAATTTCCTAAGCCAAATCGTCAATCCAGTCATGGTCATAGTCATACTCGTCGTCACAGTTCATCATAATTCATCACAGGGAGGGGGTTCTAGGTTCAGTCCTCAAATGCCACATTCCAGAGCCAGGTTTTTAGTAATTTCCTGAACGTCAGGAGGGAGGGGGCCGATCTGATCTCTAGTGGGAGGGAGTTCCAAAGCCGGGGAGCCACCACCGAGAAGGCCCTGTCTCTCGTCCCCACCAACCGTGATTGCGAGGGTGGTGGGACCGAGAGCAGCCCCCCCCCCCCCGGAAGATCTTAATAGCCTTGATGGTTCATAGGGGAGAATCCATTCGGACAGGTAAACTGGGCCAGAGCCGTTTAGGGCTTTATAGGTCAAACCAGCACTTTGAATTGTGCACGGAAGCTAATTGGCAGCCAGTGGAGCTGGCGTAACAGAGGGGTCGTATGGTCTCTGTACCCCGCCCCTGTTAGCAATCTGACTGCCGCGCGTTGGACTGATTGAAGCTTCCGGGTAGAGGCAACCCCACGTAGAGAGCGTTGCAGTAGTCTAAACGGGATGTAACCAGAGCGTGGACTACCGTGGCCAAGTCAGACTTCCCAAGGTACGGGCGCAGCTGGCGCACAAGTTTTAATTGTGCAAAAGCTCCCCTGACCACCGCCGAGACCTGGGGTTCCAGGCTCAGCGATGAGTCCAGGGTCACTCCCAAGCTGCGAACCTGCGTCTTCAGGGGGAGTGCGACCCCATCCAACACAGGCTGTAACCCTATACCCTGTTCGGCCTTGTGACTGACCAGGAGTACCTCTGTCTTGTCTGGATTCAATTTCAATTTGTTCGCCCTCATCCAGACCGTCACAGCGGCCAAGCACCGGTTCAGGACCTGACAGCCTCCTTAGTAGCAGGTGGAAAGGAGTGACAGAGTTGGACATCATCCGCATACAGATGACACCGCACCCCGGGTCCAGGGTCACTCCCAAGGGTCACTCCCAAGCTGCAAACCTGCGTCTTCAGGGGGAGTGTAACCCCGTCAAGCACAGGCTGTAACCCTATGCCCTGTTCGGCCTTTCGACTGACCAGGAGTACCTCTGTCTTGTCTGGATTTAGTTTCAATCTGTTGTCCCTCATCCAGTCCGTTACAGAGGCCAAGCACCGGTTCAGGACTTCAACGGCCTCCTTAGTAGCAGGTGGAAAGGAGTGACATAAATAACAATAAATATAATAATTATATTTTAAATATAATATAATAATCAATGTATATAGCTCAGGTAGAGAGGTTGTAGTGTTGCGAGGTGGTCGGTACACTACAAGTATCCCTATTCTGTCCCAGTCTACTCTCAGGTGGACATTCAAATGAGGGTATGTGTGGGATAGGGCATCTGGTCAGACCTGGCATTCAACAGTACCATCTTTAACCTGGAGGGACCACCATCTTGGTTACCCAAGTTCACCATGTCGGGAGACCGTTTTGGCACTACCAATTCTCTCACACATTCCCTAGGCCGAATTAACACATTTGGTCTCCTTTCCCCACATCTCCCTCTTCCCATTATTGTTTCTATAGAGGCCCCCGACCACTGGAACTCCACTCACTCATACATTAAATAAATATATTTATTATATTAAATATAATAAATAACAAAAGATACAATATACATTTTATAATATGATTAATATAGTCAATTAATAATTAACAATAATACAAAACATAATAATAAATAGAATAAATAAAATATAAAATAATAATAAATGCTATAATAATAATTAATAATATATTAAATATAATAAATAATAAAATATAATATATATATATGATATAGTTATATCATATTTATTTATTTACAGGAATCTAGATACTGCAAATAAATAAATAAAATAAGCAAAAGGAGAAAGTGGGTTCTGTGGGCACAATTGGGGCATTGTGTCTGTCGACGGGCAACCAACCCACATTATGTCATTGCTGTCCCAGGGAAAGCAAGGCCAAACCAATCACAAAGCCATTGTTTTCTCGCGGCTGCAAAGAAGGAGACAGAGAGAGCTTTGTACCAGGGCTGTGCGCATGGGGGCATTAATATATTATATTATATTACATTATTATACAGGCTTTATTATTTTATTTTATTTTATTTTGTATTATTATATTATATTATATTTTTCCATTATATTATATTCCATCTCTGGTTGTGGGTGAACTACAACTCCCAGAAAGGAAGGTCAGTCCTCGTCCCGTCCCCAGACCCCTCCAGTAATAAAATTTCAACATATCAGGTCTGTGTGCCAAGTTTGGCCCAAATCCATCAATGCTTGGGTTCACAGTGGTCTCTGGATGTAGGTGAACTACAACTCCCCCAAACCAAGTTGAATTACCCCCAAAGACCTCCAGTATTTTTTGCTGGTCATGGGGGGCCTGTGTGCCAAGTTTGGTCCAATTCCCTCTTTGCTGGAGTTCAGAGTGCTCCTTGATTGCAGGTGAACTATAAATCCTAGTGCCTACGACTCCCAAATATCCAGGCCATTTCCCCTCTAAACCCACCAGTATTCAAATTTGGTCATATTGGGTATGCATGCCAAGTTTGGTCCAGATCCATTGGATTTAGCAAAAGTCGCAGTTCAATATTAGCAGGTGTGCCTGAAGCTTACTAACCCTCAGTCTGAGGGAGGCCTCGGTGTGTTAGAAGGCCTCAGTGTGGGGTAGGCCTCAGTGTGAGAGAAGGACTTAGTGAGAGAAGGCCTCAGTGTTAGTTCGCCTCAGTGTGAGAGAGACCTCAGTCTGAGGTAGCCCTCAGTGTGAGTGAGAGAAGGCCTCAGTGTTAGTTCACCTAATTGTAAGAGAGGCCTCAGTCTAAGGTAGCCCTCAGTGTGAGACAAGGATTTAGTGAGAGAAGGCCTCAGTATTAGTTCACCTCATTGTAAGAGAGGCCTCAGTCTGAGGTAGCCCTCAGTGTGAGAGAAGGACTTAGAGAAGGCCTCAGTGTGAGAGAAGGACTTAGTGAGAGAAGGCCTCAATGTTAGTTCCACCTCATTGTAAGAGAGGCCTCAGTCTGAGGTAGCCCTCTGTGTGAGAGAAGGACTTTGTGAGTGAAGGCCTCAGTGTTAGTTTGCCTCATTGTGAGAGAGGCCTCAGTCTGAGGTAGCCCTCAGTGTGAGAGAAGGACTTAGTGAGAGAAGGCCTCAGTGTGAGAGGATGACTTAGTGAGAGAAGGCCTCAATGTTAGTTCACCTCATTGTAAGAGAGGCCTCAGTCTGAGGTAGCCCTCAGTGTGAGAGAAGGACTTAGTGAGAGAAGGCCTCAGTGTGAGGTAGGCCTCAGTGTGAGGTAGGCCTCAGTCTGAGGTAGCCCTCAGTGTGAGACAATGACTTAGTGAGAGAAGGCCTCAGTTCGCCTCATTGTAAGAGAGGCCTCAGTCTGAGGTAGCCCTCAGTGTGAGAGAAGGACTTAGTGAGAGAAGGCCTCAGTGTTGGTTTGCCTCATTGTTAGAGAGACCTCAGTCTGAGGCAGCCCTCAGTGTGAGAGAAAGACTTAGTGAGAGAAGGCCCCAGTGTTAGTTTGCCTCAGTGTGAGGTAGGCCTCATTCTGAAGTAGCCCTCAGTGTGAGAGAAGTACTTAGTGAGAGAAGGCCTCACTGTTAGTTCAACTCATTGTGAGAGAGGCCTCAGTGTAAGGTAGGCTTCAGTTTTAATGGGCCTCAGTATGAGAAGGCCTCATATGTAGAGCTCCAGTGTGACAGTTGAACTTTGTGTTATTGAAACTGTGTTGTTGTAAATAGTGCCACCAAGTTTGGTCCAGATCCATCATTGTTTGGGTTCATAGTGCGCTGTGGCTGTAGGTGAACTATAACTCCTAGAAATCCCTCCAAAGTTTTCCTTAGTTGCTGAATTTCAGCATTGTTTCTGTCCCATTCGAGTTCTGGATGTTTTGGGAACAATATCCAATTTATTTATTTTTTTGCTTTCCTTCCTTCAGATATGTGGCCACTCCATTAGCGAGACTTTTGAACGTCAAGGAGAAAGTCCGGTTAAAAGCCACACCGAATCCCATCTTAGAAAAACATTACACTTCTTCCTGCAAACATCCCAAACAGGTAAAAAGTAATGTTGTTGTTGTTGTTGTTGTTTTTCACTCAGAAGAAAAAGGAACTACCCGTAACAAAACACATCTTCTGATACTTTGCTGTATAATTCAATTTCAATTTCAGCAGTCAGTCCGCTCCGAGTTTTAGTCCAAACTTTAATAGCCCCAGATTGTGGCTGTCTTTGTGGATTGCGACCTCTTTTATTTCCCTAATTTGCTTCCGTTCCCTTTGCAGGCGGACATCGAGGCCCTTTCAAAGAAAAGCGGATGCTCCGCCCGGCAGGTCGAGCGCTGGTTCCGGCGCCGGCGCAACCAGGACCGGCCCAGTTTGCTGAAGAAGTTTCGGGAAGCCAGGTAAGCAGGGCTGTACCACGTTCTGAGAGCAAGGCTGTATCTATTCAATTGTATGAAACAAGGGGCATTCGGCACATGCCCAGTGGAACTCTTGTCATGCTCTGAAAAAAAAAGTCCCCATCCTTTGTGCTTCCTTTTCCAGTTGGCGATTCACCTTTTACCTTATTGCTTTCATTGCTGGCATGGTTGTTATAGCAGATGTAAGTACCGTCACCTCGTTTGTATTTATTGATCCTAATTTTGGGGGGGGAAATAGAAAATTTTGAAATTGACCCACACTTGTTCTTCTTTGCTCCATCTTGGTGTCTTATTCCTGCAGAAACCCTGGTTTTACGATCTCCGGAAAGTTTGGGACGGCTATCCTGTCCAGGTGAGCAAAAGAAATTTAACTTTGATTTCTAATCAGATTTTCCTGGGTTCGCATTTCAGTACTTGATCTGCTTCATCGTCCGGGAGAAAGCGATGAGACTTGTGGATATGGATCCTTAGGTTACAATTGGACCTCAATATCCATGGGTTTTGCATCCACTGATTCGACCATCCCAATCTTGGAAATACTTTTTCAAAAACCAAAAAAGAAATCCCTTAATCATGGTATCTTATATCTATATATATAAAAAGGGAAAGGGTGTTCAACGGGACAGCAAAATGCGAAAAAACCCCAACGAAAACTCACCAAATTTGCCGTGCACATACCTCAACCCACAAGGTATGCACAACACTCACCAAAATTCCAAACAACATTTCAACAAACTCACAATTACAAAAACCAACTGAGCATGCGCAGTGCCCAGGCCCGGCTCTGCCGAGGACAGCCCATCAGCCACCGCAACACCCAGCCCAGGCCGCCCCCGCACACTGCCGTCTGGCTCCGCCATCGGTGAGGAAGGGGAAGGAGGGAAGGAAGCGGGAGAGGGAAGGACGGAAATGAGGGGAAGGGGTGTAAATAGCAAGGAAGGTGTAGGAAGGAAGGAAGGAAGGAAGGAAAGAAGAAAAGAAGGAAAGAAAGAAGAAAAGTGGGAAGGGGAAGGAAAGGTGAAGGAAGGAAGGAAGGAAGGAGAAGAAGAAAAGGAAAGGAAGAAAAGAAGAAGAAAGGAGAGAGGATGGGAAAGAAGGGAGAAAAGGAAGGAAGGAAAGAAGGAAGGGGAAGAAGAGAAAGGAGGGAAGGAAGGGATAAAGAAGGAAAGAAAGCATTTTTAATACAGAGCAAGATGATGATGGAAAGCAATGTAGAAACCTTTCTGAAAGCAAAGCTACGGAACACGAAGCCTACAGGGAAGGGGAAGGGAAGGTGTCAAAAAGGAAGGAAGGAAGGGGAATTTGGGAAGGGGAAGAGAGGGAAAAAAGAAGGAAAGAAGGAAGGGAAGGTAGGAGGAGAGAAGGAAAGAAAAAAGGGAAGGGAGGAAATACGGAGCAAAGGAAGAAGAGAAAGAAGGAGAGAAAGAGGGAGGGAAGGAAAGAAATAAAGAGAAGGAAGGATGGGAGCAAAAAGCTAAGGAAGGAAGTAAACAGGTAGAGAAGGAAGAAAGGAAAGAAGAAAAGGAAATGAAGGAAGGAGTGAAAGAAGGCGAGAAAGAGGGAGAGAAGGTTGGCCACAGCAACGCGTGGCGGGTAAAGCTAGTTGCATATAAACAGGAAGATAGTTTTTGATCCTAGAACCAAATCCCGGTGAAACCCCAGGACCTGATGGAAACTCATTGGCTCCTAAATCATCATGGACTACAATCCCATTTTGGCCCGTCACATTTAGATCCCTCAAATTAGTAGAACACAATCTCATTTGCTCCAACATTAATAATACATACGATATAGTAGTAGTAGTAGTAGTAGTAGTAATAATAATAATAATAATAATAATAATAATAATAATATAGTAATAATAGTAATAACAATAGTAATAGTAATAATAATAAAAATTTAAAGATCGAACTGCAGACTCTGGGGCACAAGCCAGTCAAGGTGGTCCCAGTGGTGATCGGCACACTGGGTGCAGAGCCTCAAGACCTTGGCCTGCACTTAAACACAATCTGCGCTGACAAAATTGCCAGCTGAAGAAGGCCACCTTAGTGGGATCTACATGCATTATCATCGATACATCACACAGTCCTAGACACTTGGGAAGTGTCTGACGTGTGATCCAATTCAACAGCCAATTCAACGAGGGATCTTGTCTGCTGTGGATTCATCTTGTTGTGTTTCTAATAATAATAATAATAATAATAATAATAATAATAATAAATTTATTTATACCCCACCACCATCTCTCATAGGGACTCGGGGCGGCTTACAAATTACCACACAATGGTGCCAAAACAACACGTAAAATGCAATACATCAACATATAAAACCAATAACACATTTACATAAAACCAGACTATAAAATTAACAAAAAAAACCCTCTATTAAATAGAATAAATGAAACGTGGCTATAGAATGGAGGCTTGCAATGGCCAGAGGTCTGAGCAGGTGTCCCCCAGCATCACTATCTAGGAACGGTCCTCCAGGAAAGAAGTACCCCCAAGACCCATTCTGGAGAGTTGACTCAGAAGGATACCATGGTTGATGGTATCAAAAGCTGCCAAGAGATCCCAAACCAGCAGGGACACAGTCCCCCATCTAGATCTCTGCGGAGGTCATCCACCAAGGTGACCAAAGCCATCACCGTTCCATGTCCCATATCTCTCTCTTATGTGACGCATGTGCTTTTCCACATGATGTTGGAATATCATCGCAAATGCTGCTTCTGTTTCTGTGTAGGATAGATTCGAACGCTGTCTTGTTATTGCTGCCGTGGTTGCCATGTTCATTCTTATTCTTCACTTTCCTTTCCCAGACCATGTTGCCGTCCCAGTACTGGTATTACATGATCGAGTTGTCCTTTTACTGGTCGCTCTTGTTCAGCATTGCCTCGGACGTGAAGCGCAAGGTGAGTGAGACAGTTCGATTTCCGATCCCTTCGAGGGCTTTGCTTTCTTATATAGCTTGGGTTTACATTTGGGGGCAGTAGAGGTACCGAACGGCATTAACATGAGATCAGATGTTCCCTTTGGTGAAGCTGAACTTTGCCATGTTCAGCATTGCCTCGGACGTGAAGCGCAAGGTGAGTGAGACAGTTCGGTTTCCGATCCCTTCGAGGGCTTTGTTTTCTTATATAGCTTGGGTTTACATTTTGGGGCGTTAGTGGTACCGAACGGCATTAACGTGACATCAAATGTTCCCTTTGGTGAAGCTGAACTTTGCCATTTTTACCTTCCGGATCATAGGTTTATCTTCTTTTCCTTCTTTCAATAGGACTTCAAGGAGCAAGTCATCCACCACGTGGCCACCATCATCTTGATCAGCTTTTCCTGGTGCACGAATTACATCCGGGCTGGGACCCTCGTCATGGCCTTGCACGACTCTTCGGATTACTTGCTGGAGGTGAGGGAATGGATGGGAGGTGAGGGAATGTTTATTTACAATATTTCTATTTCCACCCTTCTCATCCCAAAGGGGACTCAGGGCGGATCACAGAACACGTATACGGCAAACATTCGATGCTGACAAGACAGGCAATTATACATAGATAGAGGTATATATAGGCTTCTCCCATCTTCGGCATCTTGGAGGCTGGGCTCATTTCCGACCACAGGGGTTGTTCTCACGCCACCTTCCTTGCCAAAGAGCTTTGTTCGTAAACTTCCTCCTTGATCGAATCGTGGACACTTTTCTGGCATTTCCTTATGGGTGCCTAAAATACCTGCCCACTTTAAAGTGGCACCTATTTATCTACTCGCATTTGCTTTCAAACTGCTAGGTACGCAGAAGCTAGACTAAAGGCCAGGAGCTCACTTTGACCCAGGCTTCAAACTTGTCAACCTTTTGATAGGAAAGATTGCAGCTGGTGGTTAACCTGCAGGGTCCTCAAACATTTGAAGCTGAGGACTGGTTCAGGGGGCGGAATATACTTTGCAAAAAAAACATGCACTAATTCCTATGCACGCTGCACATTTATTTACAGTATTTATATTCCGCCCTTCTCACCCCGCAGGGGACTCAGGTCGGATCACAATGCACATATACATGGCAAACATCCAATGCCATAGACACACAACATATATAGACAGAGACACAGATGCTATTCAACTTTCCAGCTTCATGAGGGTATGCTTTTTGAATTCCGGCCACCGGGGGAGCTGTCGCTTCACCATCCACTTGTGACACCGATTGCGTACTTCCTCATTCTTTTGCACGCTGCTGGAGAGTTTTTTTATGACATCGTAAATTAGTTAAATTAGCCTCCCCAAAATAAGTGGTACCTAAATTTCCTACTTGACAGACGCAACTGTCTTTCGGGCTGCAAAGGTCGACAGCAAGCTAGACAAATTTCCAGAAGCTCACTCCGACCTGGGCTGGCTTCCAACTCATGACCTCTTGGTCAGTCGTGATTTTAATGCAGCTGACTCCCAACCAGCTGCTCCACATATTTATTTGTTGAGCAAAAAAATTTAATACAATAGGGTTAGCTATTATCCACACAAAGCCTGCAAATGTCTCTCCCATGGACACATTCTACTTGGATGTAACATGGCCAACAATCACCAAGAGCTGTATTGCTATAGCTGGCAATGATGGGATATGTTGTTTGACACATCTGGGTGAAAAACACCAATGTATGCATTTCCACAATGGTATCTGAATACTTCTTTTTTTTCCCCCGGTCAGTCAGCAAAGATGTTTAATTACGCCGGTTGGAAGAATACCTGCAATAACATTTTCATTGTCTTCGCGATGGTCTTTATCTTCACGCGGCTCATTATCCTTCCTTTCTGGTAAGTAGCCAGTGGGATCTTCTTTGGGTTTTAATATTAATCCCGGAAGGGAAAAAGGTAGAAAAACAGCACATAGTGGGTTTCCAGTGGGTCACATTCAGATTTGGATTTTAAAATGAAAGATTGTAAAAAAGGGGGATCACTAGGGTCATGCAAGGAAAAGCCGTCCCAAAAGATCCCCCTTGAATTGAAAAAGCCTCAATCTGAGGTAGACCTCAGTGTGAGAGAAGGTCTCAGTGTTAGTTCACCTCATTGTGAGAGAGGCCTCAGTGTAAGGTAGGCCTCAGTGGTAGTAGGCCTCAGTATGAGAGTGAAAGAAGGCCTCAGTGTTAGTTCACCTCATCATGAGAAAGGCCTCAGTGTGAGGTAGGCTTCATTGTGAGAGAGGCCTCAGTATGAGGTAGCCCTCAGTATGAGAGTAGGACGTAATCACCTAGTGGAACCTTTTAGCATAAATCCCAGAAGGGCAGGTATAGAAAAACAGCATATAGTGGGTTTCCAGCAGGTCTTCTTTAATAGATATCAGATAATCTTCCTTCCCTCCTTCCATTTATTCTTTCTTCCATCCTACCTTCCTTCCTTCCTTCCCTCTCTCCTTCCCTCCATCTATCCATCCTTCCTTCCTCGCTTGCTTCCTTCTTTCCCACCTTCCTTCCCTCCTTCCATTCATTCTTTCTTCCATCCTGCCTTCCCTCCCTCCCTCTTCCATCCATCCTTCCTTCCTTCCTTCCTTCTTCCGTCCTGCCTTCCTTCCCTCTCTCCTTCCTTCCATCTATCCATCCTTCCTTCATGGCTTGCTTCCTTCTTTCCCTCCATCCTTCCTTCCTTCCCTCCTTCCATTCATTCTTTCTTCCATCCTGCCTTCCTTCCTTCCCTCCCTCCCTCCCTCTATCCTTCCTTCCTGCCTTCCTTCCTTCCTTCCTTCCTTCCTTCCTTCCTTTCTTCCCTTCTTTCCCTCCTCTTCCTTCCCTCTCTCCTTCCTCCATCTATCCATCCTTCCTTCCTGGCTTGCTTCCTTCTTTCCCTTCATCCTTCCTTCCATTCATTCTTTCTTCCATCCTGCCTTCCTTCCCTCTCTCCCCCTCCCTCCCTCCATCCTCTTCCTTCCTTCCTTCCTTCCTCTCCTTCTCCTTCCTTCCTTCTTCTTCCTTCCTTCTCCTTCTCTTCTTCCTCCCTTCCTTCCCTCTCTCATTCTCTCTCTCCCTCCCTCTATCCATCCATCCTTCCTTCCTTTCTTCCTTCTTTCCGTCCTGCCTTCCTTCCCTCTCTCCTTCCTTCCATCTATCCATCCTTCCTTCATGGCTTGCTTCCTTCTTTCCCTCCATCCTTCCTTCCTTCCCTCCTTCCATTCATTCTTTCTTCCATCCTGCCTTCCTTCCTTCCCTCCCTCCCTCCCTCTATCCCTCCTTCCTTCTCTCTTTCCATCCCTTCCTTCCTTCCTTCCTTCCTTCCTTCCTTCCTTCCTTCCTTCCTTCCTTCACCTTCCTTCACCTTCCTTCCTTCCTTCCTTCTCTCCTTCCTTCTATCCTTCCTTCCTTCCTTCCTTCCTTCCTTCCTTCCTTCCTTCCTTCCTTCCTCCTTCCCTCCTTCCTTCCTTCCTTCCTTCCTTCCTTCCTTCCTTCCTTCCTTCCTTCCTTCCTTCCTGCCTGCCTGCCTGCCTGCCTGCCTGCCTGCCTGCCTGCCTGCCTCCCTCCTCCTTCCTTCCTTCCTTCCTTCCTTCCTTCCTTCCTTCCTTCCGTCCTGCCTTCCTTCCCTCTCTCCTTCCTTCCATCTATCCATCCTTCCTTCCTGGCTTGCTTCCTTCTTTCCCTCCATCCTTCCTTCCTTCACTCCTTCCATTCATTCTTTCTTCCATCCTGCCTTCCTTCCCTCTCTCCCTCCCTCCCTCTATCCTTCCTTCCTTCCTGCCTTCCCTCCATCCTTCCTTCCTTCCTTCCCTCTCTCCTTCCCTCCATCTATCCATCCTTCCTTCCTTCCTTCCTGCCTTCCCTCCATCCTTCTATCTTCCTTCCATTCTTTCTTCCCTCTCTCCATCTATCCATCTTTCCTTTCTGGCTTCCTTCCTTCCCTCCATCCATCCATCCATCCTTCCTTCCATTCATTCTTTCTTCCATCCATCCAGGCTTCCTTCCCTCCCTCTCTCCATCCTTCCTTCCTGGCTTCCTTCCATTCATCCTTCCTTCCTTCCGTCCCTCCATCCTGCCTTCCTTCCCTCTCTCCTTCCCTCCCTATCTATCCTTCCTTCCTGGCTTCCTTCCTTCTTCCCTCCATCCTTCCTTCCCTCCTTCCATTCTTCCTTCCCTCTCTCCATCTATCCATCATTCCTTTCTTCTTTCCTTTTTTCCACCCTGCCAACGGTGTCGTCATTTAGGCAGAAACAAGCCCAGTTTATTGCTTTCAAACAATGGTGGGACCAAAAAGGAAGTGAGTCCCTCCATGAACACAATACACAACATAAAACTAAAATCTGAAAGATTGAGAACCGGCCGATTGTTTCAAAACGGTAGATTTGTGGGACCTGTTTGCAAGGGAGTCAACGCTCTCGCTCTCTCCTTTGTCTAGGATCCTCCATTGCACGATCGTTTACCCGCTGGACCACTACCCGCCTTTCTTCGGCTACTACTTCTTCAACCTCATGATGCTGATCCTGCAGTCCCTCCACATCTTTTGGGCGTTTCTCATTATCCGCATGGCCCAGAAGTTCATAACTGGAAAGGCAAGCTTCCAATGTTTTCTTGTCGAATGCTCTCTTAAGTTAACCGCAAGTTTTTTTGTCGGGTGAAATATCTTTTAAGAGTGTTGGGGGAGCCCGTTCCCCCGTTCAGAATACTTTGTCTGTCCCTGTAATAATAATAATTTTGGAATATTTGGTTTGTTGTGGAGATAATGCTTCAGTAGAGACCCCCCCCTTCCCCACGATAATAACTCATTCAGGAGTGGATTTCTCTTCCAAAGAGTAGGCGGATTCTTTTCATCGCGTAATAGTCGCACAACCACTTCCTCCTGTCGCAGTTCCCGTTCATAACTATGAGTTGTTTGTAAGCCAGACGTTTGTAACTCAGGGACAGCTTGTATTTAGAATTGACTTGATAAATACTCAAAAGTTTGCCTTGACCAGGGGTCCTCAAACTATAGTCCGCGGGCCGAATACGGCCATCCAAGGTCATTTACCCAGCCCTTGCTCAGGGTCAACCTAACTCTGAAATGACTTGAAAGCACACAACAACAATCCTATCTCATCAGCCAAAAGCAGGCCCACACCTCCCATTGAAATACTAATAAGTTTATGTTAAATTTGCTCTTCATTTTAATTATTGTATTGCCTTCCCTCCCTCTCGCCTTCCCTCCATCTATCCTTCCTGGCTTCCTTCCTTCCCTCCATCCTTCCTTCCTTCCATTCATCCTTACTTCCTTCCGTCCTTCCATCCTGCCTTCCTTCCCTCATGCCTTCCCTCCATCTATCCATTCTTCCTTCCTGGCTTCCTTCCTTCCCTCCATCCTTCTATCTTCCTTCCTTCCCTCCTTCCATTCTTTCTTCCCTCTCTCTATCTATCCATCTTTTCTTCCTGGCTTCCTTCCTTCCCTCCTCCTTTCCTTCTCTTCCTTCTCTCCATCTATTCATCCTTCCTTCCTGGCTGCCTTCCTTCCTTCCCTCCATCTTTCCTTCCTTCCATTCATTCTTTCTTCCATCCTGCCTTCCTTCCCTCTCTCCTTCCATCTATCCATCCTTCCTTCCTGGCTTCCTTCTTTCCCTCCTTCCATTCTTTCTTCCATCCTGCCTTCCTTCCCTCTCTCCTTCCATCTATCCATCCTTCCTTCCTGGCTTCCTTCCTTCCCTCCTTCTATTCATTCTTTCTTCCATCCTGCCTTCCTTCCCTCTCTCCTTCCATCTATCCATCCTTCCTTCCTGGCTTCCTTCCTTCCCTCCTTCTATTCATTCTTTCTTCCATCCTGCCTTCCTTCCCTCTCTCCTTCCATCTATCCATCCTTCCTTCCTTCCCTCCTTCTATTCATTCTTTCTTCCATCCTGCCTTCCTTCCCTCCCTGTCGTCTTCCCTCCATCTATCCATCTTTCCTTCCTTCCTGGCTTCCTTCTATCTGTCTTCCCTCCTTCCTTCCCTCTCTCCATATGTGCATTGTACACTGGAATTTGAGGGGCTGTGACCTGGCCCTCTGTTTAAAAGGTTTGAGGACCCCTGGCCTTGACGTTGTGTCTGGATCCTTCTGTGCAGGTGGTGGAGGATGAGCGCAGCGACCGGGACGAGACGGACAACTCCGACGAGGAAGACGAGAAGCCCGCCGCCGCCGCCGGTTCAGCCACCAAAAACGGCCCGCTGACCAACGGCCACCCCGTCTTGAACAATAACCACCGGAAAGTTGAATGATGATCCTTGGCGTTCGTTTATATTCCTCGGGAGGCGGTGGGGAGGCCTTCTCCCGATGCCGACTCCCCCGCCGCCTGCCGCGAGATGCACAAGCGGAGACCGTGTTGTTTTTGTTTTGTTTTTGAGGCCAAAACCAAAAAAGAGAGAGAGAGAGAAAATACCCCCCCCCCCCCCATGAACTTTCTACGAGGAGAACATTTCTGAATTTCCAAATGAAGGAGTCCGTCTCGAATCGTCAGCTTCGAGTTGGATTCGGAAACAAAGGGGCAAATGCCTTATGGGACAATTGTACGTGATGGAAGAGAACTCCACCATAAGACCTTTTCTCCTGAGAGCGAGACCCGGTTTCCTCCTCCTCCTCCTTCTTTCTGCCGGACTTTTGCCTTGTTCTCTTCTCTTCCTTCCTTCCCTTTCTTCCTGACCAAATTGCCTTAAAACTAACGTCAAATCGCCTGTCTTTTCCTCCTCTGCTGACCAAATTAAGACCTAAGAAGCCGTAGGAAAGGAGAAGGCATAAAATGACAGTCGTTCTTTTATATACTTTGGAGAGTCCAACTTTTCAAGCCGAGGTCCCCTTCCTGTGCCAAAAGGCTTTTGAATTCGAAGTGTATCAGAGAGCAGTTTCCGCTCTCGATCTTCCTCAGTGCCAGGATTTTCACAACACACACACACACAGATATATATCACGAGGAAAGCCTTGCAACTTGGGTCCAATTTCCGCATTTCTCGGGGACGTAGAGGTTCACGTTCAGGACTCGGAGACGTGGCCAGATCCTCCATTTCCATCTCCAATTTTGAGTCCAATTTCCGCATTTCTCGAGGACGTAGAGGTTCACATTCAGGACTCAGAGACGTAGCCAGATCCTCCATTTCCATCTCACACACATGTAGATGTATTACGAGGAAAGCCTTGCAACTAGGGTCCAATTTCCGCATTTCTCGGGGACGTAGAGGTTCACATTCAGGACTCGGAGACGTGGCCAGATCCTCCATTTCCATCTCCAATTTTGAGTCCAATTTCTGCATTTCTCGGGGACGTAGAGGTTCACGTTCAGGACTCGGAGACATAGCCAGATCCTCCATTTCCATCTCTCTCACATATATATTATGAGGAAAGCCTTGCAACTTGGGTCCAATTTCCGCATTTCTCGGGGACGTAGAGGTTCACGTTCAGGACTCGGAGAGGTGGCCTGATCCTCCATTTCCATCTCCAATTTTGAGTCCAATTTCTGCATTTCTCGGGGACATAGAGGTTCGCATTCAGGACTCGGAGACATAGCCAGATCCTCCATTTCCATCTCTCACACACATATATGTATTATGAGGAAAGCCTTGCAACTTGGGTCCAATTTCCGCATTTCTCGGGGACGTAGAGGTTCGCATTCAGGACTCGGAGATGTGGCCAGATCCTCCATTTCCATCTCCAATTTTGAGTCCAATTTCCGCATTTCTCGGAGACGTAGAGGTTCAGCGTTCAGGACTCTGAGACATGCCCAGATCATTTCCATCTCACACACACATATATATATATCACGAGGAAAGCCTTGCAGCTTGGGTTCAATTTCCGAATTTCTCGGGGACGTAGAGGTTCGCATTCAGGACTCGGAGACGTAGCCAGATCCTCCATTCCATCTCACACACACATATATGTATTATGAGGAAAGCCTTGCAACTTGAGTCCAATTTCCGCATTTCTCGGGGATGTAGAGGTTCACATTTTCTTTCTTACAGCCCTCCCTCCTGCCTTCCTTCCCGCCTTCCATCCATCTCTCCATCCTTTCTTCCTTCCCTCCATCTATCCATCCTTCCTTCTATCCATCGTTTTTTCCATCCATCTACCCTTCCTTCCACTTTTCCATTCTTTCTTCCTTCCTTCCCGTCTTCCTTCTATCTATCCCTGTCTTCCCTCCATCTACACATTTTTCCTTCTTGCCATCCATCCATCCTGTCTTCCATCTTTCCTTCCACCCTGCCTTTCATCTATCCTTCCTTCCATCCGGCCTGACATCCATCCTTTCGACCTTCCCTCCTTACATTCATTCTTTTCCTTCTTTCTATCCATCCTTTCTTCATTCTAGCCATCCCATCCTACTCTCCATCCTTTCTCCCTTCCATCCACCTATCCTTCCCTCCTTCCATCCATCCTGTCTCCAATTTTGAGTCCAATTTCCGCATTTCTCGAGGACATAAAGGTTCGCGTTCAGGACTCGGAGACGTGGCCAGATCCTCCATTTCCATCTCCAATTTTGAGTCCAATTTCCGAATTTCTCGGGGACGTAGAGGTTCATGTTCAGGACTCGGAGACATAGCCAGATCCTCCATTTCCATCTCACACACACATACGTGTTTTACGAGGAAAGCTTTGCAACTTGGGTCCAATTTCTGCATTTCTCGGGGACGTAGAGGTTCGCGTTCAGGACTCGGAGACGTGACCAGATCCTCAATTTCCATCTCCAATTTTGAGTCCAATTTCCACATTTCTCGGGGACATAGAGGTTCGCGTTCAGGACTCTGAGACGTAGCCAGATCCTCCATTTCCATCACACACACACATATATGTATTACAAGGAAAGCCTTGCAACTTGAGTCCAATTTCCGCATTTCTCGGGGATGTAGAGGTTCGTGTTCAGGACTCTGAGACGTAGCCAGATCCTCCATTTCCATCTCACACACACATATATGTATTACGAGGAAAGCTTTGCAACTTGGGTTCAGTTTCCACATTTCTCGGGGACGTAGAGGTTCACATTCAGGACTCGGAGATGTAGCCAGATCCTCTGTTTCCAACTCTTTGCAAGGAGGAAGAAAAGCCATAGTCGGCGCCGCCAAATCTTCAAACGGAGAAGGCCGAGTTACTCGTAACTGCACTAAATCGGTTCCCTTTCTCTCTTTTCCTGCACAAGAAAAAAGAGCACCTGGGTAAATTTAAATAACACCTATTGATGCCTTGATCTCATATAAAGTATTTCATAAAATGACGGGTTGAAGTCGTAATATAGAAGTATTTGAAGGTGGGCACAACGGCAAGGAATCGGGGACGGTGTGGTTATTTCCAAAGGTCAAGCAAGGCTGCCATTGGTGGCGAGAGACTCGTACTTTCCCCGCAAACGGCACCATTTCTCTTCGTATTCACATCCAACTATTCCACCCATTTCCTTTTGGGATTCCAGTCTTTTTCCCTCCTCTTCCACTTTTCCATTTAATCCACCCTTTTTCTCACCTTATTGACGACAAAACACTCAGTTTTCTGTGTATTCCACTTGGTTTTTCTCACTCTTTGGGGAACGAAGAACAATTATCGGTATTTCTCCCCCTCCTTTTAATTTATTAGATAGCATTTTTTGAGGACCATGATGATTATTTTTTTTGCAAAACCAATAAAACTAGGGGTCCAGGCAAAACAGCAGTGGAAATGTATAGAAAAATTGACTCTAAATAGAGGATCCAATGGCATTCTTTTTGTGTGTGTGTTTTTGTCTTGTTTCCAGCCCCGGGGAGGAGCGGGAGGGAGGGTTTTGCAAGGGGAAGAAAGGACCATTCGCCCATCTCCAGACCAAAATTGTGTTTTTTTAAAAAAGAAAATTTAAATATATTATTAAAAGCTAAATAAAACTAATAAAACTTCTGTTTAAAAAAACAATTACGTGGTGTCTTGTCATTCATGATGGTTACGTCTGGGGTCTCCATCCGGATTACCAGCCCTCCCTCTAGTCTTCCTTCCCGCCATCCATCCATCTCTCCATCCTTTCTTCCTTCCTTACCTCCATCTATCCTTCCTTCCTTCTATCCATCCTCCTTTCCATCCATCCTTCCTTCAATTCTTTCTTACAGCCCTCCCTCTAGTCTTCCTTCCCGCCTTCCATCCATCTCTCCATCCTTCCTTCCTTCCATCTATCTATCCTTCCTTCTACCCATCCTTTTTTCCATCCATCCTTCCTTCAATTCTTTCTTACAGCCCACCCTCTAGTCTTCCTTCCCACCTTCCATCCATCTCTCCATCCTTCCTTCCATCTATCCATCCTTCCTTCTACCCATCCTCCTTTCCATCCATCCTTCCTTCAATCCTTTCTTACAACCCTTCCGTCTAGTCTTCCTTCCCGCCTTCCATCCATCTCTCCATCCTTCCTTCCCCATCTATCCATCCTTCCTTCAATCCTTTCTTACAGCCCACCCTCTAGTCTTCCTTCCCACCTTCCATCCATCTTCCTTCCTTCCATCTATCCATCCTTCCTTCTACCCATCTTCCTTTCCATCCATCCTTCCTTCAATCCTTTCTTACAGCCCTCCCTCTAGTCTTCCTTCCCGCCTTCCATCCATCTCTTCCTTCCCTCCCTCCTTCCTTCCTTCTATCCATCCTTCCTTCTACCCATCCTTTTTTCCATCCATCCTTCCTTCAATCCTTTCTTATAGCCCTCCCTCTAGTCTTCCTTCCCGCCTTCCATCCATCTCTCCTATCCATCCTTCCTTCTACCCATCCTCCTTTCCATCCATCCTTCCTTCAATCCTTTCTTACAACCCTTCCGTCTAGTCTTCCTTCCCGCTTTCCATCCATCTCTCCATCCTTCCTTCTATCCATCCTTCCTTCTACCCATCCTTCCTTCAATCCTTTCTTACAGCGCTCCCTCTAGTCTTCCTTCCCACCTTCCGTCTCTCCATCCTTCCTTCCTTCCCTCCATCTATCCATCCTTCCTTCTACCCATCCTCCTTTCCATCCATCCTTCCTTCAATCCTTTCTTACAGCCCACCCTCTAGTCTTCCTTCCCGCCTTCCAACCATCTCTCCATCCTTCCTTCTACCCATCCTCCTTTCCATCCATCCTTCTTTCAATCCTTTCTTACAACCCTTCCGTCTAGTCTTCCTTCCCGCCTTCCATCCATCTCTCCATCCTTTCTTCTATCCATCCTTCCTTCTACCCATCCTTCCTTCAATCCTTTCTTACAGCGCTCCCTCTAGTCTTCCTTCCCACCTTCCGTCTCTCCATCCTTCCTTCCTTCCCTCCATCTATCCATCCTTCCTTCTACCCATCCTCCTTTCCATCCATCCTTCTTTCAATCCTTTCTTACAACCCTTCCGTCTAGTCTTCCTTCCCGCCTTCCATCCATCTCTCCATCCTTTCTTCTATCCATCCTTCCTTCTACCCATCCTTCCTTCAATCCTTTCTTACAGCGCTCCCTCTAGTCTTCCTTCCCACCTTCCGTCTCTCCATCCTTCCTTCCTTCCCTCCATCTATCCATCCTTCCTTCTACCCATCCTCCTTTCCATCCATCCTTCCTTCAATCCTTTCTTACAGCCCACCCTCTAGTCTTCCTTCCCGCCTTCCAACCATCTCTCCACTCAATGCAGATCACAAAATTGAAAATTAAAAACAAACAAGTTTCCACAGATAGAGATATCACACAGGAATTTCAAAATTTTTATGCCAATCTTTACTCAAAAAACATTCAACTTTAGAGAAAATAACAGCATACATTAGCAAACAACAACTCAATAAGATCACAGAGCAACAAAGGGAATCCTTAAACAAAGAAATAACAAACGAAGATATCCAAAGAGCAATAAGAAAACTGAAACCTTCGAAAGCCCCGGGCCCTGACGGCTTTACTGCCATTTTCTATAAGACAACGGCAGAAGAAATAACACCGGACCTAAAAAAACTATTGAATAAGATCATGGAAGACAGGACCCTCCCAGAGACTTTCTTCCTTCTTTCTATGCATACTTTCTTCCTTCTATCCATCCTGCCTTCCTTCCATCCATCCATCCTTCCCTCCATCCTGCCTTCTTTCCCTCTCTCTCTCCTTCCCTCCATCTATCCTTCCTTCCTTCCCTCCTTCCATTCATCCTTTCTTCCTTCTATCCATCCTGCCTTCCTTCTATCCATCCATCCTTCCTTCTTTCCCTCCCTTTCTCCTTCCCTCCATCCTTCCTTCCTGCCCTCCTTCCATCCATTCTTTTTTCCCTTTCCATTCATCCTTTCTTCCTTCTTTGTATGCATCCATCCTTCCTTCCATTCATCCTTTCTTCCTTCTATCCATCCTGCCTTCCTTCTATCCATCCATCCTTCCTTCTTTCCCTCCCTCTCTCCTTCCCTCCATCCTTCCTTCCTGCCCTCCTTCCATCCATTCTTTTTTCCCCCTTCCATTCATCCTTTCTTCCTTCTTTGTATGCATCCATCATTCCTTCCATTCATCTTTCTCCTTCTTCCATCCTTTCCTCATCCATCCATCCTTCCCTTCCCCTTCCATTCATCCTTTCTTCCTTCTTTGTATGCATCCATCCTTCCTTCCATTCATCCTTTCTTCCTTCTATCCATCCTGCCTTCCTTCTATCCATCCATCCTTCCTTCTTTCCCTCCCTCTCTCCTTCCCTCCATCCTTCCTTCCTGCCCTCCTTCCATCCATTCTTTTTTCCATCCTTCCATCCTTCCCTTCCATTCATCCTTTCTTCCTTCTTTGTATGCATCCCTCCTTCCATTCATCCTTCCTTCCTTCTATCCATCCTTCTTTCCTTCCTGCCTTCTTTCCCTCCCTCTCTCCTTCCCTCCATCTATCTATCCATCCTTCCTTCCTTCCTTCCATTCTTTCTTCCTTCTATCCATCCTGCCTTCCTTCTATCCATCCATCCTTCCTTCTTTCCCTCCCTCTCTCCTTCCCTCCATCCTTCCTTCCTGCCCTCCTTCCATCCATTCTTTTTTCCATCCTTCCATCCTTCCCTTCCATTCATCCTTTCTTCCTTCTATCCATCCTGCCTTCCTTTCATCCATCCATCCTTCCCTCCATCCTTCCTTCCATCCTGCCTTCTTTCCCTCCCTCTCTCCTTTCTATCCATCTATCTATCTATCTATCTATCCATCCTTCCTTCCTTCCTTCCATTCATTATTTCCTCCTTCTATCCATCCTGCCTTCCTTCTATCCATCCATCCTTCCTTCTTTCCCTCCCTCTCTCCTTCCCTCCATCCTTCCTTCCTGCCCTCCTTCCATCCATTCTTTTTTCCATCCTTCCATCCTTCCATTCATCCTTTCTTCCTTCTTTGTATGCATCCCTCCTTCCATTCATCCTTCCTTCCTTCTATCCATCCTTCTTTCCTTCCTTCTTTCCCTCCCTCTCTCCTTCCCTCCATCTATCCATCCTTCCTTCTTTCTACCATGCTGATGGAGTTGTCATTTAGGCATTAAAAGGCCCATTTTATTGCTTTCAAACAACTGTGGGACCAAAAAGGAAGGAACACTCCCTCCACAAACACAATACACAACATTAAAACGCAGACACCCTCGTCAAGGCGGTCAACGGACCAACATGAAAGAAGAGATGCCAAAACACAAAGGGTGTTAGTGGTGGTAGGACAGGGACGGCGACTGGAGGCTCCTTGACTCCAGGTTGTTGTTTCTCTCTCTAGGTTTTTACAGAGCGGCCTGTCCTTGGTGTTCCCTGCCTCACAGCAACCGGCCGCGGCACTCGATGGCTCCGCAGCAGCAGAGGAGCTCCTTGCCTTCGACGCTCCCCACTTCGTAGTTGTAGTCCCACGTCAGCTCTGTGCCCGCGCGGATCCTCCTGCAAAGGGATTTGTAATTAGGAGACTGCCTGTACTGTATTTCCTCACACAATAGTCTCAGTGTGAGGGATTCTAAGAGTTGGGTAAGATTTTCAAGGAGTGGTTACTGTATTTCCTCACATAATAGTCGCAGCGTAAGGGATTCTAAGAGCTGTATCCAAAGGGTAAGATTTTCAAGGAGTGGTTACTGTATTTCCTCACATAATAGTCGCAGCGTAAGGGATTCTAAGAGCTGTATCCAAAGGGTAAGATTTTCAAGGAGTGGTTACTCTATTTCCTCACATAATAGTCGCGGTGTAAGGGATTCTGTATCCAAAGGGTAAGATTTTCAAGGAGTGGTTACTGTATTTCCTCACATAATAGTCGCAGCGTAAGGGATTCTAAGAGCTGTATCCAAAGGGTAAGCTTTTCAAGGAGTGTTTACTGTATTTCCTCACATAATAGTCACAGCATAAGGGATTCTAAGAACTGTATCCAAAGGGTAAGATTTTAAAGGAGTGGTTACTGTATTTCCTCACATAATAGTCGCAGCGTAAGGGATTCTAAGAGCTGTATCCAAAGGGTAAGCTTTTCAAGGAGTGTCTACTGTATTTCCTCACATAATAGTCACAGCATAAGGGATTCTAAGAGCTGCATCCAAAGGGTAAGATTTTCAAGGAGTGGTTACTGTATTTCCTCACATAATAGTCGCAGCATAAGGGATTCTAAGAGCTGCATCCAAAGGGTAAGATTTTCAAGGAGTGGTTACTGTATTTCCTCACATAATAGTCGCAGCGTAAGGGATTCTAAGAGCTGTATCCAAAGGGTAACCTTGTCAATGTCTGGTTAAACATATTTGAAATCTTGATGTTGTTTGGAGAGAGGCAAGGAGAGATTTCTTTTTTATTTGTGTTGGAAAATCCCCGCAGGGATGGCTTCCAAGAGAGGGGTGTCTCAATGGGCCAAAGGTCATGTTTCCATCTCCAAGGGGCCTAGATAGCCCTTGGAGGTCTCTTCCAATTCTGAATATTTTCAAACGCTAAGAGTTCTGGACTGTCTGGGAACGGCACATGGAAAAAGTTTAAAACATTTGCTCAAGGCCATACATTTTCTGATTTGACTTGCAAATGTGGAAAGCGCAATTTTTCATCCCCGGCAGTGACATCCTTAAATTATTCAGATATTGCCTCGCCTTTCCACGCATAATGGAAGCCGTAATTTGAATGAGAAGTGTTTAAAATCCTTGTAAAAATAAATCTGGAGAGAGAGGAAATGTGGATAAAAGGTGCGACTATTACGTGGTGAAAAAAATCCACCTTTTGATTTAAAAAATAAACTGTTTCACCTCCCGAAAAAGGAGGAGGAGAGGCTCCATTTCTATTCCTTCATTTTGCTAAACCGTTTTGCCTTTGAGAAAGGAGAAGGGAAGATTTCTTCTTTCTTTCTTTCTTTCTTTCTTTCTTTCTTTCTTTCTTTCTCTAAACACAAAGCAGTTTACAAAATCTGAAATGGAGCTCTTTGGAGAAAAGAACAAAGATCCAGGTTCCAGAGAACTCACTCTCATAGTTTTTTAAGCGTCTTGCCTTCAGAGAAGGACGGGAGGACAGAAAGAAAGAAAGAAAGGAGGAGGAATAAGCCCCAAACGGCTCTGCGACTATTATGCGAGGAACACTCCAGACAAACCCAATTTGGCCACACGCCCCCAAAAATGGAGATGCGACTATAATGCGGTGACTATTATGCAATGAAATACAGGTGTGTTTTTGGTTTTATTTTAATCTAATTTTTTAAAAAATAGATCCCTAATGAATTTAAAAAAAGACAAACCAAAACTTACACAAAGCAACCTATTTTAAAATAATTTCCTAATTTTTAAGGCTGAAAAAGCCCCCCCTGGCTTATACACAAGTCAAGGTTATTTATTATTTTACTCTATTATTATTATTATTATTATTATTATTATTATTATTATTATTATTATTATTAAATATATTATTTTACTCAATTATTATTATATTTATTATTTTATTCCATTATATGTTATTATTACATTTATTATTTTACTCTATTGTTGTATTATTATATTTATTATTTTACTTTATTATTGTTATTATTACATTTATTATTTTACTCTATTATTATATTTATTATTTTACTCTATTATTATTATTACATTTATTATTTTACTCTATTATTATTATTATTACATTTATTATTTTACTCTATTATATTCATTATTCTATTATTGTTATTATTATTAAATGTCTTACTTTACTGTATTCATTACATTTGTTATTACATTTATTATTTTACTCTATTATAGGTTATTACATTTATTATTTTGCTCTATTATTGTTATTATTATTAATACATTTATTATTTTACTCTATGAATTACTTATTGTTACTACATTTATTATTTTACTCGATTATATTTATTATTTTACTCTATGATAGCTTATTATTACATTTATTATTTTACTCTATTATTATTCTATTTATTATTATAGGTTATTATTACATTTATTATTTTACTCTACTATAAGTTGTTATTACATTTGTTATTTTACTATATTATTATTGTTGTTATTTATTATTTTACTCTATTATTGTTATTATTAAACTTATTTTACTCTATTATTATTATATTTATTATTATAGGTTGTTATTACATTTGTTATTTTACTCTTATTGTTATTATTAAACTTATTATTTTACTCTATTTTGATTATTTTACTCTATTATTATTACATTTACATTATTTACCTCGTATTATTTTTATTACATTTTTAATTTATGACTAGCTGTGCCCTGCCACGCGTTGCTGTGGCCTATAGTAAAACTTATCAAAGTTGAGGTAGATATCTGGACTATTATGAAAGAGAGGTACCTACCTATTCCTTCCCCCTTTTCCTCCCCCTTTCTCTCCTTTCTTCCTTCTCTACCTCTTTCTTTCTTTCCTTCTTTCACTACTTGGTTTCATCCTTCTCTCTTTCCTTCATTCCCTCCCCCTTTCTTCCTTTGCCTTTCTTCCCTCCCTGTTTGCTTCCTTCTTTCTTTTTATTTCCTTTTATTTTACCACCATCATAACAATAACAATAATGCAATGCATTGCCTCTGGGACCTGACACCTCTCCCATTCCCCCTAAAAGGGTCTCAGAGGAAGAATCATAGCATCATAATAATCATAGAAATAACAACCTTTACCCGCCACGCGTTGCTGTGGCCAACCTTCCCTCTTTCTCTCCTTCTTTCCCTCCTTCCTCCCTCCCCCCTCCTCCCTCCCCCCTCCTTCCCTCCTTCCCTCCTTCCCTCCCTCCCTCCTTCCTTCCTTCCTTCCTTCCTTCCTTCCTTCCTTCCTTCCTTCCTTCCTTCCTTCCTTCCCTCCCTCCCATCTTTCCTTCTCCTCTTCCTTCTCTATCTCTTTCCTTCCTTCCCCCTTTTTCTTTCTCTTCTGGTCTCTTTTCTTCCTTCTCTCTTTCCTTCTTTCCTTCCCTCCCTCTTTCTCTACATCTTCCCCCTTCCTTCACTCCCTCTTTCCTTCCTTCCCTTTCCTTCCTTCCTTCCTTCCTTCCTTCCTTCCTTCCTTCCTTCTCCTTCCTTCCTTCCTTCCTTCCTTCCATCCTTCCTTCCTTCCTTCCTTCCTTCCTTCCTTCTTCCTTCCCCCTTTTTCTTTCTCTTCTGCTGTCTCTCTTTTCTTTCCTTCCATCTTTCCTTTTCTTTCCTTTTTTCTTCTTTCTCTAACTTTCCTTCCTTCCCCCTTTTTCTTTACCTCCCTTTCTCTTTCTTCCTTCTTTCCTTCCTTCCTGTCTTTCCTGGATTTTGACAGGGCGGGAAGGGGCGGGGTGGGGTTTGGAGGTGGCGTGAAGTAAAAGGAGGTAAGATTGGGGCGGGGGAGTGATGGAGCGTGGGGTTGTGTGTGTGTGTGGCGGGGGGAGTGATGGAGCGTGGGGTTGTGTGTGTGTGTGCGGCGGCGGGGGGGAGTGATGGAGCGTGGGGTTGTGTGTGTGTGTGCGGCGGCGGGGGGAGTGATGGAGCGTGGGTGTGTGTGTGTGTGCGGCGGCGGGGGGAGTGGGGGTTGTGTGTGTGTGCGGGGGACGGGGGGAGTGATGGAGCGTGGGGTTGCGTGTGTGTGTGCGGGCGGGGGGGAGTGATGGAGCGGGGTGTGTGTGTGTGTGTGGGGCGGGGGGGAGTGATGGAGGGGTTGCGTGTGTGTGTGCGGCGGCGGGGGTGGGGGGGGGTGGGGTTGCGTGTGTGTGTGCGGCGGCGGGGGGGTGATGGAGTGTGGGGTTGTGTGTGTTTGGTTAAGTTTCGTTGGGGTTTTTGAGTTTTGTTGTTTTGCCATTTTGTGAGTGTGTTGTTGTGTTGTTTTTCATTTTGAGTAGATATGTTTGTACCTTGTGGGTTGTGTTATGGGCATGGGAATTTTGGTTAAGTTTCGTTGGGTTTTTTTGAGTTTTGTTGTTTTGCCGTTTTGTGAGTGTGTTGTTGTGCTGTTTTTCATTTTGAGTAGATATGTTTGTACCTTGTGGGTTGTGTTATGGGCATGGGAATTTTGGTTAAGTTTCGTTGGGGTTTTTTTGAGTTTTGTTGTTTTGCCGTTTTGTGAGTGTGTTGTTGTGTTGTTTTTCATTTTGAGTAGATATGTTTGTACCTTGTGGGTTGTGTTATGGGCATGAGAATTTTGGTTAAGTTTCGTTGGGGGGTTGTGGAGTTTTGCTGTCCCGTTGAACCAACCTAACAGATTTATATATATAGATTACAACATTTACATTATTTTACTCTATTATTATTATTATTATTATTATTATTATTATTATTATTATTATTAGATGTATTATTTTTCTCTATTTTCTAAGGCTTACTTGCTGGCGAAGAAGGCCACCCAGGGAAAGCGGAGGTCGTGCGTGTCCACAAAGACGTTCTGGACGAAAAGGTTCGGACTGCAGCTGTGCTGGAAGGGCAAGAAAAGCGAGGGACCACGTTTACAGCAACACAACACACACCCCAGCAAGACTCCTTGCGAACTACAGCTCCCAAAGTCCCTGGAGATGTGAACAATAAGAAGTCGCAAGGAAAGAGATTCCGCCCTAAGCAGAGTCTGGATGGCCATCTGTCGGGAGGGCTTTGATTGTGCCTGGCAGAAGGGGCTGGACTGGATGACCCTTGAGGATCCCATCTAGCTCTTGGAACCTAGTATCCTTGTCTGTCGAGCTGGATGGCCATCTTTCAGGAGTGATCGGATTGGACCTAGGATTCTATGATAGCATTGGGATAGGACCTCAAGGGCACAATCAAAGCCCTCTCAACGGATGGACATCTGAATCATAGAATCCTAAAGTTGGAAGAGACTTCCTTCGTCCAGGCAGGAAGACACAATCAAAGCCCTCTCAACAGACGTACATCACAAAATTCTAGTTAGAAGGGACTTCCAAAGGATATCCTAGTCTGCCCCTCTTCTGTCAGGCAGGAAGGCACAATCAAAGCCCTCTCAACAGATGTCCATCACAAAATTCTAGTTAGAAGGGTCTCCCAAAGGCCATCCAGACCATCTCCCCTTCTGCCTGGCAGGAAGACACAATCAAAGCCCTCTCAACAGATGTCCATCACAAAATTCTAGTTAGAAGGGACTCCCAAAGGCCATCCAGTCCACGCCCCCCTTCTTCCAGGCACGAAGACACAATCAAAGCCCTCTCAACAGATGTCCATCACAAAATTCTAGTTAGAAGGGACCCCCAAAGGCCATCCAGTCCGCCCCCCCTCCTGCCAGGCAGAAGACACAATCAAAGCCCTCTCAACAGATGTCCATCCAGACTCTGCATCATAGAATCCTAGAGTCGGAAGGGACCCCAAAGGCCATCCAGTCCACCCCCCACCTCTTCCAGGCAGGAAGACACAATTAAAGCCCTGTCAACAGATGTCCATCACAAAATTCTAGTTAGAAGGCACGTCCAAAGGCCATCCAGTCTGCCCCTCTTCTGTCAGGCAGGAAGACACAATCAAAGCCCTCTCAACAGATGTCCATCCAGACTCTGAATTATAGAATCCTAGAGTGAGAAGGGACCCCCAAAGGATATCCAGTCCACCCCTGCTTCTTCCAGACAGGAAGACACAATCAAAGCCTTCCCAACAGATGGCCATCCAGCCCCCGAGGCAGGCGCTTACGTTGAGGTAGCGGCCCAGGTTGCCCTCCAGCTTGGCGTCGATGATGTAGCAGGACTCCTCCCCGTCGTAGTACTGGCGCGTGTTCCTCCGCACGATGGCACTCTCCCCGTAGGCCAGTTGGGTGGACTTCATGGAGATGCCGTGCATGGACTTCAGAGCGAAGCCCCGGGTGGACTTCACGGCCACTTGCCTCTTCACGGCTCCTGACGGATTTTGGGAGTTATAGTTCATTCCTTACGTATGGTTTTGTGAGTTATAGTTCACCCCATATCCCTGGAGCAGCCCTGGATTTGGGGATTTAGATCATCCCTATCCCTGCATTTTGGGAGTTATAGTTCATCCCATATCCCTGGATCGGCCCTGGATTTTGGGAGTTATAGTTCATTTCTTATCCATGGGTTTTCGGGAGTTATAGTTCACCCCACATCTCTGGATTTTGGGAGTTATAGTTCATCTCATATCCATGGGTTTTCGGGAGTTATAGTTCACCCCACATCTCTGGATTTTGGGAGTTATAGTTCATCTCATATCCCTGGATTGGTCCTGGATTTTAAAAGTTAGATCATCCCCTATCCCTACATTTTGGGAGTTATAGTTTATCCCCCATCTCTGGAGGGACCCTGAATTTTGAGTGTTATAATTCACCCCACATATCTGGATTTTGGGAGTTATAGTTCATCCCTTATCCCTGGATTTTGGGAGTTATAGTTCATCCTTTATCCATGGATTTTGGGAGTTATAGTTCATCCTTTATCCATGGATTTTGGGAGTTATAGCTCATCCCATATCCCTGGATTTTGGTAATTCGTCCCTTATCTCTGGATTTTGGGAGTTATAGTTCATCCTTTATCCCTGGATTTTGGGAGTTATAGTTCATCCTTTATCCCTGGATTTTGAGAGTTATAGTTCATCCTTTATCCGTGGATTTTGGGAGTTATACTTCATCCTTTATCCGTGGATTTTGGGAGTTATAGTTCATCTGTTATCCCTGGATTTTGGGAGTTATAGTTCATCCTTTATCCCTGGATTTTGGGAGTTATAGTTCATCCTTTATCCCTGGATTTTGGGAATTATAGTTCATCCCATATCCCTGGATTGACCCGGGATCTTGGGAGTTCTAGTTCATCGCTCATCCCTGGATTCTGGGAGTTATTGGCCCTGGATTGGTTGGGAGTTATTGCTCATCCCTCCAATCATGACCAACTTTAACAACTACTCGGGTTTGGAGGGAGTTCTAGACCATCCATATCCAGAACCCCACTGACAACGGATCTAGACCAAACTTAACACACAGACCCATCAATGACGAATGTTAACTATTGGTGCACACTGGGAGCACGGACAGATGATGGGAGTTGTAGTTTACCCACAAAGGCCAAAAGAACATGGGGATTTGAGGCTGCGAGAGAGCTCACCCAGCATGGAGGAGGAAGGCTTCTTCCCGTCGGCAGCCAGCGCCGGCTCCTCGTCCGACCCGGAAGAGATGGTCTGGATGTCGTCGCTGTCGTTGCCCTTCGCTTTCCCGTTGTTGTTGTTGTCCCCGTCGCTGTCGGTGCTGCTGGAGAGCATTAGTACGTCCTAATGGGAAGGAAGGGAAAAGACTCGAGGAGCCTTTCATTCTACAGGCGTATTTCCCCCTTGAGGCGCAATGGCCATCTGTTGGGAGGGTTTTGGTGGTGCCTTCCTGCCCGGCCAAAGAGGGGCTGGACTGGATGACCCTTGGGGAGTCTCCGCAGGGCGAAAGAACCACATGCCACTCACGTCTTTGGCTTCCGTTTGAACTTCTGGCTGCCTCTGGCTCTGGAGCATGGCAGTCTTGCTGAACGGCCGCCGGATCCCTTCAGGAACGGGGGGCCTGGGGTTGTAGCCGTAGTTCCTCTTTGGGGCGGCCCCTCTGGGAAACCAAAAAGGGAGGTTAGCCATGGGGTTGGCGTCCCATCCTGGTGGAAACCTCTCCAAACAGTTCCTGGCAGGAGCTTGAAAGTCCCAAATAATAATATCAATAACATTAATAATTTATTTCTCATGCCAGTCAATTATATTACATTTCTAACAGAACAAAGCAAACAAACAGAGAAAATACAAAATGTGTGAGTTTGGTAGTTGATTCAATGTCCTTTGACCAGAATCTGGCCACTTGGGGTGCCTCTGGTGTTGCTGCAAGAAGGTCCTCCATTGTGCATCATGTGGCAGGGCTCAGGTTGCATTGCAGCAGGTGGTCAGTGGTTGGCTCTTCTCCGCACTCGCATGTCGTGGACTCCACCGTGTGGCCCCATTTCTGAAGGTTGGCTCTGCATCTTGTGGTGCCAGAGCGCAGTCTGTTCAGCGCCTTCCAAGTCGCCCAGTCTTCTGTGTGTCTCTCATTTGGTATCAGCCATTGGTTGAGGTTCTGGGTTTGAGCCTGCCACTTTTGGACTCCCGCTTGCTGAGGTGTTCCAGCGAGTGTCTCTGTAGAGCAGTGGTTCTCAACCTTGCTAATGTTGTGACCCCTTAATGCAGTTCCATGTGTTGTGGTGACCCCCAACCATGCTACTTGATACCTCTCATTTTACTAAATTGAGCACAAATGACCTTGAAGGAGCTGGGGGTGGTGACGGCCGACAGTGAGCTCTGGCATGGACTGGTCCATGAGGTCCCGAAGAGTCGGAGACGACTGAACGAATGAACAACAACAACAACCCAATATGCCCTAATATGAATGCCAGTGGGGTTGGGGGGGGGGGAGGATTGATTTTGTAATTTGGGAGTTGCAGTTGCTGGGATTTATAGCTCATCTATAATCAAAGAGCATTCTGAACTCCCCCAGCGATGGATTGGAACTTGGCACACAGAACTCCCATGACCAACAGAAAACACTAGAAGGGTTTGGTGGGCATTGACTTTGAGTTTGGGAGTTGTAGTTCACCTATATTCGGAGAGCTGTGGATTCATGCAATTATGGATCTGGACCAAACTTGGCACGAATACTCAATATGCCCAAATGTAAACACTGGAGGAGTCTGGGGAAAATAGGCCTTGACATTTGGGAATTGTAGTTGTTGGGATTTACAGTCCACCTACAATCAAAGAGCATTCTGAACTCGACCAACAATAGAATTGGGTCAAATTTCCCACACAGAATCCCAATGACCAACAGAAAATACTATGTTTTCTGATGGTCTTTGGCGACCCCTTTGACACCCTCTCATGACCCCCTCAGGGGTCCCGACCCCCAGGTTGAGAAACACTGTAGATCTTAGAAAACTATGTCTGGATTTAAGTCGTTGACATACTGGCTGATACCCAAACAGGGATGAGCTGGAGATGTCTCTGCCTTGGTCCTTTCACTATTGGCTGCCACTTCCCGGCGGATGTCAGGTGGTGCAATACCGGCTAAGCAGTGTAATTTCTCCAGTGGTGTAGGGCGCAGACACTCCATATCTCATGAAGAGCCACATCCACTGTTTTAGCGTGGTGAGATGTGTTCCACACTGGGCATGCATACTCAGCAGCAGAGTAGCACAGCGCAAGGGCAGATGTCTTCACTGTGTCTGGTTGTGATCCCCAGGCTGTGCCAGTCAGCTTTCGTATGATATTGTTTCTAGCACCCACTTTTTGCTTGATGTTCAGGCAGTGCTTCTTGTAGGTAAGAGCACGGTCCAGAGTGACTCCCAGGTATTTGGGTGCGCTGCAATGCTCCAGTGGGATTCCTTCCCAGGTGATCTTCAGAGCTCGGGATGCTTCTCTGTTCTTGAGATGAAAGGCACATGTCTGTGTTTTAGATGGGTTGGGGATCAGCTGGTTTTCCCTGTAATAGGCAGTAAGAGCACCTAGAGCTTCGGAAAGCTTCTGTTCTACCATCTCAAAGCTCCCTGCTTGAGGTGATGGCACGATCATCAGCATAGATGAAACTCTGTCCCTTCTGTCAGTGGCTGGTCATTTGTGTAGATGTTGAACATGGATGGAGCAAGCATCCTCCCCTGAGGCAGGCCGTTCTTCTGTTTCCGCCATCTGCTTCTCTGGCCCTGGAACTCAACAAAAAAGCTCCTGTTTTGTAGCAGGTTTCCTATGAGGCGGGTGAGGTGGTCGTCCTTTGTGATATTATACATTTTTCTCAGGAGGAGGAGGTGGTTCACAGTATCATAGGCTGCTGACAGGTCCATGAAGACAGCTCCTGTGATCTGCTGCCTTTCAAAGCCATCTTCTATGTGCTGAGTCAGGTTCAGCACTTGCGATGTGCAGCTTTTGCCTTTCCTGAAGCCAGCTTGCTGTGAGATCAGACATGGGTCTATATTTTCTGTAATTCTATGCAAAATAAGTCTCTCCAGAACTTTGTAAAGGTGGCACAACAGGGAGATTGGTCTGTAGCTTTTTGGGTCATTGCGGTCTTTGCCTGGCTTCAAGATGGCGATGACATTAATAATAATAATAATAATAATAATAATAATAATAATAATAATAATAAATTACCCACTTCTCCCTGCAATTTATATAATAATAATAATAATAATAATAATAATAATAATAATATATATAATAATATAATAATAATAATAATAATAATAATAATAATAATATATTACCCACTTCTCCCTGCAATTCATAATAATAATAATAATAATAATAATAATAATAATAATAATAATATATTACCCACTTCTCCCTGCAATTCATAATAATAATAATAATAATATATTACCCACTTCTCCCCGAAATTCAATGCTTGTTAGAGTTAGTCAAAGTTAGGTACAGAGGTAAAACTTATAATATCAATAACATTAATAATAATAATAATAATAATAATATGGTTAAGAATTAATAATGATAATGATAATAATAATAATGTATTACCCATTTCTCCCTGCAACTCGATGCTTGTTAGAGTTAGTCAAAGTTAGGTACAGAGGTAAGATTTATAATAATAATATCAATAACATTAACAATAATAATAGTAACAATAATAATTTGGTTAAGAATAAACGATAATAATAATAATAATGTACTACCCACTTCTCCCTGCAACTCGATGCTTGGTAGAGTTAGTCAAAGTTAGGTACAGACGTAAAAAATATAATATCAATAATAATAATAATAATATGGTTAAGAATAAATAATAATAATAAAAATAACAATAATAATAATGTATTACCCACTTCTCCCTAGAGTTAGTCGAAGTTAGGTACAGAGGTAAGATTTATAATAATAACATCAATAACATTAATAATAATAATAATAATATGGTTAAGAATAAATAATAATAATAAAAATAACAATATTAATAATGTATTACCCACTTCTCCCTAGAATTAGTCAAAGTTAGGTACAGAAGTAAGATTTATAATAATATCAATAACATTAATAATAATAATAATATGGTTAAGAATAAATGATAATAATAATAATAATAATAATAATAATAACAATAGTAATATATTACCCACTTCTCCCTAGAGTTAGTCGATGTTAGGTACAGAGGTAAGATTTATAATCATAATATCAATAACATTATTATTATTATTATTATTATTAATAATAACAATAATGTATTACCCACTTCTCCCTGCAACCTGATGCTTGTTAGAGTTAGTCAAAGTTAGGTACAGAGGTAAAAATTATTATAATAATATCAATAACAATAATAATAATAATATGGTTAAGAATTAATAATGATAATGATAATAATAATAATGTACTACCCACTTCTCCCTGCAACTCGATGCTTGTTAGAGTTAGTCGAAGTTAGGTACAGAGGTAAAACTTATAATAATAATATTAACAATAATAATAATAATACGGTTAAGAATAAATAATAATAATAATAATAATAATAATAATAATAATAATAATAATGTATTACCCACTTCTCCCTGCAACTCGATGCTTGTTAGAGGTAGTCGAAGTTAGGTACAGAGTTAAAATTTATAATAATATCAATAACATTAACAACAACAACAATAATAATAATATGGTTAATCAAAACTAAAAACTTACTGCGAGGCCTTTGCTTTACCATCTTCAGATTCCTGCAGTAAGGAAAAGACAGAAATAATAGAAGTCCATCAGTACTTAAAGTTTGCTCTAGATGCATCATCAGTGGGGTTGAGTGTGCTCTCTGGCTGTAAGGTAAACTACAACTCCCACCAAGCTGAGTCAGTCCCCTCAAACCCTCCAGTAGATTGAGTTATTTGTGGTGATTCTGTGTGCCAAGTTAGGTCCAGGGCCATCGCTGATGGGGTCCAGAGCGTTTTTGAGTGCAGGTGAACTATAAATCCCAGTACCTACTATGGCTATGAATCAAGGTCAATTCCCCCCAAACTTCTCCAATATTTTTCTTAGGACACAGGGGTTCTGTGTGCCAAATGTAGCCCAGGTCCATTGTCAGTGGGGGTCACAGGCGAACTACAACTTCCATCATGTGGAGCCAATCCCCCAAACTCCTCCAGTATGTTTAGTTCCTGATTAGTTCTGCTTTGTTTGTTTGTTTGTTTATTTATTTACGACATTTATATGCCACCCTTCTCACCCTCAAGGGGACTCAGAGCGGCTTACAGAAATATGTCAATACAATACATTGTATTATTACCATAGCACAATATCAATACCATATATTGCTATATATATTGTACTATAACACTATACCGTAATATTGTTAGTAATATTACATGTAATATAAAATATATAATTATAATATCATATTATTATTAGCAGTATTATATTGTGTTACATTATAATATTATCAATATTATTAGTAGTATACTATATTACATTGTAATATTACCAATATTATATGTATATAATATGTATGTTTGTTGTGCAGACAGAGTTGAAAAGGGTAGGAAAGGGTTAAGGGAGAGGCAGTGAGTGGGATCATGCAAATTCCACACCAGTGGAGAGAGTAAGGAACACTGAGATGTCTGGTGGAGGAAACACATAAAATTTAGGATGAAACTGTCCCCGAATGAAAGCATTCCTTGGGTGGTAATATTTATACCTTATTTTAGTAGTTATACACTATTTTAAGTCTTTATAGACCCTCCCCACACACTTATACACTATATAACCACAAAACAGCGAGTCTGCAAAAAGTGAACCACGAAGTAGCGAGGGAACACTGTATATACAGTGTTCCCTCACTTATTGCTGGTGTTACGTTCCAGGACCACCCGCGAAAAGTGAAAATCTGCAAAGTAGCGACACTATATTTATTTTAATATTTATACATTATTTTAGTAGTTATACACTATTTTAAGTCTTTATAAATTTAAAGTGAAGGAAAGGAAGGAAAGGCCCTTCAAGGCTGAAAGGAGGGAGGGAGGACTGAGGAGGGAAAGTGTCTTGGAGAGCGGCGGCAGAGGCAAAAACATGTTCACATAATCCTGGGCTCTGGAGAGGCAGCCTCTCCATACAGAGAAAAGCTCTTAAGCCCGTATTGAAAAACCGCGAAACAGCGAGTCCGCAAAAGGCGAACTGCAAAGTAGCAAGGGACCCCTGTATTTATTTATTTACAGTATTTGTATACCGCCCCTCTCAGCCTTCCGGCGACACTAGGCGGTTTACAAGGCAAAATTCAATACCACCAAAAAAACAGATACAATATAAAAACGTTAACAACAATAAAATCATAACAGTTGTAATAAAACATAATTCAATAAATACTCATTAAAACAATGTCCAATCCATCTTGTAGTTGATTCCGTTCTTACGTCCGTTACTCAGTATTTGCAAATGCCTGCTCACATATCCATGTCTTGAGTTTTTTTCTGAAATGCTAAAAGCGAAGAAGCCGATCTCCATAGGAAGGGCGCTCCATACCAAAGGGGCCACTACTGAGAAGGCCCTGTCTCTCGTCCCCGCCAGCCGTGCTTGTGGTGATGGCGGGACCGAGAGCAGGGCATCTCCAGATGATCTTAAGGTCCTCGAGGGTTCATAAGGGGAGATGCGTTCAGACAGCCTTGAGTAGGGCCAGATATCAGTTGGGACAGCCCCATGGTCGCATGACTAAAGAGAGTTCCTCCACTCCACCACCTTCCTCCCATCCCTGACAGAACACCAAGTCCAATGTATGTCAAGCACTGAGTAGGGCGAAAAACCACTTGGGACAGCCCCACGGTAGGCATGGTTACCATGAAGTCCTGAGCTGCTCCTGAGAAGGTGGCATCGGCATGGACGCTGAAGTCCCCCAGCACAATAAGCCGTTGGGACTCCAACGCCAGGCTCGAGACCATCCTGGCTAGCTCAGGTAGGGAGACTGTAGTGCAGCGGGGTGGACGGTACACTAACAGAATCCATATTCTGTCCCGGTCACCTATTCTCAAGTGGACACATTCAAAAATGGTTGACTGTGGGATGGGGCATCTGGTCAGGGAGATGGAATCCCTATAGACCACTGCAACCCCGCCTCCCCGCCCTCCAGATCTCAGCTGGTGCTTACACTTTTATTATGTGGATAGATAGATAGATAGATATGGACAGTGGACTAATCAATTAACATATATACCATACCTCTTTCTTCTTGACTTTGGTGTCTCCCTCCGAGCCGCCAAACACAAACGCCCCGGGCTTCTCACTCTCCGTCGCTTCGGTCTTCGGGGCGGCCCCCGTTTCGTGGAGGCTCAAGGAGGAGCGGCTGTCGCCATCTTGCATCCCGTCCGCCATGGGGTTGGTGCTCAGCCAGGACACCACCTTGTTTTTGGAGGTTTCCTCGGAGACGGGGGGCTTGCAGGGCAGGCCCTCCTCGTTGCTGACCTGCCGGACCACCCCAGAGTCCTTGGAGGCGGTCTCTGAGACCCCGTTCTCTCGCTGGCCTCGGGTCTGGCGGCGGGTGGCATAGCTGCGCCAGACGGAGCTGGTGCTAAAGTCCTCGTCTTTGCAGAAGTTGTCGTCCGAGCTGTCCTCGTTGGACTCCTCCTGGTCGTCTGAGCCCGAGTTGTCGTCGTCGTCCTTGAGGTTGACCCCGCTGCTGTCAGAGGAGCACTTGGCCTCGCTCTCGTAGCCCTCCTTGGAGTTCTCCACGCTCTCAATGTGGTCCAGGTTGGCAAAGTACTCGTCGCCCATCTCCAGGCCCTCCTTGTCGGCAAAGTCATCAGTCAGGATTTTCCCTGCAGGACAACAAGCAGCAGAGCCATGGGATTTCACATTTTCCTGGTCATTGAGGTTCTGTGTGCCAAGTAAGGTCCAGGGCCATCATCGGTGGGGACCAGAGTGCTCTCTGATAGCAGGTGAACTATAAATCCCAGTACCTACAACGGCTATAAATCAAGGTGAATTCCCTCCAAACCTCTCCAGTGTTTTTCTTTGCTCATGGGCGTTCTGTGTGCCAAGTGGGGTCCAGGGCCATCGTTGGTGTGGTCAGAGTGCTCTGGTTTGATGCAGGGTGAACTACAACTTCCATCATGTGCACTCAACCCGCCAAACTCCTCCAGTATGTTTAGTTCCTGATTAGTTCTGCTCGGTTTGTTTGTTTATTTACAACATATTATTACAATAGCACAATATCAATACCATGTACCATAACATTATACTGAACTATAAAATATATAATTATAATATCATATTATTTTTAGCAGTATTATATTGTATTAAATTATAATATTATCAATATCATTAGTAGTATTATACTATATTACATTATAATATTATATGTATATAATATGTATGTTTGTTGTGCAGACAGAGTTGAAAAGGTGGGCGGGATCATGCAAATTCTACACCAATGGAAAGAGTAAGAAATACTGGGATGCCTGGGGTGTGTGTGTATATATGTATATAATTATGTATATGTGTATGTGTGTGTGTATATATATATATATATATATATATATATATATGGATGTATATATGTGTGCATATGTATATGTATATATGTGTGTATATATTTTTGTGCTTATATGTGTATATGTATATTGTGTATATGTGTGTGCTTGTATGCATATTTGTGTATATATATGTGTATGTGAACATGTGTATATTTGTGTGTGTTAATGTGTATATGTATATGTGTATGATATGTATGCGTGCATGTTTGTGTGTGCTTGTGTATGTATACATGTGTGTATGTATGTTTGCATGTTTATATGTATAGGAGTGTATGTGTATATGTATGTATGTGTATGTGTATATGTATGTGTGTATATTTGTGTGTGCTTGTGTATGTATACATGTATGTCTGCATGTGTATATGTATGTGAGTGTATGTGTATATGTATGTGTGTATATTTGTGTGTGCTTGTGTATGTATACATGTATGTTTGCATGTGTATATGTATATGAGTGTACGTGTATATGTATATATGTGTGTATGTATATGTATATGTGTATATTTGTGTGTGTGTATGTATGTGTGTGTGTATGTATATGAGTGTATGTATATGTATATATGGAGTATTTTGGGGGTTTTTAAGTCCATTCTGCTGGGGGTTTGTGTGTGTGTGTGTGTTTTTAGGGGTGATAAACATTCGTTGAACTGTTAGGTGTGTTGTGTCCAAATTTGGTGTCAATTCATCCAGTGGTTTTTGAGTTATGTCAATCCCACAAACTAACATTACATTTTTATTTATATAGATAATTATTATTTATTATTATATTTAATACTATTATGTGTATGATAGATTTATTTGCGAGATGCAAAAAAAAAAAGAGAGAGAGAGAGAGACTGTACAGAAGTGTTTATAATAATATGATTATAACTGTATTTATGTTTGCTTTGGTTGCCCTAAGGCTGGAGCAGCCTAGCTGTGAGGAGTGTGTTACCATGGAAACGATGCTGCAGAGGAGTGGGAGGAGCTTAGAGGAGAGTGTTTTCTGTAAAGTGACAGTTAAGAGTCAGTCAGGAGGGAGACTCTGAGAAGAGAGGAGTTAGGATTGAGACTCTGAGAAGGGAAGAGTCAGTCAGTGTTTGAGACTCTGAGAAGGGAATAGTCAGAGATTTCTTCAGTTAGGAAAGCTGAAGGGGAAAACCTTGTTAGTTTCTTTAGTTAGAAAGAACTAACAGAGGCTTGCTTGGATACCTAGTTAAGAGAACTAGAGATCTGGTGTTTGATCACAGAAGAATCAAACAGGGAGACTATTCACCACTGTAAAACATTGTTTTAAGTGCTTCACCACAGCAAGAGTTTCATAAGTTGTAACATCGGAAGTTTGAACTGTATCACAACCAAGTTACATGTATCATTCTTCAAGCATCTGCCAAGCTCAACATCAAACTGTAACCATACGCTTTGTTTCAAATAAACTTGTTCTCTTTGGGTTTTTAAAACTGCCTCATCTCCATTTATTCTACGCTCGGTGTACCCAATCTACCATAATTACCTCACAACACAAATAGGGTGGCATCCAGTGATATTAATACAAGAGCCTTTTACAAATCGAATATAGATCCTTACAAATTGGTGGCAGGTTTTTTAGTAGCCATCTTTACATTTTTTTAGTGGACCTTTACATTTTTGGTGGCAGCTTGTGTAGCAGTCCTCCTTTACAATTGGTGGCAGACGACGGGATTCGTTTAACAACTGATCAAGTGCCTTAATATTATTTTAAGAATAAGTTGTGAGGTAAAAGTTATTGGAATATGGCTACCAGGCGACAGAAAAAGCTTGTTGAGGAAACAGAGGGAGACCAAGAAGAAAGTTCGGGCTCTGAAGCGGAAACGGAGCCAGTGCCTGTGTCAGAAATGGCTTATAAGTACAAACTAGAGATGAAACGATTGGAAATGGAGAAAGAGGCAAAACAAAGAGAGTTTGAAGAAAGACAGAAAGAGAGAGAACAGGAGATGGAGTTGAGGAGAATGGAATTTGAACTGCAAAAGCAGAAATTAGCTTTATCTCAAACATCCAGTAACATCCAAGAAGGGAGCTCTGGAGTGGATACCCCAGATATAATAAGGAGATTCCCTAAATTTACCAAGGATGATGATGTAGAGAAATTTTTAATCTCATTCGAAAGATGTTGTAAAGATTTTGGGGTTGCTAAGGAAAAATGGATGACATACTTAAGGCCTCAGATAAGTGGAAAACTCTTACAAATTTATGGAGAATTGCCTGAGGAGTCTTATGGAGATTATGATTTATTTAAGAAACAAATTCTACAAGAGTTTCGATTAACTCCTGAATTCTACAGATTCAAGTTCAGGACTTTAAAAAGAGATAAAAACCAAAGTTTTGCTCAGGTGGCCTCTAAATTGTCTCAACTATTCGACAGTTGGCTAAGGACGTCTGAGGTGGAAAATTACCAACAGCTGAGAGAACTTTTAAAATTGGAACAATTTTTCCAATTGGTGCCTTTTGATTTTCGCTGGCTGATACAGGATCGCAAACCATCCACTATTGTAGAGGCAGCGAGTATGGTAGATCAAATAATTACCCTAAAAGAAGGATTCAGAAAGGAAGATCTGCCAAGTGATAAAAGAACAAACAGGCAGCCATTTTACCAACAACAAACGCGCACACAGCAAGGAAAAGGTTCTGACATAGAAAACACCGCCTGGAGGAGGCAGGGTGTAACAAGTCAAACTGCTCCTGAGGTAAAAAGAAGGTGTTTTCAGTGTGGAAAGTGGGACCATATAAAGTATCAATGTCCCCTTTTGAGAAAAGAGAAAACAACCCTCTTTGTGAATAAAGTAAAAGACACAAAGAAGACAGAACCAGATACTGTGTCAAAGGAGAGTTTAGAAACAGAGCCTCAAGAGAAACAGTGTTTGTTCATCTTGTCAAACACCCCATCTGAGGATTACTTGGAATCCATTTCCATTGATAACAAAGACATGAGAGGACTTCGAGACACAGGGTCCGAAGTATGTATTGTACATCCAGAAATAATACCTCAGAAATTTCAGCGGCCAACCTCTGAAATAAGATTAAAAGGCTTGGGACCTGCAATACCAACAGCAGTGGTGACTTTGCCAATAGAATATGGAGGTTGGAAGGGTATGTGGGATTTTGCAGTCAGTCCAGACATACCATACAGATGTTTAATTGGAAATGATCTGGCTAAGAAGATTGAAAACTGGAGGATGACGTGTGAGGAGGAAGAATATAACAACAAAAGCCCTGATCAAAAAGCCATGTGTTTCGCCATACAACAGGATGGGGATGAGAGTCCGGAATCCAGCGCTACGGTTGCTGAGCTTGTTAAGAAGACGGGAGGAGTTGGAGAAATTCGGCAGGAACAAGGAGCCGATGAATCTCTGAAACCTCTGTTCGATTTGGCTCAAAACCCCACAGTATCGGCAAAAGAACAGCCCTCCAAGTTTGTGTTAAAGAATGGTGTCTTGTATAGAGAAACCAGAAACGTGAAGTCAGCAGAAGGATCAGTGACGTATAATCAGATTGTAGTGCCTCAAAGTTTTAGAGAACAGCTGATGAGGGTGGCACACGAGAGCCCTCAAGGTGGACATTTGGGCGTGAGGAAAACCACAAAGAGAATCACTAAGAACTTTTATTGGCCTGGCATGTTCCAGAAGATCAAAGAGTTTTGCCAGTCTTGTGATATCTGCCAAAGATTGAGTACTGGAAGGGATAAAATTAAAGCCCCTATGATCCCAATGCCGATAATTGGAGAACCATTTTACAGAGTGGGCATTGACATAGTGGGACCTCTTTGTAAGCCAAGCAGACGTGGTTACAGATACATTCTAACCATGATTGACTACGCCACAAGATATCCAGAGGCTGTAGCTCTAACTAATATTGAGACAACAACGATTGCAAACGCACTGTTATCCATTTGGGGAAGAACTGGTTATCCTAGAGAATTAGTTTCGGATTTGGGAACTCAATTTACTTCAAGACTTATGTCAAAACTGCTTGAGTTATGTGGAATCAGACACCTGACTTCAACAGCTTATCACCCACAGACAAATGGACTAGTTGAAAATCTGAACAAGACTTTAGTCAAAATGATAAAGTCTTACAGTCAAAAGAAGCCATACGACTGGGATGTCAAATTGCAACAACTGTTATTCGCCTACAGGACCGTCCCTCATGACAGTACTGGCTACAGTCCATTCGAATTGCTTTATGGAAGGAAAGCTCGTGGTCCATTAGACCTGATAAAGGAATATTGGGAGGAAAATTCAGCAACAGATCCAGTTCCAGTGTCGGAGTATCTAAAGGATCTTCAATCAACAATGCAACTGGCTAGGGACATTGCACAAGAACATTTGCTTGCAGCTCAGCAGAGACAAAAAGACTATTATGATTCTACTGCTAAGCCAAGGATCTTCAACGTCGGAGATGAAGTTTTATTTTTATCTCCCAACAAAACCAACAAACTTCAATTAGATTGGTCGGGACCCTGGAAGATCTCCAGGGAACACAACCAAATAAACTATGATATTTATGATGAACATTCAAATGTAGAAAGAAGAGTTCATGTAAACATGTTAAAGCCTTATGTTGGAAGGTCTGCTAAGGTGTATTTTGTTGTTTCAGAAGAGGAATCCGGTCCCTTTTCTTTTTGGGAGGGTGATCGTGAACAATACAATATTACCAAGTATTTAGGACATTTAGTGGGAGGAGGTCAGATTCGACCTGACCCTACTAAAGTGGCAGCTATTCACCAGTGGCCAGTGCCCAAAACAAAAAAACAGGTTAGGGCATTCCTTGGATTGGCTGGGTACTATCGTAAATTCATTCCATCTTTTAGTGATTTGGCAGCCCCTCTTTCGGATCTTACCAAAAAGAAGAACCCAAATCAAGTAATTTGGACTCCAAATTGTCAAACTGCCATGGATCAATTGAAGAAATCCATCACGTCAGATTCTGTCCTAATGGCGCCAGATTTTGATAAGCCTTTTATTCTAACATGTGATGCATCAGATACTGGGCTAGGAGCTGTCCTAAGACAGTTAGATGTAGAGGGTGAGGACAGACCTATTTTGTTTTTGAGTAAAAAATGGCACTCCAATGAATATAGTATGTCAACAATTGAAAAAGAATGCTATGCCATCATCTGGTCAGTTAAAAAATTAAAACCATATTTGTGGGGAAGAAAGTTTACCTTACAGACAGACCATGCTCCATTAAGATGGCTAGATAATGTAAAAGGTACGAACAACAAATTGTTGAGATGGAGTTTATGTTTACAGGATTTTACATTTGAGATTAAACATGTTTCAGGTAAACGAAACATAGTTGCAGACGCCTTATCTAGAATTTCGTAAGGTTAAAGGTTTGTATGTATGTATAAATTGTAATGTATTTAACCATAATATGTTTGCCTTTCAGAAATGTTGTGTATTTATATATTGTTGGATAATATGTGGAATTATTTTTGCCATTCCGGGATTGAGAATGGTCCAAAAATAATTTTTCTGGGGGGGAAGGTGTACAGAAGTGTTTATAATAATATGATTATAACTGTATTTATGTTTGCTTTGGTTGCCCTAAGGCTGGAGCAGCCTAGCTGTGAGGAGTGTGTTACCATGGAAACGATGCTGCAGAGGAGTGGGAGGAGCTTAGAGGAGAGTGTTTTCTGTAAAGTGACAGTTAAGAGTCAGTCAGGAGGGAGACTCTGAGAAGAGAAGAGTTAGGATTGAGACTCTGAGAAGGGAAGAGTCAGTCAGTGTTTGAGACTCTGAGAAGGGAATAGTCAGAGATTTCTTCAGTTAGGAAAGCTGAAGGGGAAAACCTTGTTAGTTTCTTTAGTTAGAAAGAACTAACAGAGGCTTGCTTGGATACCTAGTTAAGAGAACTAGAGATCTGGTGTTTGATCACAGAAGAATCAAACAGGGAGACTATTCACCACTGTAAAACATTGTTTTTAAGTGCTTCACCACAGCAAGAGTTTCATAAGTTGTAACATCGGAAGTTTGAACTGTATCACAACCAAGTTACATGTATCGTTCTTCAAGCATCTGCCAAGCTCAACATCAAACTGTAACCATACGCTTTGTTTCAAATAAACTTGTTCTCTTTGGTTTTTAAAACTGCCTCATCTCCATTTATTCTACACTCGGTGTACCCAATCTACCATAATTACCTCACAACACAAATAGGGTGGCATCCAGTGATATTAATACAAGAGCCTTTTACAAATCGAATATAGATCCTTACAAATTGGTGGCAGGTTTTTTAGTAGCCATCTTTACATTTTTTTAGTGGACCTTTACATTTTTGGTGGCAGCTTGTGTAGCAGTCCTCCTTTACAGAGACTAAAAACCAGTTGGTAATGGTTGATCCCAGGGGCATTACCTGCGTAGATGCAGACGAAAGAGCCCTTGGCGATGTCATCCAGGCAGCGGATGCCCCAGCCTTTGTTCTGCGTCTTGAAGAGCTGCAGCCGGATCTGGAGGCCGTGCTGCACCAGGCGGTTGTTGCACATGTTGGGGTTGCACTTGCAGCGCTTGTTGCACTCGTAAACCCTGCGGAGAGGAGACAGCATTGTTGGCAACGGACCGTTACCATATGGTCAGCGTTCCAGAAGAGCCAGAACTATACAACCCATAAAACCAGAAGGATGTGAGGTCTTTCTTGTCGGGCCAAAGTAAAGCCTGTCTCACCAAGTTACAAACAAGATAGATTCTGTAGGCTTGTTCTTAAGTTGAATTTGTATGTAAGTTGGAACAGGTACATTTTTAAAGTGTAACTCCAGCCACAGCCACACACATATACACAAACACACACACATATATATCCTTTAGCTTTAGATAGGAAACCTGCTACAAAACAGGAGCTTTTTTGTTGAGTTCAGGGCCAGAGAAGAAGATGGCGTAAACAGAAGGCCTGCCTCAGGGAAGCGTGCTTGCTCCATCCATGTTTACCATTTATTAATAATAATAATAGTAATAATAATAATAATAATAATCTTTATTTATATCCCGCCACCATCTCCCTGATGGGGACTCAGAGCGGCTTACATGAGGCCCAAACAACAAATTACAACGGAGTAAAATCGAAAACGCAAACCAAAAATGCGAACATGAAACATCATAATTACATAAAAAACGTGAATACATAACAATATAAAATTACAATAAGCACAATCACAGTGACAATGGGCGGGCTACATGTAATGATTAAAAGAAAACTAATTAAAAACTAATTAAAAACTAATTAAAAACTCGGGCAAGATAAAAGAGAAGCAGGTTATTTGCGGAGGAGGGCTCATTATAGCGAGGGTTGTGGAATTTACAGATTACCAGCCACTGCCAGAAGGGACAGAGAGTGTCATCTATGCTGACGATCATGCCATCCCCACCCAAGCAGGGAACTTGGAAATGGCTGAACAGAAACTCTCCGAAGCTTTAGGTGCTCTTACTGCCTATTACAGGAAAACCAGCTGATTCCTCATCCACCTAGAATGTGCTTTGGATGCTCTTACTGCTCATTTCAGGGGAAACCAGCTGCTACAAAACAGGAGCTTGTTTGTTGAGTTCCTGCTACTCTGCTGCTGAGTACACATGCCCAGTGTGAAACACGATTGTGCCATAACCACCCAAGCAGGGAGCTTTGAAATGGTTGAACAGAAGCTCTCTGAAGCCTTGGATGCTCTTACTGCTCATTCCAGGGGAAACCAGCTGCTACAAAACAGGAGCTTGTTTGTTGAGATCCAGGGCCAGAGAAGCAGATGGCGTTAACAGAAAAACGGCCTGCCTTAGTGGAGTGTACTTGCTCCTTCCATGTTTAACATTCACACAATTGACCAGCCACTGCCAGAAGAGACAGAGAGTTTCATCTACGCTGACGATCATGCCATCACCGTTCAAGCAGGGAGCTTTGAAATGGTTGAACAGAAGCTCTCCGAAGCTTTAAGTGCTCTTACTGCCCATTACAGGGAAAACCAGCTGATCCCTAATGTTTAACATTTACACAAATGACCAGCTACTGCTAGAAGGGACAGAGAGTTTCATCCACACTGATGATCGTGCCATCACCACCCAAGCAGGGAGCTTTGAAATGGCTGAACAGAAACTCTGAAGCTTTAGGTGCTCTTACTGCCTATTACAGGGAAAATCAGCTGAATTCTAATCCATCTAAAATGCAGACAAGTGCTTTTCACCTTAAGAACAGACACGTTTTTCAAGCTCTGAGGATGACCTGGGAAGGAATCCCACTGGAGCATTGCAGCACACCCAAATACCTGGGAGTCACTCTGGACCGTGCTCTGACCTACAAGAATCACTGCTTGAATATCAACCAAAAAGTGGGTGCTAGAAACAATATCATACGAAAAGCAGACTGGCACAACCTGGGGATCACAACCAGACACAGTGAAGACATCTGCCCTTGCGCTGTGCTACTCTGCTGCTGAGTATGCATGCCCAGTGTGGAACACATCTCACCACGCTAAAACAGTGGATGTGTCTCTTAATGAGACATGCCGCATTATCACGGGGTGTCTGCACCCTACACCACTGGAGAAATTACACTGCTTAGCCGGTATTGCACCACCTGACATGCACCAGGAAGTAGCAGCCAAAAGTGAAAGGACCAAGGCAGAGACATCTCCAGCTCATCCCCTCTTTGGGTATCACCCAGCACATCAACGACTTAAATCTAGAAATAGTTTTCTAAGATCTACAGAGACACTCGCTGGAACACCTCAGCAAGCGAGAGTCCAAAAGTGGCAGGCTCAAACCCAGAACCTCAACAATGGCTGATACCAAAGGAGAGACTCCCCCCTGGGTACACAGAGGACTGGCCAACTTGGAAGGCACTGAACAGACTGCGCTCTGGCACCACAAGATGCAGAGCAAACCTCAAGAAATGGGGCCACAAAGTGGAATCCATGACATGCGAGTGTGGAGAAGAGCAAACCACTGACCACCTGCTGCAATGCACCCTGAGCCCTGCCACATGCACAATGGAGGACCTTCTTGCAGCAACACCAGAGGCACTCCAAGCGGCCAGATACTGGTCAAAGGACATTTCATCAACCACCAAGCTTGCAAACTTTGTATTTTGTCTGCTTGTTTGCTTTGTTCTGTTAGAAATGTAATATAAATGACTGGTTGCCCTGACACGACAAATAAAATAAATACAATATAATGGTATAATACAACATAGTAATATTTAATACTGATATTGTACTATGCCAATAATATAATACAGAGAAGGGCGGCATATAAATGTCATAAACAAACAAATAAATAAATAACAACTGTACCCTCAATTCGCTTCTGACACGATAAATCAGTAAATATTGGTCTTCTCTGTCCAAGCACCTCACTGCCATGTTTCGTGAGTATATGCATACAGACAGACATAATCGTACCCTGTTGGTAGGCATTCTTCCAACCGCTTGTGTTGATATCCAGCATTTGGGTTGATCTGGGCCCCCGGGGTGCAGGCGGTGGCCTGGATGGTGAGCTGGTGGCAGGCACATTTGGATCTGCAAAAGGAAATGCAGTTCGGGTTGGGATTAGCGTATTTTGGCACATTTCTTAGTTTTTTGTCTTGAAAGAGGGTGAGACTATTACGCGATAAAAAAAACATTGCCTTAATAAGAAACAAAAAGTGAAACTAGGATGCAACACAATACAGTGATGGATTAGTGTATTTTGGCGCATTTTTTAGTCCTTTGTCTGGACCGAAAAAAAGGGTGAGACTATTACGCGATGAAAAGAAACACTGCCTTAAAAAGGGACAAAAGGTGTAACTATGATGCAACACAATACAGTGATGGATTAGTGTATTTTGGCACATTTTTTAAGTCCTTTGTCTGGAACGAAAAAAGAGGGTAAGACTATTACGTGATAAAAAAAAATTGCCTCAAGAACGGACAAAATCTGTAACTACGATGTAACACAATATGATGGATTAGCGCATTTTGGCACATTTTTAGTTCTTTGTCTTGACTGAAAAAAGAGGGTGAGACTGTTACACAATGAAAAAAAGACTCTGCCTAAACAAGAGACAAAAAGTGTAACTAGGATGCAACACAATACAGTGATGGATTGGCGTATTTTGAGCATTTTTTAGTCCTTTGTCTTGACTGAAAAAAGAGGGCGAGACTATTATGCGATTAAAAAAAATTGCCTTAATAAGAGACAAAAAGTGTAACTAGGATGCAACACAATACAGTGATGGATTAGTGTATTTTGGCGCATTTTTTAGTCCTTTATCTTGACCGAAAAAAGAGGGCGAGACTATTACGCGATGAAAAAAAGACTGTCTTAAGAAGTGACAAAAAGTGTATCTACGATACAACACAATACAGTGATGGATTAGCATATTTTTGAGCATTTTTTAGTCCTTTGTCTTGACCGAAAAAAGAGGGCGAGATTATTACGCGATGAAAAAAAACTGCCTTAAGAAGGGACAAAAAGTGTAACTACGATGCAACACAATACAGTGATGAATTAGCATATTTTGGCATGTTTTTTAGTCCTTTGTCTTGACTGAAAAAAGAAGGTGAGACTATTACGCGATGGAAAAAAGACTCTGCCTTAATAAGAGACAAAAAGTGTAACTAGGATGCAACACAATACAGTGATGGATTAGCATATTTTTTAGTCCTTTTTCTTGACCGAAAAAAGAGGGCGAGACTATTATGCGATAAAAAAAACATTGCCTTAATAAGAGACAAAAAGTGTAATTAGGATGCAACACAATACAGTGATGGATTAGCGTATTTTTGAGCATTTTTTGGTCCTTTGTCTTGACCGAAAAAAGAGGGCGAGACTATTACGCGATGAAAAAAATACTGTCTTAAGAAGTGACAAAAAGTGTATCTACGATACAACACAATACAGCGTATTGGATTAGCATATTTGGCACATTTTTAGTCAGTTGTTTTGACCGAAAAAAGGTGAGACTATTACGCGATGAAAAAAAAGACTCTGCCTTAAGAAGGGACAAAAGGTGTAACTATGATGCAACACAATACAGTGATGGATTAGCGTATTTTTTAGTCCTTTGTCTTGACCGAAAAAAGAGGGCGAGACTATTACGCGATGAAAAAAAGACTGTCTTAAGAAGTGACAAAAAGCGTATCTACGATACAACACAATACAGCGTATTGGATTCGCATATTTTGGCACATTTTTAGTCAGTTGTTTTGACCGAAAAAAGAGGTTGAGACTATTACGTGATGAAAAAAAAGACTGCCTTAGGAAGGGACAAAAGGTGTAACTAGGATGCAACACAATACAGTGATGGATTATCGTATTTTTTAGTCCTTTGTCTTGACCAATAAAGAGGGTGAGACTGATACGCGATGAAAAAAGACTCTGCCTTAAGAAGGGCCAAAAAGTGTAACTACGATGCAACACAATACAGTGATGGAGTAGCGTATTTTGGCGCATTTTTTGTCCTTTGTCTTGACCGAAAAAAGGTGAGACTATTATGCGATGAAAAAAATGCTCTGCCTTAAGAAGGGCCAAAAAGTGTAACTACGATGCAACACAATACAGTGATGGATTAGCATATTTTGGCGCATTTTTAGTCCTTTGTCTTGACCGAAAAAGAGGGCAAGACTATTACGCGATGAAAAAAACCTCAGCCTTAAGAAGGGCCAAAAAGTGTATCTACAATGCAACACAATACAGTAATGCAGGCTTACTTGTCCCGGCATCCATCCTCGCAGTCGCAGCCCACCAGGAACTCCCAGGCGGTGTTGATATAGACCCCCTTCCCGGGGATGCGCTCCTTGCTGTACGCCACTTGCGGCGGCGGCGTGTTGTCGATCTCGTTGACACAGGAGAGCGGGACGTCCTCTTTCCCTTTGGTGATGTCCGCGATGTAGTAGAAGGGTTTGTAAGGCTGGAACTTGCGGTCCACCATGACGTAGGGGTCCAGGCAGAACATCTCCAGAAAAAGGAAATCGCAATCGGTCTCAAAGAGGTACCGCTCGATTTCGCCCATGCTACGCAAGCAGAGTCCGCAGGGGCTCTTGTAAATGACATGGAAGCCGGTCTTGCGGTTGATGCGCCGGCGGGCGTTCATGCGGCGGAAGTCGTAGAGCAGCGGGACCAGGAGCGGGTTCTTGCTGCGGTACTGGTGCGGGAGGAAGGGGCGCACGCGGGAGAGGCAGGTGTAGCTGCAGACGTGGGGCAGGTAGAAGAGCTTCTCCACCGGGGCCCGGTAGGAGGGCTCATTGGGCACCCGGTCCAGCATCCCGTGGAAGGACTGGGCGGGAACACTGCAGGGCTGGGCACCGGAATAACTGCCACACACACACACACAGATTGAGAGAGAGAGAAGGAAAGAAGGGCAGTCAACGAGGGAGAGCCTGACTGGGTGGGTGAGTGGGCGGGGCTACTCTAACGGTCAAAATAGTGGGCGGGGCTACTCTAACGGTCAAAAATAGTGGACGGGGCTACTCTAACGGTCAAAAATAGTGGGCGGAGCTACTCTAACGGTCAAAAATAGTGGGCGGGGCTACTCTAACGGTCAAAAATAGTGGGCGGGGCTACTCTAACGGTAAAAAATAGTGGGCGGGGCTACTCTAACGGTCAAAAATAGTGGGCGGGGCTACTCTAACGGTCAAAAATAGTGGGCGGGGCTACTCTAACGGTCAAAAATAGTGGGCGGAGCTACTCTAACGGTCAAAAATAGTGGACGGGGCTACTCTAACGGTCAAAAATAGTGGGCGGGGCTACTCTAACGGTCAAAAATAGTGGGCGGGGCTACTCTAACGGTCAAAAATAGTGGGCGGGGCTACTCTAACGGTCAAAAATAGTGGGCAGGGCTACTCTAACGGTCAAAAATAGTCTCGAGAATGTCTGTTGCTGAAAAACCAGGAAACACAGACACGACCAGGATCCGGCAAATGGTGCAAATTATTATTGGGTTGCTGTGAGTTTTCTGGGCGGGAAGCAGCCAGGCTTTGAACCTGCAAGGCTATTCAATGCAGATCCAGGTGGCCAATGGCAACATTCACGCCGATTCCAATGTATCCTGGAAACAGGCATGTGTTCAATATTAGTATTCATGGTGAATGGGTTGCTGGGAGTTTTCCGGGCTGTCTGGCCATTTTCCAGAAGCATTCTCTCCTGACGTTTCGCCCCATCTACATTTGTCAGGAGGGCTCGGATGCTGTTTTTCTGCCTTCAGAAGGGCGTTGAACTGGATGACCCTTGAGGATCTCTTTTAATCATTACATTTCCAGAAGCATTCTCTCCTGACCTTTCGCTCCCACCTACGGCAGGCATCCTCAGAGGTTGTCAGGTCTGTTGGAAACTAGGCAAGTGGGGTTTATATACCTGTGGAATAATGTCCAGGGTGGGAGAAGGAACTCTTGTCTGTTGGAGGCAAGCGTGAATGTCCCAACAAAGGATTCCCCCAGGCAGGAAGCAGCCTGGCTATGAAGCTGCCAGGCTATTTAATGCTAATCAAAGTGGCCAATGGCAACATCCTGGCAACATCCCCTGGCCAATGTCTCTGCAGGCGGCCAATTCTCTCACACCAGAAACGACTTGCAGTTTCTCAAGTCCCTACTGACATGATGATGATGATGATTATTATTAGTAGTATTATTAGAATCCTAGAACTGGAAGAGACCCTAAGGGCCTGCCACAGATGTGGGAGACACCTCAGGAGAGAATGCTTCTGGAAATGTAAGAAATAGAAGATACCCCCAAGGGTCATCCAGTCCAACTCCCTTTTGTCAGGCAGGACACCATTAAAGCTCTCCCAACAGATAGCCATCCAGGATCTGTTGATAATTAGTAATAACAATAATAATGGGTTGCTGTGAGTTTTCCGGACTGTCTGGCCATTTTCCAGAAGCATTCCCTCCTGATATTTTGCCCACATCTATGGTTGTGAGGATTTTTTTTTATTTTTTTTTGGTCAGGAGTGACTTGAGGAACTGCAAGTTGCTTTTGGTGTGAGAACATTGGCTGTCTGCAAGGACGTTGCCCAGGGGACATTGCCTGGATGTTTTGATGTGTTTCCATCCTTGTGGGAGGCTTCTCTCATGTCCCCACATGGAGAGCTGGAGCTGACAGGGGGAGCTCATCCATGGTCTCCCCGGATTTGAACCTGTGACCTGCCGGTCTTCAATCCTGCTGGCACAAGGGTCTAAGCCACTGCGCGACCAGGGACTCCCAGGGACAGCTAACAACTCCCAACAAAGGATTCCCCAGGCAGGAAGCAGCCAGGCTTTGAAGCTGCAAGGCCATTCAATGCTAATTAAGCTGGCCAATTGCAACATTCAAACTTGCCTCTCACCCTGGACATCATTCCACAGGTATATAAACCCTACTTGCCTAGTTTCCAACAGACCTCACAACCTCTGAGGATGCCTGCTATAAATGTGGGTGAAACGTCAGGAGAGAATGCTTCTGGAGCATGGCCAGACAGCCCGGAAAACTCACAGCAACCCAGTGATTCCGGTCATGAAAGCCTTCAACAACAACAACACATAGTATTATTATTATTATTATTATTATTATTATTATTATTATCATTATTATTATCATTATTATCGTTTTCATCATTTTATTATCATCACTTTATTATTTATCTTTACTCTACTATTATTGTTATTATCCTTATTATTATACCATGGATCCATTTCTATCCATCCATCTTCTATCTCTCCATTTCTCCTTCCCTCTCTTGTATCTATTTTTCAATCCATGTGTCAGACCTCACAACCTCTGAGGATGGAGGCGAAATGTCAGGAGAGAATGCCTCTAGAACATGGCCATATAGCTTGAAAAAAACCTACAACAACCCATGTGTCTATTTGTTCATCTATAGATATATGAACCTCACTTCCTCGTTTCCAGCAGACCTCACCACCTCCGACGATGCCTGCCATAGATGCAGGCGAAATGTCAGGAGAGAATGCTTCTAGAACATGGCCAGACAGCCTGAAAAACCGAAAACAACCCAGAGATTCCGGCCATGAAAGCCTTCGACAAGACATTGAACAAAAATTGTGTTACACAGTGTAACTGGCTCCGAACTCACCGGAACTGCTGGGTGAGGTTTGTCCGTCCGGCCGGAGTCGTTTCGGTCAAGACGGGAGATGAGGGTGGCGAGGGCCCCGACCCCACAGAGCCCGGGCGCAGGAAGGAAGTGCTTTTTTTGGCCACCTGCTGCTTCTTGGCCTGAGACAGCTGGCTGTCGGGACTACTGCAAGGAGAAGAAAAGCTAGTTGCAGAGATGGGGGGTTTTGGGGGGTGGAGGGACAAAGGAGCCCAAGCAAAAGGATGAGGAGGAATGTCTCAGTGGGAGAAAGGTCTCAGTCTGAGAGAACCCTCAGTGGGAGAAAGGTCTCAGTCTCAGAGAACCCTCAGTGGGAGACAGGTCTCAGTGGGAGAAACTCCTCAGTCTGAGAGAACCCTCAGTGGGAGATAGGTCTCAGTAGGAGAAAGATCTCAGTCTGAGAGAACCCTCGGTGGGAGAAGGCCTCAGTGGGAGAAAGACCTCAGTCTGAGAGAATCCTCAGTGGGAGACAGGTCTCAGTGGGAGAAAGGTTTCAGTCTGAAAGAACCCTCAGTGGGAGAAAGGTCTCAGTCTGAGAGAACCCTCAGTGGGAGAAGGCCTCAGTGGGAGAAAGGCCTCAGTCTGAGAGAATCCTCAGTGGGAGACAGGTCTCAGTGGGAGATAGGCCTCAGTGTGAGGTAGGCCTTAGTATTAGTAGGCCTCAGTATGAGGTAGCCCTCAGTGTGAGAGAAGGACTTAGTGAGATAAGGTCTCAGTGTTAGTTTGCCTCATTGTGAGAGAGGCCTCAGTGTTAGTAGGCCTCAGTATAAGGTAGCCCTCAGTGTGAGAGAAGGACTTAGGGAGAGAAGGCCTCAGTGTTATTTCGCCTCATTGTGAAAGAGGCCTCAGGGTGAGAGAACCCTCAGTGTGAGATGGCCTCAGTGGGAAAAAGGCCTCAGTGTTAATAAGCCTCAGTATGAGAACATCTCTGTGTGAGAGAAGCCCCAGGTTGAGGGTCATTGTGTGTGAAGCTCCAGTGTGAAGGCTGCTGTGTGTATAAAGCTACTGTTAATAAGCCCACTCGCCCAACAGAACTTACTCCACTTCGATCAAGGGGGGTGAAGCTGGCTGGGGAGTCGAGGGAGGCATCTGGGGAAGCTCCGCGGGTTTGAACTGCTGCGGACTGCTCCCCGTCAAGTCGTGGATGTACTGGACCACCGGCCCTTTGCTCCGCACGGCCCCTGGGAGGAGAGGGGGAGAAAGGGAGCTGAAATGGGGCAGGAATCGGAAAGGACGGGCATTGAAACAACAACAACAACAACAACAACTACAAGGATCTTAGCGTGCTGGATCTATTGCAATAAAGCAGCGATAGGAAACTTTACCAGGCCAATTAGATGACCAAAACGGTTTTAAACGGTTTATTTTAATATTGAGATAAATGTTTATATATGCATATAATGAATTCTTGTCCCGGCATTGAATGCTCCACCCTGAGTCTCCTTTGGGGTGAGAAGGGCAGAATATAAATGTTTTAAATAAATAAATAACAAATAAATATTCATCCTGCAGAAGAGAATATGTTTTTTATAAGTGTGTTTTCATCCATGCATTTTATCAGTATGTAGTTTATGTTTTGATGTGGTTGCATCCTGTCTCAAGCCGTTAGAAGAAGAGTGGAACAAATAACATATATTATTATTATTATTATTATTATTATTATTATTATTATTATTGACACAAAAGCACAGTATGTCACAGCAAACGGGATCTATATGCTGGATTATTATTATTATTATTATTATGGACCCAGTGTCAATCGTTTTGGACGCCAAAGACCTACCAACATTCGGCCGGGTTCTCATCTGCCCTCCTTGCTTCTTTTCTTGTGTGGACGCTGTGGAGGTTTTCATGCTGAACATGGGTTCCAGGCGAGTGGAGCCCCGGTAGATCCACTCACAGCGTTTGTCATCCTGTGGGACAGAAAGGGAGATAAGGCCACCTCCAAAGAATGGAACGAGGGGCAACCATCCAGCAATCCATCCATCTATAAAAATAAGAATCTATCTATCTATCTATCTATCTATCTATCTATCTATCTATCTATCTATCTATCTATCCATCTAATTGATATGGTCACCTCTAAAGGATGGAATGAAGGGCAACCATCCATCTATAAAATAATAGTCTATCTATCTATCTATCTATCTATCTATCTATCTATGTATCTGATATGGTCACCTCCAAAGGATGGAATGAGGGGCAACCATCCAGCAATCCATCCATCTATAAAAATAAGAATCTATCTATCTATCTATCTATCTATCTATCTATCTATCTATCTATCTATCCATCTAATTGATATGGTCACCTCTAAAGGATGGAATGAAGGGCAACCATCCATCTATAAAATAATAGTCTATCTATCTATCTATCTATCTATCTATCTATCTATCTATCTATCTATGTATCTGATATGGTCACCTCCAAAGGATGGAATGAGGGGCAACCATCCAGCAATCCATCCATCTATAAAAATAAGAATCTATCTATCTATCTATCTATCTATCTATCTATCTATCTATCTATCCATCTAATTGATATGGTCACCTCTAAAGGATGGAATGAAGGGCAACCATCCATCTATAAAATAATAGTCTATCTATCTATCTATCTATCTATCTATCTATCTATCTATGTATCTGATATGGTCACCTCCAAAGGATGGAATGAGGGGCAACCATCCAGCAATCCATCCATCCATAAAAATAAGAATCTATCTATCTATCTATCTATCTATCTATCTATCTATCTATCTATCTATCTATCCATCTAATTGATATGGTCACCTCTAAAGGATGGAATGAAGGGCAACCATCCATCTATAAAATAATAGTCTATCTATCTATCTATCTATCTATCTATCTATCTATCTATGTATCTGATATGGTCACCTCCAAAGGATGGAATGAGGGGCAACCATCCAGCAATCCATCCATCTATAAAAATAAGAATCTATCTATCTATCTATCTATCTATCTATCTATCTATCTATCTATCTATCCATCTAATTGATATGGTCACCTCTAAAGGATGGAATGAAGGGCAACCATCCATCTATAAAATAATAGTCTATCTATCTATCTATCTATCTATCTATCTATCTATCTATGTATCTGATATGGTCACCTCCAAAGGATGGAATGAGGGGCAACCATCCAGCAATCCATCCATCCATAAAAATAAGAATCTATCTATCTATCTATCTATCTATCTATCTATCTATCTATCTATCTATCTATCTATCCATCTAATTGATATGGTCACCTCTAAAGGATGGAATGAAGGGCAACCATCCATCTATAAAATAATAGTCTATCTATCTATCTATCTATCTATCTATCTATCTATCTATCTATCTATCTATGTATCTGATATGGTCACCTCCAAAGGATGGAATGAGGGGCAACCATCCAGCAATCCATCCATCTATAAAAATAAGAATCTATCTATCTATCTATCTATCTATCTATCTATCATCCATCCATCTAATTGATATGGTCACCTCTAAAGGATGGAATGAAGGGCAACCATCCATCTATAAAATAATTATCTATCTATCTATCTATCTATCTATCTATCTATCTATCTATGTATCTGATATGGTCACCTCCAAAGGATGGAATGAGGGGCAACCATCCAGCAATCCATCCATCTATAAAAATAAGAATCTATCTATCTATCTATCTATCTATCTATCTATCTATCCATCCATCTAATTGATATGGTCACCTCTAAAGGATGGAATGAAGGGCAACCATCCATCTATAAAATAATAGTCTATCTATCTATCTATCTTATCTATCTATCTATCTATCTATGTATCTGATATGGTCACCTCCAAAGGATGGAATGAGGGGCAACCATCCAGCAATCCATCCATCTATAAAAATAAGAATCTATCTATCTATCTATCTATCTATCTATCTATCTATCTATCTATCTATCCATCTAATTGATATGGTCACCTCTAAAGGATGGAATGAAGGGCAACCATCCATCTATAAAATAATAGTCTATCTATCTATCTATCTATCTATCTATCTATGTATCTGATATGGTCACCTCCAAAGGATGGAATGAGGGGCAACCATCCAGCAATCCATCCATCTATAAAAATAAGAATCTATCAATCTATCTATCTATCTATCTATCTATCTATCCATCTAATTGATATGGTCACCTCTAAAGGATGGAATGAAGGGCAACCATCCATCTATAAAATAATAGTCTATCTATCTATTCTATCTATCTATCTATCTATCTATCTATGTATCTGATATGGTCACCTCCAAAGGATGGAATGAGGGGCAACCATCCAGCAATCCATCCATCTATAAAAATAAGAATCTATCTATCTATCTATCTATCTATCTATCTATCTATCTATCCATCTAATTGATATGGTCACCTCTAAAGGATGGAATGAAGGGCAACCATCCATCTATAAAATAATAGTCTATCTATCTATCTATCTATCTATCTATCTATGTATCTGATATGGTCACCTCCAAAGGATGGAATGAGGGGCAACCATCCAGCAATCCATCCATCTATAAAAATAAGAATCTATCTATCTATCTATCTATCTATCTATCTATCTATCTATCTATCTATCTATCTATCCATCTAATTGATATGGTCACCTCTAAAGGATGGAATGAAGGGCAACCATCCATCTATAAAATAATAGTCTATCTATCTATCTATCTATCTATCTATCTATCTATCTATCTATCTATCTATGTATCTGATATGGTCACCTCCAAAGGATGGAATGAGGGGCAACCATCCAGCAATCCATCCATCTATAAAAATAAGAATCTATCTATCTATCTATCTATCTATCTATCTATCCATCTAATTGATATGGTCACCTCTAAAGGATGGAATGAAGGGCAACCATCCATCTATAAAATAATAGTCTATCTATCTATCTATCTATCTATCTATCTATCTATCTATCTATCTATCTGATATGGTCACCTCCAAAGGATGGAATGAGGGGCAACCATCCAGCAATCCATCCATCTATAAAAATAAGAATATCTATCTATCTATCTATTTATCTATCTATCTATCTATCCATCTAATTGATATGGTCACCTCTAAAGGATGGAATGAAGGGCAACCATCCATCTATAAAATAATAGTCTATCTATCTATCTATCTATCTATCTATCTATCTATCTATGTATCTGATATGGTCACCTCCAAAGGATGGAATGAGGGGCAACCATCCAGCAATCCATCCATCTATAAAAATAAGAATCTATCTATCTATCTATCTATCTATCTATCCATCTAATTGATATGGTCACCTCTAAAGGATGGAATGAAGGGCAACCATCCATCTATAAAATAATAGTCTATCTATCTATCTATCTATCTATCTATCTATGTATCTGATATGGTCACCTCCAAAGGATGGAATGAGGGGCAACCATCCAGCAATCCATCCATCTATAAAAATAAGAATCTATCTATCTATCTATCTATCTATCTATCTATCCATCTAATTGATATGGTCACCTCTAAAGGATGGAATGAAGGGCAACCATCCATCTATAAAATAATAGTCTATCTATCTATCTATCTATCTATCTATCTATCTATGTATCTGATATGGTCACCTCCAAAGGATGGAATGAGGGGCAACCATCCAGCAATCCATCCATCTATAAAAATAAGAATCTATCTATCTATCTATCTATCTATCTATCTATCTATCTATCTATCTATCTATCCATCTAATTGATATGGTCACCTCTAAAGGATGGAATGAAGGGCAACCATCCATCTATAAAATAATAGTCTATCTATCTATCTATCTATCTATCTATCTATCTATCTATGTATCTGATATGGTCACCTCCAAAGGATGGAATGAGGGGCAACCATCCAGCAATCCATCCATCTATAAAAATAAGAATCTATCTATCTATCTATCTATCTATCTATCTATCTATCTATCTATCTATCCATCTAATTGATATGGTCACCTCTAAAGGATGGAATGAAGGGCAACCATCTGTCTATCTATCTATCTATCTATCTATCTATCTATCTATCTATCTATCTATCTGAGATGGTCATCCCTAAAGGATGGAATGAGGGGCAATCATCCACCCATCTATAAAAATAATAATCTGTCTATCTCTCTATCTGTTTATCTGATAAGGTGACCTCTAAAGGATGGAATGAGGGGCAACCTTCTATCTATCCATCTATCTATCCATCTTTCTAGAAGTCTCTCTCTCTCTCTATATATATATATATATAAATATAGTCTCTCTCTATATATATATTCTCTCTCTCTCTCTATATATATATATATATGTGGCCACCTCTAAAATAATAATAATAAATAATAAAATACAATAATGAAATAAATAATAATATAATAAAAGACAGAATCTAAATAAAAGTCAATGTATGTATGTATGTATGTATCTAATAAGGACACCTCTAAAAGACAGAATGAGGAACAACTATCTATCTATCTATCTATCTATCTATCTATCTATCTATCTATCTTTCTTTCTAAAAGTCTCTCTCTCTCGATATACTGTCCCCAGCCACGCGTTGCTGTGGCCCAGTCTGTGTAGATGTGTTTTGAGTGTATATATATTTGTGTGTATGTGTCTAATCTATATGTGTGTTTGCGTATATATGTGTGGTTTTAAGCATGTGTTGTGTTTTTTTTTGTTTTTTGGCTTTTTAAGTCTTATGTTGTGTTTTTCCAGTGTTTTTATGAGTGATGGTCACTCGTTGGCCTGATATTTCTATTGTGTCCAAATTTAGTGTCAATTCATCCAGTGGTTTTTGAGTTATGTTAATATTACAAAGGAACATTACATTTTTATTTATATAGATACATTCTTCTATTTATGTATCTAATAAGGCCACCTCTAAAATAATAATAATAAATAATAAAATACAATAATAAAATAAAATAAAAATAATAAAATAAATAATAAAAGACAGAATGAGCAACAGCTATCTATCTAAATAAAAGTCAATGTATGTATGTATCTAATAAGGCCACCTCTAAAAGACAGAATGAGGAACAACTATCTATCTATCTATCTATCTATCTATCTATCCATCCATCCATCCATCCATCTATCTAAAAGTCTCTCTCTCTCTTAAAATACTGGAGTGTTGAGGGGGAGGGGTTGACCCAGGATGATGGGAGTTGTAGTCAACCCACATCCAGAGGGCGCCGAGAACCCCACCGATGATCTATGGATGGATTTGGCAGACCTGTCATCACCAACTTAAAATACTGGGGTGTTTTGTTGGGGGGGGGGGACCCAGGATTATGGGAGTTGTAGTCAACCTACATCCAGAGAACCACATTGATGATGGATCTGGCCCAAACGGTGATGGATAGCATAGGGAAGGGTTAACAGCCCTGTGGGGTTTGTTTTGCATGCATGTTTCCAAGGTAGGTGGGTGGACGGGGGGGACGGGACCCCAAAATCAAAAAAGAGGTCGAGGAATACCTGAGCGGTTCCTACCAGGAAGAGGATCTTGACCAGGCTCCCGTCCACTTCCTCCACGCGGGACTTCCACCAGGTCCCTTCCCACTCGGTCTTGATCTGCTGGCCGCTCTTCAGCAAGACCATGGGGCGGTTGGGGTAGGCCGTGATGTAGTCCTCGATGAAGTCCCGGCAGGAGATGTCCTCAATGTCCTCCCAGGATTTCTTCACTGAGAAGACAACGCGCCAGTTGCGTGTGGTCAGAACTCCGCGCTTAAGACCTTCTCTCTAGGAACTCCGAGGTCCTCCAGACCAAGAAAGAACACTTCTGTTTCCAAACTATGTCACACCATTTTTGTTCCTGGGTTATACAGGTCATTTCCTAACTGGTTCTACCATCAAAACACAGAAAATGGTTATTAAACTGCAAAACCTTTGTGTCTGAGGGACAGCCTGCAGCAAACCCAGGCCCGGGGTCTGGATGTGGCCCCTTGGGCGGCTCTTTTCTCAGGCCTCCCCTCTCTCTCACCATCCTATCCTTCCTTCCTTCTCTCCTTCCTTCCTCCTACCATCCTTTCCTTCCTCCCTTCCTTACCACCCTCTTCCTCCCTCCCTCCTTCCCTTCCATCCTTTGGTCCTTCCTTCTCTCTTTCTCCTTCCTTCCTTCCCTCTTTCCTCCCTCCCTCCTTCTCTGCCTATCTCTCCTTCCTTCCTTCTCTCTTTCCCCCCTCTATTCCTTCCTTCTCTTTCCTCCCTCCCTTTCTTCTCCTTTCCTTTTTCTTCCCTCCTCCCTCCTTCCTTCTTCCTCTTCCTTCCTTCCTTCCTTCTCTTCTTTCCCCCCTTCCTCCCTCTCTTCCTCCTTCCTTCTCTTTCTTCCCCCTCCTTCCCTCCTTCTTTCTCTCTTTCCTCCTCCTCTTCCCTCCCTTTCTCTCTTCCTTCTTTCTCTTTTCTCCCTCTCTCTCTTCTCTCTCCTTTCCTTCTTTCCTCCCTCCCTTCTTTCTTCCCTTCTCTCCTTCCTTCTCCATTCCCTTCCACCCTTCTTCCTTCCTTCTCTTCCTCCTTCTTTTCCTCCCTCTTCTTCCTCCCTCCCTCCTCTCTTTCTCCTTCTCCTCCTTCTTCCTTCTTCCTCCTTTCCTCTTCCTTCCTCCTCTTTTCCCTCCCTTCTTCCCTTCCCTTCCATTCTTCACTTCCTCCTCCCTTCACTTTTTCCTCCCTCCCTCCATTCACCGCCACCTTTCCACCCTTCTCTTCCTTCCTTCTCTTTCCTCCCTCCCTCCATCCCTTCCTTCCATTCTTCTCTCCCTCTCTCCCTCCCTCCCTTCTCTCTTTCCTCCCTCTCTCCATCTACTTCCACCCTTCAACCCTTCTCTTCCTCCCTTCTTCTCTTCCTCCCTTTTCTCTTTTCTTCCCTCTCTTTCCTCCATTCCCTTCCTTCCATTCTTCTCTTCCTCCCTCCCTTCTCTCTTTCCTCCCTCCCTCCATTCACTCCCACTTCTCTTCCTTCCTCCTCCCTTCCTTCCTTCTCTTCCTCCCTCCCTCCCTCCTTCCTTCCTTCCTTCTCTTCCTTCCTTCCTTCCTTTCCTCTCTCCCTCCATTCCTTCCACCCTTCTTTCTCCCTTCCTTCTCTTTCCTCTCTCCCTCCATTCACCTCCACCTTTCCATCCTTCTCTTGCTCCTTTCCTTCTCTTTTCTCCCTCTCTCCCTCCCTCCATCTCTTACAACCTGCTGGGTAAGTGAACATGGAGGGTCTATCATAGCTGAAGGCAACTTCCTGTCATGGTCAGAACTAAACAGGAAGTGGCTTACGGCCACCCCGCCCTTACCAGGTCCAAGCCACAACACACTACTATAAGAATAGATGACCCCAGGGATACTCACGAGGCCTGCAGATCAAGTAGAGCTCCGGCTGGACCACGTAGGAGGCATAGCCATCGTCAAAGAAGATCAGGAACCTAGAAGCGATGGAGGACAGCAAAGGTGACACCCAAGCAAAGGGGGTCCGGCAAGAGCATCAACAAAGTCCTCCCTCCTGACCTCATCTTGTTCTTGGCGTTGGGCGTCTCGGCCACGATCCCGGCGTAGAGCCAGACCTGGTTCCCGTCCTTATACTTGGCCACCACTCGGCTCCCAACGTGGAGCTTGTCGACGGGTGGGTGAGCGTCGTAGGCAATGTGGTTCCCTGACAGCAGGCTCTTGCCCTTGTTGTCAAACTTCACTTTGTACTTCTTCCCCGGCCCTGAAGAAGGAAAGGGGTTACAACAAGTCAGCACCAGGGGTAGTTTAATTATGCCATAACCGTGGAAACTACAAGTCCTTTTGGCCATGGAAACGGGAGCCAGGATGAGCCGTGAGGGAAATAAACTGTCAGTTGGAACTTTGTTGCATTCCCTAATGCATGCTTTTGAATTAAAGCCTTCCAGCTGAAGACGGAAGGGTGGGCGAAGGGAAAAGGGTTACGACAAGTCAGCACCAGGGGTAGTTTAATTATGCCATAACCGTGAAAACTACAAGTCCTTTTGGCCATGGAAACGGGAGCCAGGGTGAGGCGTGAGGGAAATAAACTGTCAGTTGGAACGTTGTTGCGTTCCCTAATGCATGCTTTTGAATTAATACCTTCCAGCTGAAGATGGAAGGGTGGGCGAAGGGAAAAGGTTACGACAAATCAGCACCAAGGGTAACCAGGGTTATTATGCCATAACCGTGAAAACTACAAGTCCTTTTGGCCAATATTTGTACATATTTTTAGGTCATCATGTCATGATCTTATTTCCTGGTTTTTTGTGAAGCCAGGAAATTAGGCTTCACACAATGTGTATATTTGAAATCTGGCAGAGGGTTGCCATGGAAACGGGAGCCAGGACAAGGCGTGAGGGAAATAAACTGTCAGTTGGAACTTTGTTGCGTTCCCTAATGCATGCTTTTGAATCAAAGCCTTCCAGCTTTGTTTGTGAGGTAATTTCTGTGCCGGAAAGCTACAGATCTGGAAACATAAATGGTTTTAGTGCAAGCTGCTTTCGATCATCGTCAAGATTCACAACAGAGTGCCAAGAAGGGCCCACCTTTGCAACACAAGGATCAACGGAGCTGCCCGGACAGGTAAATTTGTGGGACTTACCTACGGTCTGGATGGCGATGAGGGTGCCCTTGTGCCAGGTCTTGGTCCGCTTCTTGCCCAGCACGCGGTCCCCAACGGTCAGGTCTCCCTCCTGCATGAGCTCGCAGCCGGGATTCGCAAGTTGAGACCCTTCGAGAACGGAGACAGGAAGCTATTAGACCTAAAGGACCCCAAGGGTCATCCAGTCCAACGCCCTTCTGCCAGGCGGAAGGACACCATCTAAGCCCTCCCGACAAATGGCCATCCAGGCTCTATTTTTATTATTGTTTACTAGCTGTACCTGCCACGCGTTGCTGTGGCCAACCTTCCCTCTTTCTCTCCTTCTTTCCCTCCTTCATCACTCCCTCTTTCCTTTCTTCCCAGCTTTCCTTCTCTCCTTCCTTTCTTCTCTATCTCTTTCCTTACTGCCCCCTTTTTCTTTCCCTTCGCCTTTCTCTTCTCCTTTCTTTCTCTCCTTCCTTCCTTCCCTCTTTCCTTCCTTCTTCCCTTTTTTCTTTCATTCTCTCCTTCCTTTTCTTCCCTTCCTTCCCCCCTTTTCTCCCTCCCTCTTTCCCTTCTTCCTTCCTTCCTGGCTTTCCTTCTCTTCTTCCTTACTTCTCTATATCTTTCCTTCCTTCCCCCTTTTTCTTTCTCTTCTGCTGTTTCTCTTTTCCTTCTTTCCTTCCCTCCCTCTTTCTCTACATCTTCCCCCTTCCTTCGCTCCCTCTTTCCTTCCTTCTTTCCCTTTTTTCTTTCCATCTCTCCTTCCTTCCTTCTCTAACTTTCCCTCCATCCCTTTTTCTTTCCCTCCCTCTTTCCCTCCTTCCTTGTTTCGCAATCTTTCCTTCTCTTTGCATTATGAGTATATCTACTCGTTCATTATGTTCTTTTTCTTTCCATCTTCTTCCTTCCTTTCTTCCTTCTCTCTCCTTCCTTCTTTCTCCCTCTCCCTCTTCTCTCTTTCTCCCCTTTCTTCCTCCTTTCCTTCTCTTTCCCTTTTTTCTTTCCTTCTCTCCTCTTCCTTCCTTCTTCCTTCCTTCCTTCCTTCCTTCTCCTTCTTTCCCCCTTTCTCTCCTTTCTTCCTTCTCCCTCTTTCCTTCCTTCCTTCTCTCTTTGCTTCCATGCTTCCTTCTCCCTTTCCTTCCTTCTTTCCCTCCCTTTTTCTTTCCTTCCTTCTCCCTCTTTCCTTCCTTCCTCTTCCTCTTTCCTGCTTCTTCCTTCCTTCTCTATCTCTTTCCTTTCCCTTTTCTTTCTCTTCTGCCTTTCCTTTTTTCCTTCTTTCTTTCCCTCCTCTACATCTTCCCCCTTCCTTCGCTCCCTCTTTCCTTCTCTTTCCCTTTTTCTTCCTTCTCTCCTTCCTTCCTTCTCCACTTTCCTTCCATCCCCTTTTTCTTTCCTCCTTCTTTCTCTCCTCTCATCTCTTTCCTTCCTTCCCCCTTTTCTTTCTCTTCTGCTGTTTCTTTTCTTCCTTCTCTCTTTCCTTCTTTCCTTTACTCCCTCTTTCCTTCTTTCCCTTTTTTCTTTCCTTCTCTCCTTCTTTCTTTCTAACTTTCCTTCCTCCTTTTTTCTTTCCCTCCCTCTTTCCCTCCTTCCTTCCTTCCTTCCTTCCTTCCTTCCTTCCTTCCTTCCTTCTCCCTTTCATTCTTTCATTCCCTCCCTCTTTCCTTCCTTCCTTCCTTTCTTTTTTCTCTCCCCTTAACAAAATTCCAGTCGTTTTGAAGTCTGGAATGTACATTTCCATCCCTGGGAAGACTACCAGGGATACTATGTCTTCCACTCCATTGCCAACCCAAGGCCGACCTACCTCTTGGAGAGTCCAAGCCGCCCGACTTTTTGTTCACCGCGTCCATGAACTTCTGGACGTCCTGCGCCGACTTCCTCATGGCCGCCATGGCCTCGCGGAGCTGCAGAGAGACGGAAGCGGCGGTTAGATGGTCCAACAGATGGCCATCTAACTTCTGCTTAAAAGCCTCCAAGGAAGCCGCTTCCACCGGACTCTGGGGCAGAGAGTTCCACTATTAAACAGCTCTTCTTACAGACTTAAGGTACAGGTGGAATCTCCTTTCCTGTCATTTGAATCAATTATTCCACACTGCTCTGTATACCCGGAAAACTCACAACAACCCAGTGATTCCAACCATCGACAACACATGGATGTGTAGCTGCTGCGTCGCATTGTTGGCTTAATCAATTCCTGACCCGACCCCCGCTCCCACCTTCCATCTCCATAAACTCACCAGCGATTGATCCTTTGCCGTTTTGTTGCTTGTGTCCGCTACAATGGGGGGAAAACATAAAGGAAACATCATCATTAAGTTACATGTTATGCATTACCAGAGCAGTAGCAGCAGTTTAAGTAGATCAGAAGCTTCTAGTGCTAGCAGTAGAGCAACTGAGCTGGTCATTGACCATAATAAAGTGAATTTAATTTAATTTAAGCTTTAAAAGCTGGACCTCTCAACGGCATTCGATACTGTCAACCACAGAATCCTTCTGGGACACCTCTGAGATATGGGACTTGGGGGTCCTGTTCTGCAGTGGCTCCAGTCCTTCCTGGAGGGTCAGTCCCAGAAGGTGTTGCTGGGGGACACCTGCTCGTCCCCATAACCATAATAATAATAATTATAATAATAATAAACAACTTTATTTGTACCCCGCTACCATCTCCCCAAGGGACTCAGTGTGAGGTCTCTCTGACCTGAATCAATGCTCATAACGTCGTCGTCATCGTCTTCGTCGGGGATCTCAATGACTTCCGTGGGTTTGGAAGAAGGGTCTTCCTCCTCCGAGTCAGTCTCATGGTACTCCAGGCCCAGGTTGGCATAGACGCCTTTCAAGAGCACCTCACAGTTATCCACAGCCCTGGGGAAGGAAGGAAGGAAGGAAGGAAGGAAGGAAGGAAGGAAGGAAGGAAGGAAGGAAGGAAGGAAGGAAGGAAGGCAAAGAAAGGGTAAATTTATTTATTTATTTATGACATTTATATGCCGCCCTTCTCACCCCAAAGGGGACTCAGAGCAGCCTAGACTTCCTCCATTCCCTTCCACACTTCTCTTCCTCCCTTTCATCTTTCCTTCCTTCCCTCTTTCATCCCTCCTTCCCTATCTCATTCCTTTCCTTTTGTCTTCTCTTTCCTTCCTCCCTTCCCTTCCACACTTCTCTTCCTCCCTTTCGTCTTTCCTTCCTTCTCTCTTTCATCCCTCCTTCCCTATCTCATTCCTTCCCTTTTGTCTTCTCTTTCCTTCCTTCCCTTCCACACTTCTCTTCCTCCCTTTCGTCTTTCCTTCCTTCTCTCTTTCATTCCTTCCCTATCTCATTCCTTCCCTTTTGTCTTCTCTTTTCTTCCTCCCTTCCCTTCCTTCCATACTTCTCTTCCTCTCTTTCGTTTTTCCTTCATTCCCTCTTTCATCCCTCCTTCCCTATCTCCTTCTCTTTCCTTCCTCCATTCCCTTCCACACTTCTCTTCCTCCCTTTCGTCTTTCCTTCCTTTTCTCTTTCATCCCTCCTTCCCTATCCCCTTCCTTCCTTCCCTTTTGTCTTCTCTTTCCTTCCTCCATTCCCTTCCTTCCACACTTCTCTTCCTCCCTTTCGACTTTCCTTCCTTCCCTCTTTCATCCCTCCTTCCCTACTGTCTTCTCTTTCCTTCCTCCATTCCCTTCCACACTTCTCTTCCTCCCTTTTCGTCTTTCCCTCCTTCCCTCTTTCATCCCTCTACCCCTATCTTCCCGTTTGTCTTCTCTTTCCTCCCTTCCCTTCCTTCCACACGTCTCTTCCTCCCTTTCATCTTTCCTTCCTTCCCTCTTTCCTCCCTCTCTCTTTCTGCTGCAATGCTAATCAAGTTGGCCAATTGCAACATTCACACTTGCCTCAAGGACATCATTCCGCAGATATATGAATCCCACTTGCCTAGTTTCTAACAGACCTCACAACTTCCGTGGATGCCTGCCATAGATGCAGGTGAAACATCAGGAGAGAATGCTTCTGAAACATAGCCATACAGCACCGGGATTGTGGCGCAGCTGGCTGAGTGTCAGCTGCATTAAGATCACTCTGACCAAAAGGTCATGAGTTCGAAGCCAGCCCAGGTTGGAGTGGGTTTCCAACCAATTGTGTGTAGCCTGTTGTCGACCTTTGCAACCGAAAGACAGTTGCATCTGTCAAGTAGGAAAATTAGGTACCACCTTAAAAAAAGTGTGGGGAGGCTAAATCAACTGATTTATGAGGCCATAAAGAAGACTCCAGCAAAGCATTCCAGCAGGAATGCGGAAGTGCTTCATCAGCGTCGCAGATGGACAATGAAAGCGACAGCTCCCCTGGCAGCCAGAAAAAAGTTAAATAGCCTCTGTGTATGTCTGTATATGTTTGTATGTCAAAAATTGGCATTGAATGTTTGCCATATATGTGTACACTGTAATCCGCCCTGAGTCCCCTGCGGGGTGAGAAGGGCAGAATATAAAAGCTGTAAATAAATAAATAAATAAATAAAACTCACCACAACCCAGAATCAATAAAGGTACTTGAATCTGTCAGTACTTAAATTGGTAAAGGAGAGGTGTTCAGTCCCGGTGGAGACTCCCTGATGACTTACTTGACGGCGTTGTCGAGGAGCTCGTCCACGTAGGCCACCTCGGCCTCCTTCTTCTTCACCACTTCTTCCAGGCTCTGCAGCTCCCGCTTCCGCCGCTGGACCTCCTCCGACTTCTCCACCTCCTCGTCGATCATCTGCTTCAGGTCGTCCAGAGAGATGCCCAGCTCGTCCATCACCACCCGCTGCAGCTCCATCATGTCCTCAGACTCCGCCATAGCGGCCAAAGCTGAAAGCGTCCAGAAGGAGACAACCGAATACTGGCAGTTACAGACAAGATGGACTCTGTAGGTCTGTTCTAAAGCTGAATTTGCAGGTACGTTGGAAGAGGAAAATTTTTAAGTGTAATTCCAGCCAAGAATGAATGAAAATACACACACATATATATGTAATGTTAATTTGTGGGATTAACATAACTCAAAAACCACTGGATGAATTGACACCAAATTTGGACACCAAATTAGGTTCCGAAGCCCCTATTATAATATTATAATGTTATACAATATAATACTAATAATATAATATAGTTATATATGGATGAATTGACACCAAATTTGGACACCAAATTAGGTTCCGAAGCCCCTATTATAATATTATAATGTTATACAATATAATACTAATAATATAATATAGTTATATATTTTATATTACATGTAATATTACTAATAATATTGCAGTATAATAGCTATATAATACTAATATTGTGCTAAGGTAATATAATAATATGAATGTCATAAATAAATCTATATAAATAAAAATGTAATGTTCGTTTGTGGGATTAACATAACTCAAAAACGACTGCATGAATTGACACCAAATTTGGACCATCACTCATAAAAGCACTGGAAAACACAGTAGAATAGACTTTAAAAGCCAAGAAACAAAAATTACAATGCATGCACAAAACCATATATATATATATATATATATATATATATATATATATATATGCGCACAAGCACATATACACACAAATATACACATATACACACACAAAATATATATACACAGACTGGGCCACAGCAACACGTGGCAGGGGACGGCTTGTGTGTGTGTGTATATATATTTGTTTGTGTGGGTGTGTGTGTGTATATATATTCTGTTCGTTTTGAGCGACATCATAACTCAAAAACCACTGGATTAATTTCCACCAAATTTGGCCACAAGACATCTACTAATCCAAACCCTTCCAGTATTTTCTGTTGGTCATGGGAGTTCTGTGTGCCAAGTTTGGTTCAATTCCGTCGTTGATGGAGTTCAGAATGCTCTTTGATTCTAGGTGAACTATAAATCCCAACAACTACAACTCCCAAATGACAAAATCATTTTTTTTAGTGATGGTCACTCCTTGTGTTGTGAGACGTTTTGTTGCCAAATTTGGTGTGATTTCATTTATTGGTTCATTTGTTTTTAAGGTACTCATTACACACAGAGCATTTTCATATATATAGATAACAATAGCAATAACAACACCAATTGACACAAAACAACACTTACTGCTTCTGAAGACTGCCCGGAAGCTGCAGCTAGTCCAACGCTCGGCAGCCAGACTACTAACAGGCGCTGGGTACAGGGAGCACACCACTCCGCTGTTACACCAGCTCCACTGGCTGCCAATTAGCTTCCGAGCACAATTCAAAGTGCTGGTGTTAACCTATAAAGCCCTAAACGACTCCGGCCCTGTTTACCTCTCCGAACGTATTCTCTCCTATGAACCATCAAGATTATTAAGATCGTCTGGAGAGGCCCTGCTCTCGGTCCCACCGGCCTCGCAAGCGCGTCTGGTGGGGATGAGGGACAGGGCCTTCTCGGTGGTGGCCCCTCGACTCTGGAACTCTCTCCCACTAGAGATCAGAACCGCCCCTTCTATCCTGACATTCAGAAAACAGGTAAAGACGTGGTTATGGAGACAGGCATTCGATGAGTGAGCCAACACCCTGAGATATGGATGGAGGATGAGACAACGATTTTAGTGTGACGACTGACCATTGTAGTTATTGAATGTAATTGCTGTTTTAATGTTTTACTGTAATATGAATTATGATGTTTTATTGATTGTATGTGATATTATGGTTGGAAACCGGTCTGAGTCCCTCAAGAGAGGTGAGAAGGTCGCTATGCAAAACTTTTAAATAAATAAATAATAAATTAGATTATATTATTAGCACGGTACATCAGTATTACATATTACTATATTGTACTATACCATTATATGGTAATATTACTAGTAATATTACATGTGATACAAAATATATAATTACAATATCATATTATTAGTAGTAGTATTATATTATATTAGATTACAATATTATAAATATTATATGTATATACAATATATTATATTATTAGTACAGTATTATATATTACTATATTGTACTATACCATTATATTGTAATATTATTAGTAATATTACCGGTAATACAAAGATATAATTATAATACCATATTATTAGTAGTATTATATTGTATTAGATTATGATATTATAAATATTATATGTATGTACAATATATTATATTATTAGCCCACTTTGTTGTTGTTCATTCGTTCAGTCGACTGGATGAGAGCTAACAAATTGAAATTGAATCCAGACAAGACAGAGGTCCTACTGGTCAGTCGTAAGGCCGAACAGGGCATAGGGTTACAGCCTGTGTTGGATGGGGTTACACTCCCCCTGAAGACGCAGGTTCGCAGCTTGGGAGTGATCCTGGACTCATCGCTGAGCCTGGAAACCCAGGTCTCAGCGGTGGCTGGGAGAGCTTTTGCGCAATTAAAACTTGTGCACCAGTTGCGCCCGTACCTTGGGAAGTCTGATCTGGCCACAGTGGTCCACGCTCTTGTTACATCCCGAATAGACTACTGCAACGCACTCTACGTGGGGTTGCCCTTGAAGACTGTTCGGAAACTTCAACTGGTCCAGCGAGCGGCAGCCAGATTGCTCACCGGAGCGACATACAGGGAGCATACCACCCCCCTGCTTTGCCAACTCCACTGGCTGCCGATTCAGTTCCGAGCACCATTCAAGGTGCTGGTTTTGACCTACAAAACCCTATACGGTTCCGGTCCAGTGTATCTGTCCGAACGTATCTCCCTCTACGTCCCACCCCGGAGTCTGAGATCATCTGGGGAGGCCCTGCTCTCGACCCCACCACTGTCACAAGTGAGGCTGGTGGGGACGAGGAGCAGGGCTTTCTCAGTGGTGGCCCCTCACCTGTGGAACTCACTCCCGGGGGAAATCAGGACATCACATCCCTCCTCGCCTTTAGGAGAAGGGTGAAGACTTGGTTATGGGACCAGGCCTTTGGGCACTCCGGCAATTAAATCAGACAACCAGGCGAATAAGACCAGCAGGATTGATGAAGTGGAACGTAAAACTAGATCTATGAGTAGCGAACGCTGACCATGTAAGAGGAGAAATTGGGTTTGTATTTGGTTTTATTGATTTTATGGTTATAATGCATATTTGTTGTTAACTGTGTATTGATGTAATTTTGTGTATGATTGTTTTTATGATGCAGGCATCAAATTGTGCCTTTGCTTTTGTAAGCCGCCCTGAGTCCCCTTCGGGGTGAGAAGGGCGGGGTAAAAGAACCCCAAATAAATAATAAATAAATTGTATTGCATTATAATATGATATCTAGTTGTGGGATTCAATATTTCCCTCAAGCCAGGCCTTGCTCCAGCCATTAGGCCTCACTGCCTCCCTCCCCTTCCAATCCTCTTCCCTTCTTTCCCCTGAAGACCCCCCAAATCCAAACCCTTTCCCCCCAAAAAACCACTCACCTTTTCCCCCCTCTGAGGGAAGAACAAGAGGCGGAATTATTTTCCCTGGAACCAATGAAGCGGGGGGAGGGGGGGCTTGAGAAAGGACCGGAAACCCATTCAACCTGCTTCCGGGTGGGAACACAACCCAGCGGGCTCTTTAAGCATCATGCGCATGCGCGGCTAGGAGAAGGAAAAAAGCGAACTCAATGTCCGTTTAGTTACTACGCATGCGCCCCAGCATCAGTTGCTTAGCGCGCATGCGCAAGGGGCGGCATGCATTCAGCTCGGCTACGGAAGGAACAGGGCGCTCTCTCTCCCCGACTCGGCTGCCTCGTAGTACGCATGCGCATTGTTCGAGGCCTCTCTATTTAAAGGGCCAGTATATCCATTTTAGTGCGCATGCGTAAATAACGGCATGCATTCAGCTCGGCTACGGAAGGAACAGGGCGCTCTCTCTCCCCGACTCGGCTGCCTCGTAGTACGCATGCGCATTGTTCGAGGCTTCTCTATTTAAAGGGCCAGTAGATCCATTTTAGGGCGCATGCGCAAGCAGCGGCATGCATTCAGCTCGGCTACGGAAGGAACAGGGCGCTCTCTCTCCGACTCCGCTGCCTCGTAGTACGCATGCGCATTGTTCGAGAGCTCTATTTAAAGGGCCAGTACATCCATTTTAGTGCGCATGCGTAAATAACTGCATGCATTCAGCTCGGCTAAGTAAGCAACAGGGCGCTCTCTCTCCGACTCCGCTGCCTCGTAGTACGCATGCGCATTGTTCGAGGCTTCTCTATTTAAAGGGCCAGTAGATCCATTTTAGGGCGCATGCGCAAGCAGCGGCATGCATTCAGCTCGGCTAAGGAAGCAACAGGGTGCTCTCTCTCCGACTCCGCTGCCTCGTAGTACGCATGCGCATTGTTCGAGAGCTCTCTATTTAAAGGGCCAGTACATCCATTTTAGTGCGCATGCGGAAATAGCGGCATGCATTCAGCTCGGCTAAGGAAGCAACAGGGCGCTCTCTCCGGCTCCTCGTAGTACGCATGCGCATTGCATTTAAAGGGCCAGTAGATCCATTTTTAAACTGATTCTCAAAAATTGAATTGTTTTCTTGCTTTGCTTTCAAAGCATTAAAGGAAAGCATGGATTTTTTTCTCGAGCAAAATGCCTAGGTTTAAATAATATATAGTTATCAATAAATACTATAATAATATATACTAAATTATAAACTATAATACTATATACTGTATATATTATATATAATATAAAATAAAATAATATAATGCTATATACTATAATATATAGTATACACCATATACACATTGCGGTTTACAACATTGTAAACCGCAATGAGTCGCCGACTTAGGCTGAGATATTAGCGGTATACAAGCGTATAAATAAATAAATAAATATATAATATATTATATAATAATATATTATTATATAATTATATATTATATAGAATATATAATATACTATATAATATACTATATATATGTGTGTGTGCATATATATATATATAATATACACCAGAAGTGACTTGCAGTTCCTCAAGTCGCTCCGGACACGACAAAAAATACACACACACACACACATATATATATATATATTATATAATAAATACTCAGATGCAACCACAAGAAAAACGTATATAGATAGAAAGGATTGCCGATAGATATGTATGCATGCAGAGCTCAAATGCAAATACAAGACGGCAGTAAAAAGATAGAAAGGATTAGTTACTGGACTATTATTATTATTTATTATTATTATTTCACAGTTTTGTATACCGAGCTTCTCAGCCCGGTTTACATAGATATATAGATATTTATGCATGCAGTACTCAGATGCAACCAAAAGAAGGCAGTATATAGCTAGAAAGGATTAGCTACTGGCCGATAGATATGTTTACATGCAATGCTCAGATGCAACTACAAGAAGGAGGTGTATAGATAGAAAGGATTAGCTACTGGCCAATAGATACGTATGCATGCAGAGCTCAAATGCAACCACAAGACGACAGTATATAAATAGAAAGGATTAGCTACTGGCCAATAGATACGTATGCATGCAGAGCTCAAATGCAACCACAAGACGACAGTATATAGATAGAAAGGATTAGCTACTGGCTGATAGATATGTATGTCAATAAATGCACCAAATAAATAAATAAATAAATAAATAATCAGATGCAACCACAAGAGAGCAGCACATAGATAGAAAGGATTAGCTACTGTCCGATAGACACCACAAGAGATATATAGATAGAAAGGATTAGTTACTGGCCGATAGATATGAGTGCAGTGTTCAAATGCAGTGTTCAAATGCAACTACAAGACAGCAGCATAGAGATAGAAAGGATTAGTTACTGGCCTATAGATATTTATGCATGCATGCAATACTCAGATGCAACCAAAAGAAGGCAGTACATAGCTAGAAAGGATTAGCTACTGGCCAATAGATATGTTTACATGCAATGCTCAGATGCAACCACAAGAAGGAGGTATATAGATAGAAAGGATTAGCTACTGGGCGATAGATACGTATGCATGCAGAGCTCAAATGCAACCACAAGACGATAGAAAGGATTAGCTACTGGCTGATAGATATGTATGCATGCAGTACTTAGATGCAACCACAAGAGAGCAACACATAGATAGAAAGGATTAGCTACTTGCTGATAGATAAGCATGTATGCAGTGCTCGGATGCAACCACAAGTGGCTATTACACTGCTAGAAAGGATTAGCTATTGGCCGATAGATATTTATGCATGTAACCTGTCAGTCGAATTGCTCCTCTTCCCAAGTGGAGGTCGGGATGGCCGTATACGGATCCACAATCAGCTTTGCGCAGCGCACCATCATGATGAGGAGGAAGAAGCACATCAGGGAGAGGAAGCCGACGCAGATGCCTTTGTCCACGTCCACAAAGGTCTCGGCAGTGGGGTCCTCCATGGGTCTAATAGAGGGTGGTCTTCTTACCCAGGAAGGGATCTTCCCCTCATCTGTAGGGGCAGAAACGTGGGAATGGCGGGTTCTGGGAAACATTACTCATTTGAACTCGAACTCCCGCCATGAGACCCCCTTACAACACATCTATACCCTGTGGAATGAATCCATCTTGACCCCACTTGAATTGCCATGGCTCAATACTATGGAATAATGGGATTGGTAGTTTGGTGAGGCACCAGGTTACATAGTTCACCCGGCCAAGGTGAATGGAACGCAGTCGCCAAGTCTTGGCGCTTACCTGCCTTGTCTGCGGGAAAGGATCTGCCAGCGTTTCGCTCTTGCCCCGGTGCCAAAATGGGTCTCTGCCATTCGGTTGTTCAGCTCTGCTCTTCTGTCACCGAAAGCATTCTCATGAATACTTCACAAGGTGCGGGTGCGTCAGGTTTCACCCAGGACAGGGAAGGAGGGTGGAAGGATCCCTCCCAGGTTGGGCTGCATAGCTGTCGTCGCCTAGATCATATTCCCATTTGTTAATCTAGCTATTCATCAATCCACCTATCCATCTATTTATCCATCCTTCTGTCTATCTATCCATATATCCATCTATCTATCCATCTATCTATCTATCTATCTATCTATCTATCTATCTATCCATCCATCCATCCATCTACCCATCCACCTACCCATCTATCCATCCATCCATCTATCTATCCATCCACTCACCCATTATCCATCCATCCATCCATCCATCCATCCATCCATCCATCAATGTATCCACCCATCTATCAATATATCCGTATATCCATCCATCTATCAAACCGTTCATCCATCCAGCTATCATCCATCCATCCATCCATCCATCTATCCATCTTTTCATCTATCTATCTATCTATCTATCTATCTATATCTATCCATCTTTCTTTCTATCTATCCATCCATCCATCCATCCATCCATCAATGTATCCACCCATCTATCAATATATCCGTCTATCCATCCATCTCTCCATCTGTCAATCAATCTATTCATCCCTCTATCCATCCATCCATCCATCTATTCATCCATCCATCTATCAATCTATTCATCCATCTATCCATCTAGCTATCATCTATCTATACATCCATCCATCTATCCATCCACTCATCCATCTATCCATCCATCCATCTACTCATCCATCTATCTATCCATCTGTCATCCATCCATCTATCAATGTATCCATCCATCTATCATACATCTATCCATCCATGCAAATAAAAATAAAAAAAAAACAAAATACAATTAAATAATACAAATAAAAATAAATATAAAAAAAAATAATAATAAAAAAAAAAAAAAAAATTAATAAAATAAAAAAAAAAAATAAAAATAAAATACAAAATATAAAAATAATAAAAATATAAAAAATAGTCATCAATATTCGAATTGCCATCTATCGGCCAATAGCTAATTGCCATCTATCCATCCATCCATCTATTCATCCATCCATCTATCAATCTATTCATCCATCTATCCATCTAGCTATCATCTATCTATACATCCATCCATCTATCCATCCACTCATCCATCTATCCATCCATCCATCTACTCATCCATCTATCTATCCATCTGTCATCCATCCATCTATCAATGTATCCATCCATCCATCCATCTATCAATCTATCAGTCTAACTATCCATCCATCCATTTCCATTGACGCTGGATGATGGGAGTTATGGTTCACTCCATACCGAGCGAGCCCTGTGACTCCCAACGCTGGCGGATCGGAACCAAACTTGGCACACAGATCTGCCATGGCCAATATTAAATACTGCTGGGTTTTGCCGGGCAATGGTAAAGGGTGATGAAAGTAGTAGTAGTAGTAGTAGTACACCTTTGCCATCCCTGATGGACACATTGAGCATTGCTCCCTCAGGGTATTCTGACCCCCCATTGACACCTCAGGGGCACCATTTGCCCAGGACTCCTATGTGCAATCCTTTGCCGCCCTCCAGTGGATGCATCAAGCATTGCACCTTCTTGATATTCTGCCCCTCCATTCAAGCCTCAGGTTACTTTCCTTTCTTTCTTTCTCTTTCTTTCTTTCCTTCCTCCCTTCCTTCCCTTCCCTCTCCTTCCTTTCTTCTTCCCTCTCCTCCCTCCTTCCTTTCCCTTCTTCCTCCCTTCCTTTCTCCTTCCTTCCTTTCTTTCTCCCTTCCCTTCCTTTTCCTTCTCCTTCCTCCCTCCCCTCTTCCTTCCTCTTTCCTCCCTTCTTCCCCCTTCCTTCCTTCCTTCCTTCCTTCCTTCCTTCCTCCCATCCTTCCTTCTTTCTTTCCTTCCCTCTTCCCTCTCCTTCCTTTCCTCCTTTCCCCTTCCCTTCTTCCTTCCTTCCCCCTTCCTCCTTCCTTTCCCTCCTTCCTCTCTTTCTTCCTTCCCTTCTCCTTCCTTCCTTCCTTCTCCCTTTCCCTTCCTTTCCTTCCCCCCCTTCTCTCCTTCTTTTCCTTCCTTCCCTTCTTTCCTTTCTTCTTTCCTTCCTTTCCTTCCTTCCTTCTTTTCCTCTCTCCTCCCCTTCCTTTCCCTTCTTTCTCCCTTCCTTCCTTCCTTCCTTCCTTCCCCTTCCTTCCTCTTCTTTCTTTCTTTCTTTCCTTCCTTTCTTTCCTTCCTCCCTTCCTCCTTCTTCCTTCCCTCTTTTCTCCCTTCTTCCCCTCCCCTTCCTTATTTCCTTCCTCCCATCCTTCCCTCCTTCTTTTCCTTTCCCCCTTCCTTCCTTCCTTTCTTTCCTTCTCCTTCCTTTACTTCTTTCCTTCCTTCCCACCCTTCCCTGCTGATATAATGATATAATAATGTAATATATATTATAATTATATATATAATACACAATTAAGTAATAATCCATAATATATGATAATAATATATAATGATATAAAAATGTAATATATATTATAATTATATATATATAATATAATTATGTAATAATTAATAATAATAATATATAATTATATAATAATAATATATATATAAATTATATAATATATATAATATATTATGTAATAATATAATAATTAAAATAGACAAATCCAATAATCAGTAGATACTAATGAAGGAAAAGTTGGAAATCCAAATTGAAGTGTTATACGTGTCATGTCAGTGTAATTATATGTTAAATGTTATGTCGTATTAGGTGTAGTGCATTTCGGTGTTTTATATGTACACATAGCATGTTTTTTTCCTAGAAATTAGAGAATTAATAAAATATGGGGATTTGTCAATTGCCTAAGGATTAATATTATATTAATATATAATATTAATATATATATGTATATATATATGTATAACATTAATATTATATTAATTATATATATATATAATATTAATATAATAATGTAATATATATATATATAATTATATAATAATAATCCATAATATATGATAATATAGAATGATATAAGGTAATATTTAATTTTATAATCGTATATATAATATATAGTTATGTATAATATATATTATAATTATGTAATAATCCATCATATATTATAATAATATAGAATGACTTAATAATGTAATATATAATATTATAATTATATATATATATATATAATTATGTAATAATCCATAATATGATAATAACATAATATATATAATAATTATAATTATATATAATATATTATTATGTAATAATCCATCATATATGATAATAATATATAATGATAATCCTGTTGTATTATGTATTTTAAGTTGTATTGCTTTTGATTTGCAGAGAGAAAGCGGGATATAAGTACATCAACAAATCCCTTCCCGGACGCCCCGCCCCCTTTTCCCTCTGCACCAATGGGAGAGCTCTTCGCCTTTCTGTCCCCGCCCCTTCGGCGTCAGAGCTCAGAATAGGAAGCGCGCACGGGAGGCCACGCCCCCTTAGCTTCGTCGCACCAATCAGAGTGCTCAATTGCTCGCTCCGCCCCCTGCTCGGGTTCGTCCCGCAGTGGGAGCGCCCGCCATCTTGGAGGCGAGAGGGGAGCAGCGAGGCAGAGCGGGAGGGCGCCTCCTCCTCCTCCTCCTCCTGGTTGGGTCGCCATGGCAACCACTACTGCTAGCCAAGGTGGGTTGAGGCCTAGTGGGCCTCGCGTTGTGGCGCCACTCCAAGGAAGGCCGCGGCTTGGAAGGGGAAATAGGGAAAGGAAAGGGGGTTTGGGGGCATTCTGGGAGAGGACAACATGGAGGCAGGCCCAGGGGAGTCTGGGAGGAGTGGATCCAAAAGGAAAGGGAAGTCAAGAGAGTCAAATGGGGAGAATTTGGGGGGAAAGAGGAGGGTGGCTTTTGGGGAGGAGCTTTGAGTGACAGGAGGAGGGAAGCAGAAGATGTATTTGTTGTTATTATTATTGTTATTTCTATATTGATTTGACTTGGTGTTATGGGAGAGCAAAATAGGGGGAAATGAAAGGCATTGCCATTGATAATAGTCTCATGTAATACAGTATGATACCAGTAATTAATTAATTAATTAATTAAACTTTATTTGTACCCGCTAGCATCTCCCGAAGGATTCGACGCGGCTTACACAGGCCGAGGCCTCAACACACAACATAGCAATACAAACTAGGCAAATCAAACAATTAAAAACAGGATAAAGCAAATAAACAACAGGCAAAAGCAATAGACAAAAACAATAAAATCTGGGCCAGGCCAAAGTAATGGGTACAAGGATTAAAAGTGCTGATGTGACAGGAGGTGTATATGAGGCTTCAAGGGCAAGTGCGATGTGCAGCAGTCATTGGTTCTGATAAGGTGCTTCTGGGACTTGGTAGTGGAGATTTCCTAACCTGGGAAGGCGCATCAGAAAAGCCAAGTCTTCAAGTTCCTTCTGAAGACTGCCAATGAGGGGGCCTGTCTAAGGTCTTTGGGGAGGGTGTTCCAGAGTCTGGGGGCCACCACGGAAAAGGCCCTGTCCCGCGTCCCCACCAAGCGCACTTGCGACGCAGGTGGGATCACAAGCAGGGCCTCTCCAGATGAACGAAGTGAGCGTGTGGGTTCGTAGATGGAAATGCGGTCACGCAGGTAGGCTGGTCCCAAACCGTTCAGGGCTTTGTAGGTAAGCACCTGCACCTTGAATTGAGCTCGGAATAAACGGCAGCCAGTGGAGCTCCTTGAACAGGAGGGTTGACCTCTCTCTGTAAGGAGCCCCAGTTAACATCCTGGCCGCTGCCGTTGGACCAGTTGGAACTTCCGAGCCGTTTTCAAGGGCAGCCCCACGTAGAGTGCATTGCAGTAGTCCATTCTGGAGGTGACCAAGGCATGGACCACCCCGGCCAGATCAGCCTTCGCGAGGTACGGTCGCAGTTGGCGCACGAGTCTCAATTGTGCAAAAGCCCTCCCAGACACCGCCGACGCCTGAGCCTCAAGCGTAAGCGATGAATCCAAGAGGACTCCCAAACTGCGGACCTGTGGCTTCAGGGGGAGTGTAACCCCGTCCAGCACAGGTTGCCACCCTATACCCCGGTCAGGTTTTCGATCGACCAGAAGGACCTCTGTCTTGTCGGGATTGATCTTCAGCTTGTTCCTCCTCATCCAGATAGACACAGCGGCCAGGCACTCGTCCAGCACCCGAGGGGCCTCCTTGGAGTTAGGTGGAAAGGAGTAGTAGAGTTGTGTGTCATCTGCATAGAGATGGCACCTAACTCCAAAACTCCGGATGACCTCTCCCAGCGGTTTCATGTAGATGTTGAAAAGCATGGGAGACAGAATAGAGCCAGAAGAAGACAATAATATTACAATAATATCTCCGAATGTATTCTCCCCTATGAACCATCAAGATTATTAAGATCGTCTGGAGGGGCCCTGCTCTCGGTCCCACCGGCCTCGCAAGCGCGTCTGGTGGGGACGAGGGACAGGGCCTTCTCGGTGGTGGCCCCTCGACTCTGGAACTCTCTCCCACTGGAGATCAGAACCGCCCCTTCTATCCTGACATTCAGGAAACAGGTGAAGACGTGGTTATGGAGACAGGCATTCGATGAGTGAGCCAACACCCTGAGATATGGATGGAGGATGATGAGCAACGATTTTAGTGTGACGACTGACCATTGTAGTTATTGATTGTAATTGCTAATTTTTTATCGTGTCATCAGCAACCATACCATTGTATTACAATTCTAACAGAGCAAAACAAACACACAGATTAAAAAGAAAAAGAAAAAAGCACACAGATTTTGCAAATTTGGTAGTTGGTTAAATGTCCTTTGACCAGTATCTGGCCACTTGGAGTGCCTCTGGTGTTGCTGCAAGAAGGTCCTCCCTTGTGCATGTGGCAGGGCTCAGGGTGCATTGCAGCAGGTGGTCAGTGGTTTGCTCCTCCCTGCACTTGCATGTCGAGGATTCCACTTTGTGGCCCCATTTCTTAAGGTTGGCTCTGCATCTCGTGGGGCCAGAGCGCAGTCTGTTCAGCGCCTTCCAAGTCGCCCAGTCCTCTGTGTGCCCAGGGGGAATCTCTCATTTGGTATCAGCCATTGGTTGAGGTGCTGGGTTTGAGCCTGCCACTTTTGGACTCTCACTTGCTAAGTGTTCCAGCGAGTGTCTCTGTAGATCTTAGAAAACTATTTCTAGATTTAAGTTGCTTACCGGGCTGGCTGATACCCAAACAAGGGATGAGCTGGAGATGTCTCTGCCTTGGTCCTTTCACTATTGGCTGCACTCCCGTAGTGATGTCAGGTGGTGCAATACCGGCTAAACAGTGTAATTTCTCCAGTGGTGTAGGGCGCAGACACCCCGTGATAATGCGGCATGTCTCATTAAGAGCCACATCCACTGTTTTAGTGTGGTGAGATGTGTTCCACACTGGGCATGCGTACTCAGCAGCAAAGTAGCATAGCACAAGGGCAGATGTCTTCACTGTGTCTGGTTGTGATCCCCAGGTTGTGCCAGTCAGCTTTCGTATGATATTGTTTCTAGCACCCACTTTTTGCTTGATATTCAGGCAGTGCTTCTTGTAGGTCAGAGAACGGTCCAGAGTGACTCCCAGGTATTTGGGTGCGCTGCAATGCTCCAGTGGGATTCCTTCCCAGGTGATCCTCAGAGCTTGGGATGCTTGTCTGTTCTTAAGGTGAAAGGCACATGTCTGTGTTTTAGATGGATTAGGGATCAGCTGGTTTTCCCTGTAATAGGCAGTAAGAGCACCTAGAGCTTCGGAGAGCTTCTGTTCTACCATCTCAAAGCTCCCTGCTTGAGCGGTAATGGCACTATCATCAGCATAGATGAAACTCTCTGTCCCTTCTGGCAGTGGCTGGTCATTTGTGTAGATGTTGAACATGGATGGAGCAAGCACGCTCCCCTGAGGCAGGCCGTTCTTCTGTTTCCGCCATCTGCTTCTCTGGCCCTGGAACTCAACAAAAAAGCTCCTGTTTTGTAGCAGGTTTCCTATGAGGCGGGTGAGGTGGTCGTCCTTTGTGATATTATACATTTTTCTCAGGAGGAGGCGGTGGTTCACAGTCTCATAGGCCACTGACAGGTCTATGAAGACAGCTCCCGTGATCTGCTGCCTTTCAAAGCCATCTTCTATGTGCTGAGTCAGGTTCAGCACTTGCGATGTGCAGCTTTTGCCTTTCCTGAAGCCAGCTATGCAGTCATGCCGGCCACATGACCTTGGAGTGTCTACGGACAACGCCAGCTCTTCAACTTAGAAATGGAGATGAGCACAACACTCCAGAGTCAGACACAACCGGACTTAATGTCAGGGGAAAACCTTTACCTTTACTATTATAATTATATATTTTATATTATATGTAGTAATATTAATAATATTACAATATATTGGTATAGTACGATATAGTAATATATAATAGTGATATTGTACTATGCTAAATAATATATCTATCTTATAATATATATATATATCTTGTAAGCCGCTCTGAGTCCCCTTTGGGGTGAGAAGGGCAGCATATAAATGTCGTAAATACATAGAAGTGGTCTTCTTAGCCAGGAAGGGATATTTCCCTCAAATCCATTTCTAAGCTTTTTTAATACTCTAAACCTCACTTGCCAAGTTTCCAACAGACCCCTCAACTTCTGAGGATGCCTGCCATAGATGTGGGCAAAATGTCAGGAGAGAATGCTTCTGGAATATGGCCAGGCAGCCTGGATAACTCATAGCAACCCAGTGATTTCAGCTATGAAAGGCTTCAACATCATCATTGTTATTATTGTTGTTGTTCTTCTTCCAGAAATGGCCTCAGATGTTTCCTCTTTGGGTTCACCATCTGGGACCTCAGGAGCACATTCTGGAGGAGGCATCGTCCAGAGAACAAACAAGCGGAGGACAGGGTAAGGTGGCTCTTGGGTATTTGGAGAAGGGGGCAATTTTAAGAGGAAGATCCAGCAGTTGGCCTGTGAGTTTTAGAATGATAGAACCATAGAGTTGGAGGAAACCCCAAAGACCATCCAGTCCAACCCCCTTTACCATTCAGGTATCCACTCTTTGAGTTTCAACAGTAAAGGATCCTTGGGTTCCTCCGCTGTGCCAGGCCTTCATTTCCCTTCTAGTTTTCCCAGGGTATGGTTTGACGTTGGAATGTGGCAGCTGGGATCTCACATCTTGCTGCTGTCCTTCCTCAGGCTCGATTTTGACGACGACGGCGAAGGGAACAGCAAATTTCTCAGGTGAGTTGAGCTTCCATCGGCAAGGACTTGGGGTCCTAGATGGGGAAAATTCTGTGGAAATGCCCATCTAAATCTGGAGTGAGATCTGTGACAGGTTGGGAGGTACAGGCTATCCCCAAGTTAGAAACATTCAGAAGTCAATTTTCCATCCGAGGGGTAGAGTCCTCTCACTTCCGATTGTCTCAGCCTTGTTCTTAACTAGGAATCGCTTGTAAGTTGGATGTCTGTAACTTGGGGACTGGCTGTATTTTTGTGCCGGGTCGAGGAAGTGATTTGATTCTTCAAATGATCCCTGATTTGAAGATAGAGTGGTATATAGATACAGTTTTTTTATTATTTATTATTAACTAGCTGTACCCGCCATGCGTTGCTGTGGAAACCGTCCCTTCCTCTTTCTTTCCATCTTTCCCTCCTTTCTTTGCTCTCTTTTCTTCCTTCCCTTTTTTCCTTTCCTTCTCTCCTTCCTTCCTTCTCTACCTTTCCTTCCTTCCCCCTTTATCTCTTTTTTCTCTCATTTCTTCCTTCCCTACTTCCTTCCTTCGTTTTTTGCTTCCATCCTTTCTTCTCTCTTTCCTTCCCTCCCTTTTTCTCTCCTTCTTTCCTCCCTTCCTTCGCTCTTTCCTTCCTTCCCTTTTTCTTTCTTTTTCTCCTTTGTTCCTTCTCTACCTTTCTTTCCTTCCCCCTTTTCTTTTTCTTTATCTTCTTTCATTCCTTCTCTACCTCCTTCCTTCCTTCTTTCCTGCCTTCCTTCCTTCTTTCCTTCGCTTTTTGCTTCCATCCTTCCTTCTCTCTTTCCTTCCTTCCTTCCCTTTTTTCTTTCCTTCCCTACATTTCCTTCCCTCCCCCCTTTTTCTCTTTTTTTCTCTCATTTCTTCCTTCCCTGCTTCCTTCATTTTTTGCTTCCATCCTTTCTTCTCTCTTTCCTTCCCTCCCTTTTTCTCTCCTTCTTTCCCTCCTTCCTTCRCTCCCTCATTTCTTCTTTCCTTCCCTTTTTTCTTTCCTTCTCTCCTTCCTTCCTTCTCTACCTTTCCTTCCTTCCTTCCCCCTTTTCTTTATCTTCTTTCTCTCATTCCTTCCTTCCTTCRCTTTTTGCTTCCATCCTCCCTTCTCTCTTTCCTTCTTTCCCTCTTTCTCTCCTTCCTTCCTTCCTTCCCTTTTTTCTTTCCTTCTGTACCTTTCCTTTCTTCCCCCCTTTTTCTTTATCTCTTTTCTCTTTCATTTCTTCCTTCCCTACTTCCTTCCTTTCTTGGTTTTTTGCTTCAATCCTTTCTTCTCTCTTTCCTTTCCTCCCTTTTTCTCTCCTTCCTTCGCTCCCTCCTTCCTTCCCTTTTTTCTTTCTTTCTCTCCTTCCTTCCTTCTCTACCTTTCCTTCCTTCCCCCTTTTCTTTATCTTCTTTCTCTCATTATTAGTTCAGATCTATGATCTGCTTGGTTATTGCACTAAATAATCTCCCTTCAAGCCATGTTGAAGATCCAAAAGTCTCTGGAATACTTTGCATCTCTTCTATTTTCCACGTTTTTGCCTCAATTCACTTTTAAATTATTTTTTATCTGACAATGGTGGGACAATTGAAGTCTTTTATGTACATGCGGCCCGCTCTTGGTTTGGTTCTTATGTTCTATGTATATTGTTTATATGCTTTGATGTTTTATACTTTAATGTTACGTTGTTTATTTTATTGTCATTTCGTATTTTTTTGTATTGTAATCTGTTGTCCGGGCTTGGCCCCATGTAAGACGCTCCGAGTCCCCGTTGGGGGAGATGGTGGCGGGGTATAAATAAAGTATTATTATTATTATTATTATTTTATTCTCAACCAGCTTACAATATGAGTGCGTTGGCAGTGAAACGTGAGGAGTAGCGAAACCCACAGGAGTCTCTTGCAGGAAGAATAGAATTGCTTTTTAAATCAGTCTGGCAGTGGGATGGTGGAATAATTTTCCCTCTGAGTCACGGAATCCAAGGAAAGTGATGGTTTCCAGACACTTTCTTGCAGGAAGCGTGGTTTTATGGGCATGACTCTGTCTTTATGTCGGCTAGATCATGTTCGGTTTGCCATTTACTTTACCATTACCTTACAACATGCTTTTCTTCACATACCCATATATTATATTATATTATATTATATTATATTATATTATATTATATTATTATAATATTATTATAATATTATTATATTAATATTATTGCTTGTATTATTGTTGTTATTGCTTGTATTATTGATGTATTGTGGGCTCGGCCTCATGTAGGTCGCACCGAGTCCCTTGGGGACTTGGGTAGCGGGGTATAAGTAAAGTTGTTGATTATTATTATTATTATTATTATTTATACCCTTTCTCTCCAATTGCTTCTTTAGATGCGACGACGACCAACTCCCAAATGACAAAGAGAGGTTTGCAAGGTAAGATATTTTTGGTTTTCAGTTGTTCGTTCAAAGCTCGAGGAACATTTTCTTTTCGTCTGCCACGAGGAACCAGCAAACCTTTTCAGTAACCAGACTCTGTATCTTATTTTTTTCCTCCCTCTTCTGTGTGTCGTAACAAGAGAACTCATTTGCATTTTGGTTTCGACATCAGGGGCTTTTGGAAAGCAAAGCCAGGATGTCCACTTCCTACCAGTTTGGAAGGAAATTTCACAATACTTAAAAAAAGAAAGTTCAGTGGTTACTGTTTATGCTCAAGTATAAGCCTAGTTTTTCAGCCCCTTTTTAATATTTAATAATTTATTAAATATTAAATATTTTTATTACTTTAATTTTTATTTTATTACTAATTTTAAATAATTTATATTTAATATTTAATAAATTTTTATTAGTTTTAAATAATTTATATTTAATATTTAATAAAATTTTATTAATTTTAAATAATTTATATTTAATAATTTAATAATTCATATAACTGTATTGATATCTATTTTTATTTTGAAATTTACCAGTATCTGCTGCATTTCCCACCCTCGGCTTATACTTGAGTCAAGGTTATTTATTATTTGACTCTGTAATTAGTATTATTTCTATTACATTCATTATTTTACTCTATTATTATTATCATCATCACATTTATTATTTTTCTTTATTGTTATTGTTACATTTATTATTTTTACTTTGTTTATTATTGTTTTAATTACATTTATTATTTTTCTCTGTTTATTATTACATTTATTATTTTACTCTATTGATTATTATCATCACATTTATTATTTTTCTCTATTCATTGTTATTGTTACATTTATTTATTTATTTATTTACAACATTTATATGCCGCCCTTCTCATCCCGAAGGGGACTCAGAGCGGCTTACAAGGTATATATACATACAATATATTATTAACATAGTACAATATCAGTTTTAAATATTGCTATATTGTACTATATCAATTATACCGGAATATTATTAGTAGTATTACATGTAATATAAATATATAATTATAATATCTTATTATTAGTATTATATTGCATTACATTATAATATTATAAGTGTTATATGTATTTATTTATTTATTAATATTATTTATTTACAGTATTTATATACCGCTTTTCTTACCCCTAGGGGGACTCAAAGCGGTTTACACATAGATAATGCCAAAAATTCAATGCCTACAACTACAATAGTAAAATCACACTATAAAAATAAATGTATATACGATATATTATATTATATTATTAGAATAGCACAGGAGACAAGGTGGAACTGTCCCCTGCCCCCCTCTTCACTCCACTCACTTTTACTTTGTTTATTATTGTTTTAATTACATTTATTATTTTACTCTATTATTATTGCATTTATTATTTTACTCTATTGATTATTATTATGACACTTATTACTTTGCTCTGTTATTATTACACTTATTATTTCACTCTATTATTATTACACTTATTATTTTATTTTATTACTATTGGAAGTATACGTAAGCACATTTACACTGAAGAAGGTTAGAATAATGGACAGCCTTATCTTAAATTACAGTTTAATGTAAATATTCAGAAACATTTAACCCCCTGATGCCTCAATTCATATAACTGTATTGATATCTATTTTTATTTTGAAATTTACCAGGATCTGCTGCATTTCCCACCCTTGGCTCATACTTGAGTTGATATGTTTTCCCAGTTTCTTGTGGAAAAATTAGGTGTCTTGGCTTATACCCGAGTATATATGGTATCTTTTGCATTCGTCAGTACCGAATAGCATTGAATGGCTTAGAAATTTCAAGGTGTGGCTTCTTACTGCCTGGGAGAATCCTTTGTTGATAGGTGATTCGCTGTCCCTGGTTTTTTGTTGTCTGGAGTTCCCCTGTTTTTGAGTGTTGTTCTTTATTTACTGTTATGATTTCAGATTTTGAATCCAAGTGTTTGCCATGTTGGGATGAACGGTTGAATTCCTTTTTTTCTTGGACAGAGAATTTTATTTTTAGGCCAGGACGGAGTCGGGATCCCTTTCTGCTTTTTCCCTTGGCTACATACTCGGTCCTTTTCTCTATCTCAAAGGATTACTTGGATTTTAGGAAAGATATAATAATCCATCATTCCTGCTGCCAGAGTTGTAAATCGCCGGAAAGCATTCTCTCGAGGGAGCTTGCAATCTGGGTCATGGAACCGTTTATCAGAATAGCTATGTTGTTTTCTATTGTCTAATGTGCTTTGTCCTGATGTAAACTGTTTGTGTGGTTTTTCTTTGGGCATTCAATGCTTGCCATATTGTTGGAAACCTCCCTGAGCTCCTTCGGGGAGATAGGGCGGTCTATAAATAAAGATTATTATTATTTGAAACACAAGATTAGTACACAACAAACAAGATCACTATCCTGGCTGTTGTATTGGATCACACGTTGGGTCCTTCCCAAGTGTCTAGGACTGTGTGATGTATCTGCAAATAATGTGTGCAGATCCTAATAGGGTGGCCCAGTTAAAGCTGACAGATTGTAATTTTTATTTATTAATTTACTAGCCGTCCCCTGCCACGCGTTGCTGTGGCCCAGTCTGTGTGTATGTGTTTTACTTATTTATTTACTTTACTTATATACCGCTCTTTTCAGCCTTTCTCAGGCGACTCAGAGTGGTTAACAACATCAGTACAAAACATCACAAAATAAGTATAAACAATTAAAACAGATTATAGCATCAACAATTAAACATTAGTATAACAATCATTAGCGGCTCAATAGTAAAATCAGAATCCAGTCTCAACATCCATTATTCTGTATTCCTATGTTCAATAACACTGTTTAGTCAAATGCTTGTTCAAACAGCCAGGTCTTCACTTTCCTCCGGAATGCCAATAGGGAGGGGACCGATCTGATATCTGCAGGCAGGGCGTTCCACAGCCGAGGGGCCACTACTGAGAAGGCCCTGTCTCTCGTCCCCGCCAGGCACGCCTGTGATGCAGGCGGTGAGAGCAGGGCCTCCCCAGATGATCTTAGTGTCCTAGTCGGTTCATAGGAGGAAATGCGTTCGGAGAGGTAAGTTGGGCCAGAACCGTTTAGGGCTTTATAGGCTAAAGCCAGCACTTTGAATTGTGCCCGGTAGCAAACTGGCAGCCAGTGGAGCTGGCGCAACAGAGGAGTTGTATGCTCCCTGAGTGCCGCTCCTGTTAGCAACCTGGCCGCCGAACACTGGACCATTTGAAGCTTCCGAGCAGTCTTCAAAGGCAACCCCACATATAGAGCGTTACAGTGGTCTATACGGGATGTAACCAGAGCGTGGACTACTGTGGCCAAGTCAGACTTCCCAAGGTACGGGCACAGCTGGCGCACAAGTTTTAACTGTGCAGATGCTCCCCTGGTCACCGCTGAAACCTGGGGTTCCAAGCTCAGCGATGAGTCCAAGATCACACCCAAGCTGCGAACCTGTGTCTTCAGGGGGAGTGTAACCTCGTCCAACACAGGCTGTAACCCTATGCCCTGTTACTGCTTCTTTCTCCTCCAGAACAGAGAGTGGGGAGTGTTGCTTTGAAAGGTCTTGGTTATTGTTTCCAGTGGTTTGGGTTGGTGGCATTAAGCGCAGTGTGCCGGATTGTTTTCTGTCTTTGGAACCTGCAAATAGCCAGGTTTCCCAGTTTGCAGAGCGACTTTCTCCAAAAAAAGAAATCACCACCATGCCGGCTTACTCATCTCTTTCTCTCCATTCACCATCCCTTGCCTTCTCTGCTCCTCAGTCACCATCGCAACCTTCCTTCTTTGTTTGTAAGCATTCCCCCAGTTCAAAATAAAGTACTTACTCAGTCAGATTTTTTTCTCCTGTTGCTTTTGGATAGAAGAAAAAGAACAAATCGAGTTCCCGGTTGCATCGCCCTCCCTGCCCTTTTTCTTCCCTGTTAGCTCCATATTTTTGTTTTTATTTTTTGCCCCCCGTTTTTAGCTTAGCTCACCGATTTTATTTCTAGGTCGGATGATGAACAGAGTTCAGCGGATAAGGAAAGACTGGCCAGGTAGGAAAACGGAGATTGTTTTTTTCTCCCCTAAAAAAGCATGGCGAAGCTGAGTGTGTTGACCACCTCCACCTCCTTTTCTGCTCCCCACTGACTCCCCTCTTAATGGCCCCTCTTCCCTGTTCACCCCTTTGCAGCCGTGGACGAAAGCCTGGGTGAAGACTACCAGAAGTCCCTTTAGTTTTGATTTGCAGTGTGTTCAAAGCGAGGGAATGTTAAAGCACATTTGTTTGTGTGTGTGTGCGTTTAAATACAGTTGGGGGGACTAGATACTTGTTTTCCTTATCCTTTCAAGGAAGTCCTGCACCCCTATCTCTGAAAGTTGAGGGTAAGACTGTAGGATCTATATAGCAATATTAAATGACCACTCACAAGCCGGTTTTGCTTTGAAATGGATATATTGCTTGTATCTCTCCAGCAAAGAAAGACACTATTGACTTTTTCCCACCACCACTTCCTTTTATACACTTGTCCTGCCCATCTCCCCCTCTTCTCAGTTTCCTTCTTAGAGCTTTTTGCTTCACAAGTTCCAATACAAGGTTTACAGCACCCTCTGCTGGCTTCAAAATGTCACAGAGAGAGAATTGAGGCAGCCGGATGATTCATTCAGGATGTCACGGAGGGAATTTGGGATGTCTTCATGCTGTCAGAAATTGATTCCTGACACTGAGTGTAACAGGAAATGCTACCAAATACAAAGAATAAGAGAGTAAGACAAGGGGCCACACCGGGCCTGTTGGGTGAGTGGGCTTATTAACAAAAGACCCTTCCTCATAAATATACAGCAGAGTAACTTATTAGCAGCAGCGTGACCCAACACCAGTAGCCCAAAGTGATAAAAAGAACCAATATTATTTATCTCTTCCATAGGAGGCTTTTCTTTGTAGTAAAATAATATAGTTGTGCTATTTACAAGAACAAGGTTTCCATGACACAAATAAAGTTCAACCACACTGGAGCTTCACACACAAAGCCTTCTCATACTGAGGCTTACCTCACACAGAAGCTTCGCTCACGAACTAAGGCCTACCTCACATTGTGAGGTCTTCTCTCACAGACTGAGGCCTTTCTCCCACTGAGGACTCTCTCAGACTGAGGCCTTTCTCCCACTGAGGCAAACTAACACAGAAGCCTTCTCATACAGAGGCCTGCTAACACACTGAGGCCCTTCTCCCACTGAGGACTTTCTCAGAGTGAGACCTTTTTCACACTGGGGTGACCTAATACTGAGGCCTTCTCATATAGAGGCCTACACAAACACAAATAAAGTTCAGCCTTCACACTGGAGCTTCACTCATGAGGCCTTCTCATATGGAGGCTTACCTCACACAAAAGCTTCCCTCACAGACTAAGGCCATTCTCCCACGGAGGTCTTCTCCCATTGAGGACTCTCTCAGCTTGAGGCCTTTCTCCCACTAATGCGAACGGAGGTGAACAGACCAATGTTATCTCTTCCGTAGGAGGCTTTTCTTTGTAGTAAAATAATACGGTTGCACTATTTACAACAACAAGTTTCCAGTACAGTTCTTTACACTTCCTTCTTTGCTTCCACACTGGGCTTCTTTCTCATGCTTCACTCTCACATAGCATCTTCTCACAAGAACTTACACAGAAGTTTCACACAGTAGCTTTTTACACACAGCAGCCTGTGTGGGACTTCTCTCACCAAAGATTCTCACACAAGGCCTACTCACACTGAGGCCTTTCTTCCACTGAGGCCATCTCACACTGAAGGCTCTCTCAGTCTGACTCCTCTCACACACTGAAGCGAACTAACACTGAGGCCTACTAACACACTGAGGCCCTTCTTCCACAGAGACCTCTCTCAGGCTGGGGCCTTTCTCCCACTGAGGCCATCTCACACTGAAGGCTCTCTCAGTCTGACTCCTCTCTCACACACTGAGGCGAACTAACACCGAGGCCTACTTCCACAGAAACCTCTCTCAGACTGAGGCCTTTCTCCCACTGAGACCATCTCACACTGAAGGCTCTCTCAGTCTGACTCACTGAGGTGAACTAACACAGAGGCCTACTAACACACTGAGGCCCTTCTTCCACAGAGACCTCTCTCAGAATGAGGCTTTTCTCCCACTGAGGCCATCTCACACTGAAGGCTCTCTCTGTCTGACTCCTTTCTCACACTGAGGTGAACTAACACACTGAGGCCCTTCTTCCACAGAGACCTCTCTCAGACTGAGGCCTTTCTCTCACTGCTTCTTTGCTTCTTTCTCATGTAGATAAACAGCTTCACTCTCACAGAACCTTCTCTCACAGCGAATCTACACAGGATCTTCATACAATAGCTTTACACACAGCTTTACACACAAGGCTTTCAACCTGGAGCTTTTTTCCCCGAAGCTTCTCACATCAGGCTTTCTCACATGCTGAGGTCTTCTCACAGACTAAAGCCTATCTCACACTGAAGCTTCTCTCAGAAACGAAGGCCTCCCTCACACTGTGAGGCCTTCTCTCACAGACGAAGACCTTTCTCCAACTGAGGCAAACTAACACTGAGGCCTACTAAGCTACAGGCACACCTGTTTATATAGAACTGCAGCTATTGCTGAGTGATTGCATCCATTTTACCTTTTCAGTGCTTGACTCGCATTTTTGTAATTAAAAATGCCTAGTTAATTTAATATTTCTGGCAGGAATCCTGTGCGTTAGCCCAACTGGGTCACCCCCTTAGCAGCAACTGGCCATGTCTCAAGTCCTGCTCTGGTTCTCTATGGATACAGAGTTTTAATCCTATTATTGCCATTCTCATATGTGTCTTTTTTTCTCTCATTTTGTCATCCATCCAAACGCATCTCCCATTCCATGCTTCCTCTATGTTGGGCTAGCCTACTAGCTTAAAAATGGGGAAATGTCCTGGGACTAAGAATTAATCCTTCCCTCCCGACTCTCCCACATTGCTGACACCCAGCACCGGAGCCCAAATGCACCTGCATTCCTCTGCAGTCGCTCTCATCACGGCAGTTGGGAGTGATGTCATTTCCTGTTTGCATTTTAGGAGAGAACGCAGAGGGACCTTGTTGGGCCAGAGGGCTTAATAACAAAAGACCCTCCCTGTGAATGTATAGCAGAGTAACTTATTAGCAGCAGCGTAACCCAGCATCAGTAGCTAAAAGTGATGAAAAGGACAAAAACACACAGACCAATATGATTTACCTCTTCCATAGGTGACTTTTCTTTATAGCAAACTGAGGCCTACCTCACACTGAGGGCTCTCTCAGACTGAGGCAAACTAACACTGAGGCCTTCACATACTGAGGCCTTCGCATACTGAGACCTTCTCACACTGAGGGCTCTCTCAGACTGAGGCAAACTAACACTGAGGCCTTCGCATACTGAGGCCTTCTCACACTGAGGGCTCCCTCAGACTGAGGCAAACTAACACTGAAGCCTTCGCATGCTGAGACCTTCTCACACTGAGGGCTCTCTCAGACTGAGGCAAACTAACACTGAGGCCTTCGCATACTGAGGCCTTCTCACACTTAGGGCTCTCTCAGACTGAGGCAAACTAACACCGAGGCCTACTAAAACACTGAGGCCCTTCTCCCACAGAGGCTTCTAAGCTGCAGGCACACCTGCTTATACTGAGTCATTGCATCCAAAAACAAAGTTTCCATAACACGAACAAAGTTCTTTATACGTCCTTCTTCCACGTTGGGCTTCTTTCTCGTGCACGTAAATAGCTTCACTCGCACAGAGCCTCCTCTCACACTGAAGTCACAAAGGAACTTCACACAGTAGATTTCTCTCACCAGAGCTTCCTCTCACCGAAGCTACTCATACTGAGGCCTACCTCACACTGAGGGCTCTCTCAGTCTGAGGCAAACTAACACTGAGGCCTTTGCATACTGAGACCTTCTCACACTGAGGGCTCTCTCAGACTGAGGCAAATTAACACTGAGGCCTTCTCACACTGAGGGCTCTCTCAGACTGAGGCAGACTAACTGAGGCCTTCTCACACTGAGGGCTCTCTCAGTCTGAGGCAAACTAACACTGAGGTCTTTGCATACTGAGACCTTCTCACACTGAGGGCTCTCTCAGACTGAGACAAACTAACACTGAGGCCTTCTCACACTGAGGGCTCTCTCAGACTGAGGCAAACTAACACTGAGGCCTTTGCATATTGAGGCCTTCTCACACAGAGCGCTCTCTCAGACTGAGGCAAACTAACCCAGAGGCCTTCTCACACTGAGAGCTCTCTCAGACTGAGGCAAACTAACACCGAGGCCTTCGCATACTGAAGCCTATTAACACACTGAGACCCTTCTCCCACAGAGGCTTCTCTCAGACTTACAGGCACACCTGAGTCATTGCATCCATTTAACCCTTTCAGTGCTTGACTCACATTTTTGTAATGAAAAATATCTAGTTATTTTTAAAAAATATTTCTGACAGAAACTCCATTATTTGTGGGCTGCACAGGCTTTTGGAGTGGCAATCACGGCAGGCATTGTGGAGGCTTTCAGTGTAATTTGGGGAACAAAACAGTCCACAAATCGTGCAGCCTTTGAACTATTAAGTGGTTAGTGATGTTTATTTCCCCGAATCAAAAATAACTCTTCTATAACTATAACTTCCTCCCCTGGAACTCTAGGAATTGCAATTTTTGTATGAAGGTTGCTGAAGGTTTCTTTCTTTCCTGCTTGCTGGAAGCCACCAGAGTTAGAAGTTCTGTTTTGATCGGTTTTGGTTGTGGACCTTTTCTCACCCGTTGGCTAAATTTCCTCAACCTTCCCACTTAATATTTAACCTGAAGTTTATTTTTCTCCGCTCCCCCTGAACTTTGGAAAAGTATTTCTTTGGACACAGGTTTTGGGTCACAAGGACCTTTTGTATGAATCCAGCCGGGCTGTTTCTCAAATAATAGTTTGAACTCTTGTCTGAAAACCTTCCCTTCTTCCCTCTTCGTTGCATGTTTGGCATGAGCATTCTCCGAGCCATGATGCATCCCGGCCTCGTCCCTTCCCTCCTTCTGTTCCTAACCCACAATTGTTGTTCATAACAATCAGTTCCAGATCTCTTTCTGAAACCGGTCCCTTCCTTCTCTTCTGGTTGCCTCCTCTTAGGGAGAACCACAGCGAGATCGAGCGCCGGAGGAGGAACAAGATGACAGCCTACATCACGGAGCTCTCGGACATGGTGCCCACCTGCAGCGCCTTGGCTCGCAAGCCGGACAAGCTCACCATCCTCCGCATGGCCGTCTCACACATGAAGTCCCTTCGCGGTACCGGCAACACTTCCACCGACGGCACCTACAAGCCGTCCTTCCTCACCGACCAGGTCTCTGTCCCTGATTCAACCCTATGTCCAGGGAGTGTTTTGATCTCTTGTAAGGGCAAATAAGGAACAGTATTCGAGTAGTGAAAGCCTGGTGGTGGGCACTTAAATATTGGGTGAAGATCAGAGTTTTTAGTTTAGGATCTGGTTTGATTCATCACTTAGCTCAGGATGAGTACTTAAGCAGTTGGCTCAAGATCAATTCTAAGAAAGCCTCCTCCATTGTCTTTTCCGCATCCCTCCTAACTCATCTGGCTTTTGACATAGCTCTCAAATCAATCAAACAGCAACTGTGGGACGTTGCCTTTTGTGGGCTGCACTCTCGCTCTTATGTATCTTGCTCCCCTAGTGCCCTGTCCATTCCAGCAGAAAACTGTCTGAAGAACTTGACTGTGGCCTGAGATGTTGCACTTCAGGACAGGAAAAGCCCTTTGATTTTAAACACCACATCATTGGATAAAAAACAATCCTTTTATTGGAGATAATTAAAAAAGCAATAAAGTAAAAAAGCCCTTTAAAGGAATAGGTAAATCCAATTAGGTAGGAAGATAAGCAGGAGCGAGGTAGGAAGGTAAGCAGGAGCGAAGTAGTTCAGGGTAAAAGTCCAGCAAGGTCCATAAAAACAAAGTCAAAACTTCCCGATAAAATGCAAGAAATCAGGAAACATGAATCCAAGGCACCGTTGGATGGAAAACAATCCTTTTATTGAAAATAATTAAAAAGCAATAAAGTAAAAAAGCCTTTTAAAGAAATAGGTAAATCCAAGGCACCGTTGGATGGAAAACAATCCTTTTATTGAAGATAATTAAAAAGCAGTAAAGTAAAAAAAGCCCTTTAAAGAAATAGGTAAATCCAATTAGGTAGGAAGATAAGCAGGAGCAAAGTAGTTCAGGGTAAAAGTCCAGTAAGGTCCATAAAAACGAAGTCAAAACTTCCCAGTAAAATGCTAGAAATCAAGAAACATGAATCCAAGACACCGTTGGAAGGAAAACAATCCTTTTATTGAAGATAATTAAAAAACAATAAAGTAAAAAAGCCTTTTAAAGAAATAGGTAAATCCAAGGCACCGTTGGATGGAAAACAATCCTTTTATTGAAGATAATTAAAAAGCAATAAAGTAAAAAAGCCCTTTAAAGGAATAAGTAAATCCAATTAGGTAGGAAAATAAGCAGGAGCAAAGTAGTCCAGGGTAAAAGTCCAGCAAAGTCCATAAAAACAAAGTCAAAACTTCCCAATAAAATGCAAGAAATCAAGAAACATGAATCCAAGGCACCGTTGGATGGAAAACAATCCTTTTATTGAAGATGATTAAAAAGCAATAAAGTAAAAAAGCCTTTTAAAGAAATTGGTAAATCCAAGTCACCGTTGGATGGAAAACAATCCTTTTATTGAAGATAATTTAAAAAGCAATAAAGTAAAAAAGCCCTTTAAAGGAATAGGTAAATCCAATTAGGTAGGAAGATAAGCAGGAGCAAAGTAGTTCAGGGTAAAAGTTCAGCAAAGTCCATAAAAACAAAGTCAAAACTTCCCGATAAAATGCAAGAAATCAGGAAACATGAATCCAAGGCATGAATATAAAAGCATAGAATCCAAGAATCAAAACCATGAAACAAAGGCACTTAAAACATGAATTTTCCAAGCAAAACTTCCATGAAACAAGGACAAGATCTTGACTTGATTCCAAATGATGCTTCATCTGACTACATATCCTCTACTTGGGACTTTTATCTCCGTTAGCTATGTCTTTAGCGTTCAGAAATTGGTTTCGCTGTAGCTGAGAATTTCTTAGATAGACAGGAGGAGATCAGTCAAAACAGAAAAGCCGAACAGTGGCTTCGGCGTTTTGCCAGGCTCCGAGAGAAAAAGATAAGAAATTCTCAGCTACAGCAAAACCAATTTCTGCAGCTGGGCCAGGTGCCGAGCTGTTTTCATGTTCCCTATAATGGGAACTCTCTGGTAACAATTCGGAAAGCACACCATCATCCCCACACCCCTCAGGGGCATTCTCATGGGTAACTACACTTTGAACAGGGATTTCCTGATCATTTTCTGCATCAATATCACTGACCAAACTATAGCCATCTTGAAACTCATCTTGTAACTCAATGATACCACTCCCCACATCCAAATCACCCTGATCCTGAAACACAATCACAGGCTGAGCTCCAACATAAGAGTCTTGTGGAATTCCCTTCTCTGGAGGTGTGGCCACCTGTCAAGAGAGCTTTGATTGTGTGTTCCTGTATGGAGAACAGGGTTGCACTGGATGGTTCTTTGGGTCTTTCCCAAGTCTCTGATTCTTTGCATGTGTTCAGAGAGAGACTCTTGAAGAAGGACAGCCTGTTGAACAGCCTGTCCACTCCCTGTTCGTTTTAGGAGCTCAAGCATTTGATCCTGGAAGCCGCCGACGGGTTCTTATTCATTGTCTCCTGCGAGACGGGCCGGGTGGTCTACGTCTCGGACTCGGTGACGCCCGTCCTGAACCAGCCCCAGTCGGAGTGGTTTGGCAGCACCCTCTATGAGCAGGTTCACCCGGATGATGTGGATAAGCTGCGGGAACAGCTCTCCACCTCGGAGAATGCGCTTACCGGTGGGTTGGGAGAGATCCTTTATCCATGCTCGCTTTTGCTTTAGCGTCCTACTTTTGAGCATCATGAAGGCCCCTCTGGGTAATGCCTTGGCTACATTTTTCTTTTGGTCCTCAGGCCGTATTCTCGATCTCAAGACGGGGACGGTCAAGAAGGAAGGCCAGCAATCCATGAGGATGTGCATGGGCTCGCGGAGGTCCTTCATATGCCGCATGAGGTAAGGACCACTGGACCCGATTTGGGTTCGAATCCTCACCTTGTCTCTTCATGCTGTTTCCATCTTGCTTGTGTTGACCCTAAGGCCAAAGTTTTATCAAGACGTTGAGAGAGGGTGATTCGCACAAGGTTATGATGGCTAATTGGGTCTTCCAAAGTCCTAATCCTTACACCCAGACATGCTATACCATGTCAGAGATATTAAAAATTAATTCGGTATTTTTAATTACAAAAATATGAGTCGGACACTGAAATGTGTAGTTCTGTATCAGCAGTTGTGTCTTAGTAGCCCTCGGTCTGAGAGAGGTCTCTATGGAAGAAGGGCCTCAGTGTGTTAGTAGGCCTCTGTATGAGAAGACCCCAGTGGGATAAAGACCTCGGTCTGTGAGAGGTCCCTGTGGAAGAAGGGCCTCTGTATGAGAAGGCCCCAGTGGGAGAAAGACCTCAGTCTGAGAGAGCCCTCAGATTGTAAGAGGTCTCTGTAGAAGAAGGGCCTCCGTGTGTTAGTAGACCTCTGCATGAGAAGGCCCCAGTGGGAGAAAGACTTCAGTCTGAGAGAGCCCTCATTCTGTGAGAGATCTCTGTGGAAGAAGAGCCTCAGTGTGTTATTAGGCCTCTGTATGAGAAGGCCCCAGTGGGGGAAAGACCTCAGTCTGAGAGAGCCCTCATTCTGTGAGAGGTCCCTGTGGAAGAAGGGCCTCAGTGTGTTAGTAGGCCTCTGTATGAGAAGGGCCCATTGGGGGAAAGACCTCAGTCTGAGAGAGCCCTCAATCTGTGAGAGATCTCTGTGGAAGAGGGCCTCAGTGTGTTAGTAGGCCTCTGTATGAGAAGGCCCCAGTGGGAGAAAGACCTCAGTCTGTGAGAGGTCCCTGGGAAAGCAGGGCCTCAGTGTGTTAGTAGACCTCTGTATGAGAAGGCTCCAGTGGGAGAAAGACCTCAGACTGAGAGAGTCCTCAGTCTGTGAGAGGTCTCTGTGGAAGAAGGGCCTCAGTGTGTTAGTAGGCCTCTGTATGAGAAGGCCCCAGTGGGAGAAAGACCTCAGTCTGAGAGAGCCCTCATTCTGTGAGAGGTCCCTGTGGAAGAAGGGCCTCAGTGTGTTAGTAGGCCTCTGTATGAGAAGGCCCTTGGGAGAAAGACCTCAGTCTGAGAGAGCCCTCAGTCTGTGAGAGGTCTCTGTGGAAGAAGAACTTCACTGTCTTAGTAGGTCTCTGTATGAGTAGACCTCAGTGTTAGTTTGCCTCAGTGTGAGAGAGGCATCATTCTGAGAGAGCTCTCAGTGTAAGAAGGCTCAGTGAGAGAAAGACCTCAGTGTGAGGTAGGGCTCAGTGTGTTAGTAAGCCTCTGTATGTGAAGACCTCAGTATTAGTTTGCATCAGTGGGAGAAAGGCCTCAGTCTGAGAGAACTCTCAGTCTGTTAGAGGTCCCTGTGGAAGAAGGGCCTCAGTGTGTTAGTGGGCTTCTGTATGAGAAGGCCCCAGTGGGAGAAAGACCTCAGTCTGAGAGAGCCCTCATTCTGTGAGAGGTCTCTGTGAAGAAGGGCCTCAGTGTGTTAGTAGGCCTCTGTATGAGTAGACCTCAGTGTTAGTTTGCCTCAGTGTGAGAGAGGCGTCATTCTGAGAGAGCTGTCAGTGTAAGAAGGCTCAGTGGGAGAAAGACCTCAGTGTGAGAGAGGCGTCTATAAGAGAGCCCTCAGTGTGAGGTAGGCCTCGTGTTAGAAGCTTCAGTGAGAGAAGTCCCAGGTTGAGAGCCATCACATGTGAAACTCCAGTGTGAAGGCTGCTGTGTGTAAAAAGCAACTGTGTGAAACTTTTGTGTAAGTTCGTTGTGAGAAGAGGCTCTAACACTCAGACATGCTGTACCATGTTGGCTCTTTCCCTCTGTCCTCAAATGAACGTTGGCTTCGTTTTCCTCCTCCAAAGATGTGGCACAGCCGCTGTCGACCCTGTCTCCATGAACCGCCTCAGCTTCATCAGGAACCGGTGCAGGTATGAAGAGGAGAAGGGACAGCTTCGTGGGGAGGCCCAGCAAGTCAGGCGAGAAGGAAGAAATAATGATCTATCTCTCTCACACACATACTTTTTCTTGCCCAGGAATGGTCTGGGCGCTGTGAAGGAAGGTGAACCCCATTTTGTTGTGGTGCATTGTACAGGATACATCAAGGCCTGGCCGCCCGCAGGTAAACACACTCCGGAGGTCTCTCTCCAGATGTTGCATCTGCCCGGCTTTGGATCCTTGATGTCCCTTGGCGTCCCTTCCAACTCTAGAATTCTTTGATTCTGTCCCAGGTGTTTCGCTACCAGATGACGACCCGGACGCCGGCCAGGGAAGCAAATTTTGCCTGGTAGCCATCGGCAGGCTGCAGGTAAGATCCATGGCGTGTTCGTTCTGACTTTAAAGCATAATGGCATGGCAACAAATTCGAACCATGGTTGCTATGGTTGTTGAACACCCAAGCTACTAAAGTATTCTTGGTTTCTGGCCCTTTCTCTTCCTCGCAAGGTCACCAGCTCACCCAGCTGCGCCGACATGAACACCGTTTGCCAGCCGACCGAGTTCATCTCCCGCCACAACACCGACGGGATCTTCACCTTTGTGGACCACCGCTGCGTGGCCACCGTTGGCTACCAACCCCAGGTGGGAAGACGGAGAAAGTGTGACTTGTCCAATGCAGGGCTGAGTAGGGATTGGAACCCTGGTCTCCCAAAGTCCCAGTCTTTGATTGTTCAGAGAGGGATTGCCCTTGACTTCCCCTTAGGCTAAGACAGTATGACTTGCCTAGCAGGTTTCAATGGCTGGGTGGGTGCTTGGACCTAATCTCTGGAAGCCTACTCCAGCATTGAGACCATTACACCACACTGATCTCAATCCTGGACATAAAGTGTCCAGTATCTCCCAAGGGTCTGGGATCCTCAAGGTAAAGGGCAAAGTGCTATCAACGCCATATTTCCTTACATAATAGTTGCACCCCATTTTGGGGGTAGCGAAATTGGGTTTTTTTGTGTGTGTTACTCGCATAATAGTCGCAGAGCCATTTGGGGCTGATTTCCTCCTCCTTTCCTTCCTTCTTTCTCTAACAAATATGAAAAGGGGATTTCTGGAGCTCTGCTCTTCCCTCCTTTCTACAAAGACCTCCATTTCAGATTTTGTAAACTGCCTTGCCTTCGGGGAAGCAATGAAGGAAGGGCAATTCCTTCTTCTGAGGCAAGGCACTTTAGAAAACAAATGGAAATGGACCTGTTTATTTGAGGTCGGATCATCCTCCTCTTTGTCCTCCTGTCTCTGAGGGGTATTATTTTTTGTTGGGCGAGTGGGCTTATTAACAAAAGACTCCTCATAAATGCACAGCAGAGTAACTTATTAGCAGAGTAACTTATTATTAACACACTGAGGCCCTTCTCACACAGAGGACTCTCTCAGACTGAGGCCTTTCTCCCACTGAGGTGAACTAATACTGAGGTCTTCTCATACAGAGGCCTAAAATTATATAGTTGTACTATTTACAAGAACAAGGTTTCCATGACACAAATAAAGTTCAACCACACTGGAGCTTCACTTTATTTGTGTCAAGGTTTCCATGACACAAATAAAGTTCAACCACACTGGAGCTTCACACACGAGGCCTTCTCATACCGAGGCTTACCTCACACAGAAGCTTCGCTCACAAACTAAGGCCTACCTCACATTGTGAGGCCTTCCTCACAGACTGAGGCCTTTCTCCAACTGAAGACTCTCTCCCACTGAGGCGTTTCTCCCACTGAGGCGAACTAACACTGAGGCCTTCTCATAAATAGGCCTACTAACACACTGAGGCCCTCTAACACTGAGGACTCTCTCAGACTGAGGCCTTTCTTCCACAGACGCGAACTAATACTGAGGCCTTCTCATACAGGGGCCTGCTAACACATTGAGGCCCTTCTCCCACTGAGGACATTCTCCCACTGAGGTGAACTAATACTGAGGCCTTCTCATACAGAGGCCTACTAACACACTGAGGCTCTTCCCCCACTGAGGACTTTCTCAGACTGAGGCCTTTCTCCCACTGAGGTGAACTAATACCGAGGCCTATTAGCACACTGAGGCCCTTCTCCCACTGAGGACGCTCTCAGAATGAGGCCTTTCTCCCACCAAAGTGAACACTGAGGCCTTCTCATACAGAGGCCTACTGACACACTGAGGCCCTTCTCCCACTGAGGACTCTCTCAGACTGAGGCCTTTCTCCTGCCGAAGTGAACTAATACTGAGGCCTTCTCATACAGAGGCCTACTAACAGACTGAGACCCTTCTCCCACACAGACCTCTCACAGACAGAGGCCACAAAGCTAAAGACAGACCTGTTTATATTGAACTGCAGCTTGACTCACATTTTTGTAATTAAAAATACCTAGTTTTTAATATTTCTGACATTTTGACGTTTCCCCCCCCAACAGAAATAGAAAATCAAAGTCAGATTCGTTTTTCATTGGGTAATAGTTGCAACTCCTCCCCCTTTTTTAGGGATACAAAGTGTGACTATTGTCCAACAAAATACAGTAATTAAAGCAGTGGGTATGTAAAATGTATGGAAATTTGGAGGTCATTGGAAGGAACAAAATTACATGCTCATCGGCTTGGAAGTTGTGACAGGAGGAATGTGATTGTGCTTGGGCTCCCCGGGAGCCGACACTGATGTTTCCACGCCTCTCTTCTGCACCAGGAACTCTTAGGGAAGGACATTGTGGAGTTCTGCCACCCTGAGGACCAGCAGCTTTTGAAGGACAGTTTCCAACAGGTAAACCCATTTCGTCACCAGTGCTTTGTCCCCTCAAAGTGAGCCGGGCATGCATTCGTACCAAGGCCCTGCATAGTAATAATCTCTTTATGGCCTTCTGATTTATTTCCCAGACCAGGAGCAAAGTGTTCATTCTTCTAGGGGGAGGTTCTACCCTTGGTGGGATTCACACCGCTGCATTCCACCCCCATAACCATTACCGCCTTAAATCCATGTGCAGGAAATGTAACTAGACAATCCATAGTTATGGGAGATCTTATACCGAGACTTACCTCGCACAGAAGCTTTCTCCCACTGAGGACTCTCTCAGACTGAGGCTTTTCTACCACTGAGGCGAACTAATACTGAGGCCTTCTCATACAGAGGTCTACTAACACATTGAGGCCCTTCTCCCACTGAGGACTCTCTCAGACTGAGCCCTTTCTACCACTGAAGCAAACTAATACTTCTCATACAGACACCTACTAACACACTGAGGACCTTCTCCCACTGAGGACTCTCTCAGACTGAGCCCTTTCTCCCAGTGAGGTGAACTAATACTGAGGCCTTCTCATACAGAGGCCTACTAACACACTGAGGCCCTTCTACCACTGAGGTGAACTAATACTGAGGCCTTCTCATACAGAGACCTACTAACTGAGGCCCTTCTCCCACAGAGGACTCTCTCAGACTAAGGCCTTTCTACTACTGAGGCGAACTAATACTGAGGCCTTGGCATACTGAGGTGAACTAATACTGAGGCCTACTAACACACTGAGGCCCTTCTCCCACACAGACCTCTCATAGACAGAAGTTACTAAGCTACAGACACATCTGTTTATATTGAACTGCAGCTTTGTAGTCTTTGAAGTCTTTATAGACTGAGCTCTTTCTTCCACTGAGGTGAACTAATACTGAGGCCTTCTCATACAGAGGCCTACTAACACACTGAGCCCCTTCTCCCACTGAGGGCTCCTTCAGACTGAGGCCTTTTCCCCATAGAGGTAAACTAATACTGAGGCCTTCTCTTACAGAGGCCTACTAACACATTGAGGCCCTTCTCCCACTGAGGACTCTCTCAGACTGAGCCCTTTCTCCCAGTGAGGTGAACTAATACTGAGGCCTTCTCATACTGAGGCCTACTAACACACTGAGGCCCTTCTCCCACTGAGGTGAACTAATACTGAGGCCTTCTCATACAGAGACCTACTAACACACTGAGGCCCTTCTCCCACTGAGACAGAGGCTACTAAGCTACAGACACACCTGTTTATATTGAACTGCAGCTTCGTAGTCTTTGAAGTCTTTATAGACTGAGCTCTTTCTTCCACTGAGGTGAACTAATACTGAGGCCTTCTCATACAGAGACCTACTAACACACTGAGGCCCTTCTCCCACTGAGACAGAGGCTACTAAGCTACAGACACATCTGTTTATATTGAACTGCAGCTTTGTAGTCTTTGAAGTCTTTATAGACTGAGCTCTTTCTTCCACTGAGGTGAACTAATACTGAGGCCTTCTCATACAGAGGCCTACTAACACACTGAGCCCCTTCTCCCACTGAGGGCTCCTTCAGACTGAGGCCTTTTCCCCATAGAGGTAAACTAATACTGAGGCCTTCTCTTACAGAGGCCTACTAACACATTGAGGCCCTTCTCCCACTGAGGACTCTCTCAGACTGAGCCCTTTCTCCCAGTGAGGTGAACTAATACTGAGGCCTTCTCATACTGAGGCCTACTAACACACTGAGGCCCTTCTCCCACTGAGGTGAACTAATACTGAGGCCTTCTCATACAGAGACCTACTAACACACTGAGGCCCTTCTCCCACTGAGACAGAGGCTACTAAGCTACAGACACACCTGTTTATATTGAACTGCAGCTTCGTAGTCTTTGAAGTCTTTATAGACTGAGCTCTTTCTTCCACTGAGGTGAACTAATACTGAGGCCTTCTCATACAGAGACCTACTAACACACTGAGGCCCTTCTCCCACTGAGACAGAGGCTACTAAGCTCTCCCACTGAGACAGAGGCTACTAAGCTACAGACACACCTGTTTATATTGAACTGCAGCTTCGTAGTCTTTATAGTCTTTGAAGTCTTTATAGAAAGCTGGGGGGGAGTGGGAGGCGTTCATAAGTGCCAGTGACGAAGGGGATTTCTAGTTTTCCCTCCTTGCCTTTCCCTCTCCTGAAAATAATGCATGGTTGCGTCACAATCTCGGGGTTTCTCTGCCCGTCCGTTGACCGCGTCCGCAAACGCTTTTTCCAGGTGGTAAAGTTAAAAGGCCAGGTTCTGTCCGTCATGTTCCGCTTCCGGTCCAAGAACCGAGAATGGCTCTGGATGCGCACTAGCTCCTTCACCTTCCAGAATCCGTACTCGGACGAGATCGAGTACATCATCTGTACCAACACCAACGTGAAGTACGTACTCGGAGCCAGGGCCAACCTGCTCTTCCTCCCCAGAAAGCAGGGCCCACCCCCCTCTCCCCTTTCTTGACTCCTCCGGCCTAAGAGTTCTTAAATTTTAGTTAGTTACCGTATATATTCGAGTATAAGCTGACCCGAATATAAGCTGAGGCACCTAAATTTGCCACAAAAGACTGGGAAAATGTGTTGACCCGAGTATAAGTCGAGGGTGGGAAATGTAGCAGCTACAATAATAGAGTAAAATAATAAATGTAATCACAGTAATTATAGAGTAAAATTATAAATAATAACAAAAATAGAGTAAAATAATAAATGTAATGATAATAGAGTAAAACAATAAATGTAATAATAGTAAGTAGGATGGAATAATAAATGTAATAAAATGACAGATTAAAATAATAAATGTATTCATAACAATAATAGTGTAAAATAATAAATGTAATCACAATAATAATAGAGTAAAATTATAAATAATAACAAAAATAGAGTAAAATAATAAATGTAATAATAATAAATAGGATAGAATAATAAATGTAATAAAATAACAAAAATAGAGTAAAATAATAAATGTAATCATAACAGTAATAGAGTAAAATAATAAATGTAATCACAATAATAATAGAGTAAAATAATAAATGTAATAATAATAAATAAAAAATGCAATAAAATAACAAATAGATTAAAATAAATGTAATCATAACAGTAATAGTGTAAAATAATACATGTAATCACAATAATAATAGAGTAAAATTATAAATAATAACAAAAATAGAGTAAAATCATAAATGTAATAATAATAAAAATTAATAGGGCAAATAATAAATGTAATAATAATAGAGTAAAATAATAAATATATAATTTTTGTCATGTCAGGAGCAAGTCGCAGTTATGACAAAAAAATATATATTTATTATTTTACTCTATTATTATTACATTTATAATAATGTGAGAGAATTGGCCGTCTTCAAGGACGTTGCCCAAGGACGTTGTGTCACCATCCTGTGGGAGGCTTCTCTCATGTCCCTGCATGGGAAGCTAGAGCTGACAGATGGGAGCAGACCCAGCTCCCATGATTCAAACTGTCAGCACAAGGGTTTAACCCACTGCGTCACTGGGGGCAATGTAAACAATAAGTAAAACAATACATGTAATAATAATAGTAAAAAAATAATAGTAAAATAATAAATTAATAATAATAGTAAAATAAAAAATTAATAATAACAATAACCAATGTAATAATTATAACTAGAGAAAAATAATAAATGTAATAATAATAGAGAAAAATAATAAATGTAATACGATAATAATAGAGTAAAATAACGTAATACAAAATAATAACAACAGAGTGAAATAATAAATAACTGACTCCAGTATAACCGAGGGGGGTTTTTTCAGCCTTAAAAAAGGGCTGAGAAACCCGGCTTATACTCGAGTATATACGGTAATCGAGAATATACGGGGCAGATGATGTGGTAAGATACGTACTGAAAAACCCTCGCCATGAATACTAATATTGGACACAGACCTATTTCCACGCTAAATGGGACACCTGTGCCAAAAAGTGCCTCTATTTCCCTGCTTGATGTGAGAAAACGCCATTAAGTTTGTTCATTCTCCGATTAACAACATACACATCCATCCCATTTCCATAAAGAGGGGGGGGGGGGGTTGGTATGGGTTTAAGCTTATGAATCTGATGCCCTTTTGTTGCCCAATCCCTTTCCAAGAGTCCACTGGCTAAGGGCAAACATCCTCCAGATCCAAACTGGGTTGGCTTGTGAATGGAGCGCTCTGTGTCCCAATGGGCAGAATGTGGGCACTCTTTTCTCCCTCTCTTCTCTCATCCGTGCGGGAGTTGGCCCTCTCTGACCGCCCTTTCTTCCCGAATGGCCCCCCAGGAACGCCGGCCAGGAGTCGCGGCCTTCCTTGTCGAACCCAATGCAGAGGCCCCAGCTGGGCCATGGCGCCAACTTGCCTTTGGAGATGGGTCCCAGGTGAGACATGCCTCTACTTTCTCCCCTCTGCAAAAATACTTCCTCACCTAGAACCTTAGAAGGGACCCCAAGGGCCATCCAGGACAATCCCCCATGCTAGTAGGGATCCACAACAGAAACACTCCTGACAGATGCCCATCCAAGTGTGTAAATACCTCCAAAGATGAAGAGTCTACCTCCCTCCAAGGGAGTCTGTTCTAGGAATGGGGAAAGTGGCACAAAATGGGATTTTGTCATTTATTTGCACCTTTTTCTATTACAAATTTACCCAGCTATCTTATATTTGCTTCTTTTATTCGTCTTTATCTCACCTTTCTCCCAATATAATATAACTAGCTGTGCCCTGCCGTGCGTTGCTGTGGCCTATAGTAAGACTTTTCGAAGTAGAGGTAGATATCTGGACTATTATGAAAGAGAGGTACCTACCTATTCCTTCCCCCCTTTTTCTTCCCCTTTCTCTCCTTTCTTCCTTCTCTACCTTTCTTTCATTCCTTCTTTCACTCTTTGGTTTCATCCTTCCTTCTCTCTTTCCTTCCTTCCCTCCCCCTTTCTCTACTTCTTCTTTGTCTCCTTTCTCCTCCCTGTTTCCTTCCTTCTTCTTTCACTTTTATTTCCTTTTCTCCTTCCTCCTTCTTTCCCTTTCCTGCTTCCCTTCTTTTTCTTCCTTTCTCTTTCTCTTCATTCCTTCTTCTTCCTTCCTTCCTTCCTTCCTTCCTTCCTTCCTTCCTCTTCCTCCCTCCCTCCCTCCCTCCCTCCCTCCCTCCCTCTCTCTTTCCTTCCTTCCCTTTTCCCTCCTTCTTTCCTTCCCTTTTCCCCTCCCTCCTTTCTTCTCTCCTTCCTTCCTGTCTGTTCTCCCCCAATACCATGGTAGAGTCCCTTCTAACTCTATTCTATGAGTCTATTTAATATAGTAATATATAATAATAACATTATATTATATAGTAATATATATAACACAATATATATGTATTATATAGCAATATATATAATGGTAATATATAATGTGAGTAGATCAATAGGTACCGCTCCGGTGGGAAGGTAACGGCGCTCCATGCAGTCAATTTGGCCACATGACCTTGGAGGTGTCTGTGGACAACGCCGGCTCTTTGGCTTAGAAATGGAGATGAGCACCAATCCCCAGAGTCAGACACGACTGGACTCAATATCAGGGGAAAACCTTTTATATACATATAATATTTATAATATTATAATGTAATACAATATAATACCAATAATAGTATGATATTATAATTATATATATTTACATTACATGTAATATTACTATTAATATTACAATATTATTTATTTATTTATTTGCTTCATTTTTATACCGCATTTTTCAGCCCTTAACAGGCGACTCAATGCGGTTTACAGTGCAATTAAAACACAACAATGCAACAACAGGATCAACGACGTCGATCCACAACAATTAACAATCAGACAGGACAAATCAACAAACAACATATATAACGCCTCAGTTGAAATCAGATCCGTTCTCGTAGTCGTTGTGCCGTTCCTATGTTCCATTTACCGTCTTCCTTGATTGGTTGCATTGCTTAGCCAAACGCTTGTTCGTAAAGCCAGGTCTTGACCATTCTCCGAAACGTCAGCAACGAAGGTGCCTGTCTGATGTATGCCGGCAAGGCATTCCATAGCCGAGGGGCCACCACTGAGAAGGCCCTGTCTCTCGTCCCCGCCAAGCGCGCCAATATAATGGTATAGTACAATATAGTAATATTTAATACTGATATTGTACTATGCTAATAATATAATATATTGTATGTATATATATATCTTGTAAGCTGCTCTGAGTCCCCTTCTGAGGCCCCTGTTGTAAATAAATAAATAAATATGGATCCCAGGGTAATTAAAGGGGTATTTAGTTATATTTGTGTATTTGTTTTTCTATAACCAACGACTCACATTTCAGGCAACAAGCAACTCAGCCGGCAGAGCTCGACGTGGTCCCAGGAAGGGAGGCATTGGCCAGTTATGACCACACGCAGGTAAACTGGGAAGGATTTGAGTTCTTTCGACATTTGGGTTATTTATTTATTTATTTTGTGTCAAAAGCATTGCGTAAATAAATATCAAACTAATAAAAATAGAGGGGAGCAAAGTCGTTAAAATAACTTTTTGACTGAAAACGGGCAACAGCGACCACATTGTCTGTTGCTTTAAACAATGCCTCCTCTGAAGATTTTTAATTTTTTAATTTTGAATAGATATACAAGGGGTGTTCCTTAAAGATTTTCTCTGATCCATTTCCTCCCCTTACGAACCATCAAGGACTTTAAGATCAGCTGGAGAGGTCTAGTGTTGTTGTGTTTTGTACTGTTTTTAATGTTTTAATCTGTATTATGATTTTATGTGTACTGATTTGGAAACCGCCTTGAGTCGCCGATTGGCTGAGAAAGGCGGTATTGAAATATGGTAAATAAATAAATAAATAAGTCTCTCACAGAGCATTCTCCCACTGAGGACTCTCCCAGACTGAGGCCTTTTTACCACTGAGGTGAACTAATACTGAGGCCTTCTCATACAGAGGCCTACTAACACACTGAGGCCTTTATCCCACTGAGGACTCTCTCAGACTGAGGCTTTTCTCTCACAGAGGCCTTCTCCCACTCTCTCAGACTGAGGCCTGTCTCTCCCAGAGGCCTTCTCCCACTGAGGACTCTCTCAGACTGAGGCCTTTTTCTCCAAGAGGCCTTCTCCCACTGAGGACTCTCTCAGACTGAGGCCTGTCTCTCACAGAGGCCTTCTCCCACTGAGGGCTTTCTCTCACTGAGGACTCTCTCAGACTGAGGCCTTTCTCTCACAGAGGTCTTCTCCCACTGAGGGCTTTCTCTCACAGAGGCCTTCTCCCATTGATGACTCTCTCAGACTGAGGCCTTTCTCTCACAGAGGCCTTCTCCCACTGAGGACTCTCTCAGACTGAGGCCTTTCTCTCACAGAGGTCTTCTCTCACTGAGGACTCTCAGACCGAAGCCTGTCTCTCACAGAGGCCTTCTCCCACTGAGGACTCTCTCAGACTGAGGCCTTTCTCCCACTGAGGCGAACTAAGAGGTGGAAGTCAGATCCACAGGAGCATGCTTCTTCCATTTGGGCACAACAGCACAAAGTTTGCAAACTTGGCATTCTATTAAATGGCCATTGACCAGTAGCTGGCCTCTGGTGTTGCTATAAGAAGGTCCTCCATTGTGTTTGTGGCAGGGCTCAGGTTGCATTGTAGTGAGCAGTCTGTGGTTTGCTCTCCTCCACACTCGCATGTCGTGGACTCAACTTTGTGGCCCCATTTCTTAAGGTTGGCTCTGCATCTTGTGCCAGAGCGCAGTCTGTTCAGCAAGGCCTTCCAAGTCGCCCCGTCTTTTGTGTGCCCAGTGGGGAGTCTCATTTGGTATCAGCCATTGATTGAGCTTCTGGGTTTGAGCCTGCCACTTTTGGACTCTTGCTTGCTGAGGTGTTCCAGCGAGTCTTAGAACACTATTTTTTGATTTAAGTCGTTAGCGTGTAGGCTGATATCCAAACGGGGTGAGCTGGAGATGTCACTTGGCTCTTTCACTATTGGTTGCTACTTCCCGGCGGATGTCAGTCAGGTGGTGCAATACTGGCTAGACTAATTTCTCCAGTGGTGTAGTGCGCAGACACCCCGTGATAATGCGGCATGTCTCATTAAGAGCCACGTCCACTGTTTTAGCGTGGTGAGATGTGTCCCACACTAGTAACCGTTGTGTAATTCTTCACTTTCCAGGCCACGGTTCAGCCAGTGGCCCCCGGTGGCCCCGAACACAGCAAACCTCTGGAGAAGACGGAGACCCTGTTTGGGCAAGAGCGGGACCCTCGTTTCAATGAAATCTACAGCAGCATTAGCACAGGTCAGAATGATGGGTGCCTTTGAAGAGATGGGGAGCAACTGTATAACCCAGTGTTTCTTAACTTGGGGGTCGGAACCAGGGCCGTAGCCAGAAAAAAAATTCGGGAGGGGTTGAAAATTTTGGGGGGGGGGTTGAAAATTTTGCGGGGGGGTTTTGAAAATTTTGTGTGTGTGTGTGGGGGGTCTGAAACCTGCCTCCTAGCTCACGCTGAAGCAAAGAGCACAGCAGGGGGCAGAGCAGCCTTCAATAGCCTGCAGCTCCGCCCCGTCAACCACCTCCACCAAGTCTGGCCTCCTTAATGAGAGCATTCAACACACACACACCCAACTTGGTTGCTTCACTACATCGGCTATTGCTGCAAGTAATGACAGTGTGAATAAATTGTCAATATTTGCTTGAGATAGTGCTTGCAGTTCTGGAGGGACTCTTAATTTTTTGCATCTCGTAGACTTAGCATGGGGATTTGGTTAACCAGTTAAAATTCATGAGTAAACCAGGTTTTTTTTAAAAATCTGAAACATTTCGGGGGGGGGTTGAACCCCTAAAACCACCCCCTCGCTACAGGCCTGGTCGGAACCCCTGGGGGGGTTCACAAGGAGGTTTCAGGGGGGTTGCCAAACACTATCAGAACACATGTATTTCTGATGGTCTGAGGAACGCCTTTGACAGAGAAGGCTGGAGCTCTCTCCGCCTATCCCGCTCTTCCTTTTTGGAAACAGACAGCAAATCCTCCCACCAAAAGCCCTCGTCCTGCTGTGATTGGCCAGCCTCTCAGCCAAGGGGAGGGCTATTTTCCCCAAACTCCACCAGTGATCACATTTGGGCATATTCAGTATTTGTGCCAACTTTGGTCCAGATACATCATTGTTTGAGTCCACAACGCTCTCTGGATTTAGGTGAACTACAACACCCAAACTCAAGGACAATGCCCACCAAACCCTTCTAGTATTTTCTGTGGGTCATGGGAGTTCGGTTCGCCAAGTTTGGTTCAATTCCATCACTAGTGGAGTGCTCTCTGGATGTCATTTGTGGAGTGCATCATTGGTCCACAGTGCTCTCTGGATGTAGGTGAACTACAACTCCAAAACTCAAGGTCAATGTCCAGTAAACCCTTATAGTATTTTCTGTTGGTCATGGGAGTTCTGTGTGCAACGTTTGGCCCAATTCCATCGTCAGTGGAGTTCGGAATACTCTTTGATTGTAGGTGAACTATAAATTCCAGCAACTACAACTCCCAAATGACAAAGCCTGTTTTCCCCAAACTCCACCAGTGTTCACATTTGGGCTTATTGAGTATTTGTGTCAAATTTGGTCCAGATCCATCATTGTTAAGAGTCCACAGTGTATATAAGTGAACTACAACTCCCAAACTCAAGGACAATGCCCACCAAACCCTTCTAGTATTTTCTGTGGGTCGAGTTTGGTTCAATTCCATCACTGGTGGAGTGCTCTCTGGATGTCATTGGTGGAGTGCCTCAATGCTTTCTGGATGTAGGTGAACTACAACTCCCAAACTCAAGGTGGATGCCCAGTAAACCCTTCCAGTATTTTCTGTAGGCCATGGGAGTTCTGTGTGCCATGTTTGTTCCAATTCCATCATTGATGGAACTCTGAATGCTCTTTGATTGTAGGTGAACTATAAATCCCAGCAACTACAACTCCCAAATGTCAAAGCCTATTTCCCCCAAACTCCACCAGTGTTCACATTTTCTGTTTTTTGGGCTCCAAAGCAACCCTTCGCTTCATGTCCCCATTTGTCTTTTGCAGACCAACCGAAAGCCATCTCTTCCAGCGCGGTGCCGGCCAGCCAGTCCCTCTTCTCCCAGGGAAGCACTTTCGTCCCTTCCCGGCCTCCGGAGAACTTCAGGTGGTGCCCAAAAGCTTGAGGACGCTTTGGTCCTTTGCCCCCCCCCCCTTTCCCACAAGTCCCATTCTTTCCTTGCTTCCGATCCCAGTTCATTCCTCTTTCCGCCTCTCTTTCAGGAGCAGCGCTATGGTGCCTCCCGCGAACGTCATCCCGCAACCGCCGCAGCCTCAGCAGCCTTCACCACACGCCGGTTCCGCGGGGCAGATCCTGGCCCAGATCTCTCGCCACTCGAACCCGGAACCGGTCTCAGGGAGCACCTGGGCTTCGGGAACGCGACCCTCTTTCACGGCCCAGGTAACGCGCGCTTTTGATTCCCTCCTCTCTTCTTCTCTCCGTCGTTCCTGTCTCGGTGGTTGGTTTGAGGGCCACGTTGGTGACCAAGTAGCCTCCAACGGAGAAAATTGTCAGAATGTGACAGAAGCTTTGAAGCTTAGAAGAATGGACACTTTGAGACTTCAGTAAAAGCAAACGTATAGCTTTATTGAGTAGAGCAAATATACAGCACACACTCGCATTGACGCCCAACCAAAAAGAACAGAAACAAGACAAAAGCGCCGAAGTAAGAAGGACGAACGAAATCTTATCTCTGGATCCTCCCTACGTTCCAGGCACACTCAGGGTCACAACTTCACAGTTCATTAGAGACTTGACTCAGTGTCAATACACTCTCTGCTAATGCAATCAGGTTACATTCACAGGCATTGCACAAAATTGCATGTAAACATTCACATTACACTAATCTTACATTAACAAAAATAACCCAAATTTTGAGTCACAAAATTGGACCATTTTGTCACTATGTTTGATGTTTCACCTTGTCTCCTGTGCTATGCTAATAATATAATATACTATACTATACTATGATATAATATATATGATATAATACTATAATAT